CACGACATTAGTGCTACGCGACAAAACTTCCTTTGCAAAGACTTAATTACGTCATTTCTTCTGATGCGAACATTTGTGCAGTCATTACACGCGACATTGCATCCACTGCCAAAAACTTATGCGCAGCGTTAGTGCTACAAGACAAAACTTATACTTTGAGAACTTAAACCTGCTACTACCTTTGCTGCAAAATGTATGCAGCCATGGCTTATACACGACATAGCTTCTACTGCAAAGGCTTAGACGCAACATAAGTGCTACAGCATAGCTACGACATTAGTGCTACAGTATTGTGATGCAGTCCGTGGTCTAAAAGTGATGACGGGCATAAGTTTTTGCAGCATGAGTTTTGTCGTGAAGCACTCATGCCGTGTATCATTTTTTGCAGAAGTAGTGTCGCGTATAAGTAAGGACTAAGTTTTTGACGCATGAATGCTGTCGTGCAGCGCATAGTCTTTGCGGTACAAGTAATGTCACGTATATGTAAAATATGTTTAAGTCTTTGCAGTAGAAGTAGCGTCGCATTTAACTAATGTAGCACTAATGTCGGCGGGAGTTTTTGCCGTAGCACTAATGCCGTGACACCGTGGGTGACATGTGAATCATCAGAACCACTTCGAATGCGCATGAAGGTCTTATTGGTGGGAGGTAAGGCGTGTGGCGGAAATGTATGTCTTGTTGAAATGGGGCCGGTGTTGGTTGTGCAAAGCTACGTAAATGTGTACGTAGATGAGAAAAATTCACTCGTTCAGGATCTATAAAATCGGCATCCTAAGCAGGTCGCAAACGCGGACGAGTGTTATTACTTTAATTTTTACGGTTTAAGTTTTCCGTGGACCCTTACATGGGAGGAAGATAACCACGGCACTGCACGTGGAGGAGATGAAAAGAAGTGGATAACATATGTGATATTGATATGCACTCGTGCGATTTCCAACACTGTGTTATAGCCTATGTTATACCACAGCGAGGTGCAGTTATGTAGATTAACTGTATTAAGCTAATCCCGATCATTTCATATATGAACAACATCAAGCGCAGCGTCCCGACACGCAGGGGACTACCAATGACGCAAACATTTCAGGCTTGGAAAAGCTTCTCAGGACAGCGCACATGAGAAACTTCTCGCAACATTGATTCGCATCCCTTTTTAATACGAGACGCGAATCAATGTTACGTGGCAGGGGGCGGTGCCATACCGGCGCAAACGCAGCCAGCGTCCTCAGCTGGTCACGGCATCGGCCCGAAGAAGCGAACGGGAACCACAGCTTCAAAAGATTTTTATCTATTGTCCTGAGCGCGGAGAACAGCACTGCGTCGGAGCGATCCTTGGGTATCAACAGCTTACAAACGTCAGCTTAAGTCCGGTTTGCACCGCTGAGACACAAGACAACGTCATGTCGTTGATGGTGGCTTCGCCGGCGCCAGAAGCGTCAGCTTAAGTCCAGTTTGCACCGCTGAGGCACAAGACAACGTCATGTCGTTGATGGTGGCTCCGCCGGCGCCAGTAGCGTCAGCTTAAGTCCAGTTTGCACCGCTGAGGCACAAGACAACGTCATGTCGTTGATGGTGGCTCCGCCGGCGCCAGTAGCGTCTCCTGTTCGCGAAGCGCTGAGACACAAGACAACGTCATGTCGTTGATGGTGGCTCCGCCGGCGCCAGTAGCGTCTCCTCTTTGCGAAGCTTAGTAAGCGGAAACTGCTTGTTGCCATTCCCAAACATTCAAGTCGCTGAAGTCTGAATCTGTTTCCGGCCTGCGTTCTGTTTCCGTTCCCGATGTTTCCAACCTGTTTTATACGACATTAAGACAATACATTTACCAAGCTAATCGAATGACAAGGTAAAACAATGGTGATATAGCGCCACAAAAGATATGCCACCTGTTCAAAGCAACCCGGACTTGTGCTCCAAAATATCACAGCACAACTTTTAGATAATTGTGGCAATATTTGCTGAAACATTCATGGTAGCACGTTCAGTGCACTAGTCGCAGCGTGCTGCTTGGGCATCACCGTGTGCACCAATCACCGTGTGCACCAGTGCAAATACAAAAACCCGCCAAAAACGTTACTGCATGAGCCAGGCCACACAGTTGAATAACATTAACCTTTTCAGGCTATATGAAATTGAGACTTACTCGTCCTGCGGCCCAGCAAATCATTACTGGTCGACTCCTTATGTGCAGTCATTATGTAAAACATTTACTATAAATTGTCAATGGCGAAGCCAATACGGCTTGGCTCGGCTGGCTTGTGGCTTGGCTTGATGGTTTGTGCATCCGTATGTTGGAGGCCGGTTTCCCAGCTATCAGTGACGTCATTCTTCACATTGTCATCTCCTTTCTTATCCATTTAAACATCCCCGGTGCTTGGGAACATCCCCGGTTGGTCCCATTTTTATGGCCGGTAATCCATCTGACCCATACAATTTCGGTCCTATATCTCTCGTCCCTGTTATTACCAAGTGGGTAGGGCGAGTCGTCCAGCAGTAGCAGCAGCAGCTTTACTACAAATCATCCAACAACCATCTTGCATCCTCCCAGCACGGTTTCCGTCTTCGCCACTTGACGGGAGTCGCGCCGATGTCGGTCTCCGACCACAATCTTGGCCTCACAATCACAATCAATAGGGGTGAGGTTTCAATACTGTATATGATTCATCTAAGTAAGTGTTTTGACGAAAGTTCCTAAGTGCATTTGGAAATTGGTAAGGGCTGTCTTGACGTCATCCATCAGCAGATTTTGATTCTTCAGCTGCTTATGTACGGTATTCAGACCTGGCTCGTTCGCCGCTTGTTTTCACCCACGACTCAGACTGTGTGCCTAAATGATGGGTACGGACCCAAGGTACTGTCACGGTCGCTCGCCAACAGCAAGGTGCTGTAAAGGTTCAGCATTAGGCCCAGTCCTTTTTACAGTTTGCTCGAACGGCCTGTCTCTGCACGCAGAAAATGCACATGTTTTTCGATATGCAGATGACATCCGGGTTTCTGTGTGCGGTTCGAGGGACAACCTGAGGAGACTAATCTTTCACATAGAAGCATCGCTCGCGTCACTTAGCTGCTGGCTCCGCTCGCATGGCCTGAAGGCGGACGCTGGCTCCGCTCGCATGGCCTGAAGGCGGACGCTGGCTCCGCTCGCATGGCCTGAACCCGAACGCGACCAAAACACAAGGTGTCACTTTCGGCAGGGGTCAAAATGCATGCATTCTTCCGGACTTCACCGTAAGTTTTAGTGACGCTGAGCTGCGACTATGTGCGATGATGAGGAGCATCGGTGTTATCTTTGACAGCGGCCTGGCCCAGGATTCGCACGTGTCTGAGCGCCCTGGCCCGGGATTCACGTGTGTCGGAACGCCCTGACCCGGGATTCACACGTGTCGGAGCGCCCTGGCCCGGGGTTCGCTCGTGTCGGAGCGCCCTGGCCCGGGATTCACACGTGTCTGAGCGACCTGGCCGGGATTCAAGCGTGTCTGAGCGTCCTGGCCCGGGATTCACACGTGTCTGAGCCCAGCCGCCGGTGCGTTAACGCGCTGACGGACCTGTCCGATGCGCGGCACTGCCCTCCTGACGGCGTCATCAAGACTCTGGTAACACAGCGCCGGTGCTCTTGCAGATCCGGTGCTGTCGCACGGTCTACGGTAACGAAGCACAAAAAACTGCCATCGAATCGAAAGAATCTGAAACTTTGTGGTCAGAGTGATATTTGATGTATGTGGAATTTGACCACGTGTCTGACCTGCGTGAGACACTTCGATGGGTGTCGCCTCGACATACGGGCGAATTCGAACCGGTCACCCGGCTCATAAGGTGATGCTTCACGGCGAGCTCGTTGTGCTTAGACACCCGTCTGTGTGAAACCGCGAGGCACATGTGCGACCCACTCGGCAGGATGGGCTCCTACATCTCCCTAGGCTGGTAACCGAGGTCGGTAGGAGACGTTTCGGGTACCACGCGCCAGCATTGTATGATGCACCTCCAGCCGACCCTACACAGCCAGCACAGCAGCGTTTCGCACGCATGGTGAGAGCGCATCTGTCCAGCTCTAGCGCTGTTGGTAATCGTAAACAGAAAGCTTACTGTGTGTTTTATCATTTGTACCCGGATATTTTGTCTCCTGTACATTTGGCCCGGAGCTGTAATAACCACGCTCCGTTAAGGATGTTGTTTTAGAAGTTAAGTATGTCAACATGAGACGCTGTTTGTTGCAATTAGCAGTCTAAAAGCTGTTGTTGTTGAAACCTAAAAGCTTTTTTGCTTTCATCATGAGGCATTGCCATAAAGTTAGCGTGGCTGCTAAACCGCCCAAAACGACTGGAAATACAAGGATTGCGCTTGTTAAAGATTAGACGCTTTGGATATTACACGGCAAGAATACAGCAGTTGCACTGCAGGAAAATACAGCTTAAGATTAGTTGTATTCTGGCTGCCTCGCTGCATCAAGCACCTATAATTATACTTCACCGGGTAGCTTCGAGCTTGCACCAATGTTGCTTTGTTGAAATAATTATCTGTTTTACCTGGTATTGCTTTTGCTATGCCGGCGTTCAAGTTCATCGCGTTACGGCCGGTGGAAAGCGCAGAAGTGGCAATATGCCAGGTTTTCAGGATTTTCTGTGGTTCCTCAAGCGCTTTTTTGAACCAGAATCTTTTGCTCACTCTAGAGACAAATATCGTTTTTTCGCAATGCTGATCCCATTCCGTGTTTCAGAAACTCTCCAATATGCCTGAGAATATCACGTTCATGACATTTGAAAAATAGACGCTCTGGATGTTGGGCAACACTGGTCTTGATATCCATATTAAAAACGTGTCGGTTCATGTGACTTGGTCATTGTTCTTCGTTCGAGTGGTAAGAACCAAGCAGATGCTGCATACCTTATCTGAAATGCTCAGCGTCGTGAACAACATAAAAACTAGATGCTAGATAGGCACACATGTATTACATGTGTACCTATCGGATGCGTATCAGTGTGACAGAGCAGCGCGAAGCTTCGCAAGAGTGCAATCATTTTTCGTTTCTTTAGCACGCAGCTGTTGCGTGGCTTACATTTGTTTTATCTTCAACTTTTAGACACAACAAAAAGCCGGGCTAACCAGCAAACCAGCGCACTACGACCGCGGCCATGGTCCTCGATGGTCGAGCCGCGCGTACCTGTACGCGCGGTTGTCGCGACGCATGAATGAATTATAACCTGCTCATCCCTGACTCAACGAATCGGATGGCGACTTTCCATGTATTAATGTGATACCGTCCGCCGATGCTAATTTCCACAAACTACAGATCATCCAAGGGATAGTAAGCACCACCAGGCCTACAGTTGGCTGCAGGACATTGCCCCTGTGCAGAGCAAGCGTGCCTGCTTGCGTTGAGCGCCTCAGTTTCATCCACAGCCCGGCACCTTGTCTTCAAACTCGCACTTATGTATCTGCTCCGAGAAGGCGGTGCCGTTCGGGCAGCGGAAGAAGAGCGAGCGGCCGTTAGAGCACTCGAAGAAGCAGTGGCAGTCGTCGGGGTCCGGGTACAGTCCATCCTTTTTGCTGTCACAGTCATACGCCGGCGTGGTCGTCCCGCCCTCGGAACCATCTGCAAGCGGACCGGGTCAGTTGCAACTGGCTCCCTGTTTGTTATTGCATCACATAAATAACAAAGTATGCAGCCATAGTGGCCGACGTGCCCGGCGACCACTAACATCGCAGGCCATCGTGTCAGGCGACGCACTTGGGAGAGGGAATTCGAGGCGAGATCAACACCTGCGCGTTTGAATATATAGATATATATATATATATATATATATATATATATATATATATATATATATATATATATATATATATATTCAAATATGTAGCCTAAGATGCTTTTTTCAAATATATATTCCTAAATAAATATATTTACATACACGTGTGTGTGTGTGTGTGTGTGTGTGTGTGTGTGTGTGTGTGTGTGTGTGTGTGTGTGTGTGGTGTGTGTGTGTGTGTGTGTGTGTGTGTGTGTGTGTGTGTGTGTGTGTGTGTGTGTGTGTGTGTGTGTGTGTGTGTGTGTGTGTGTGTGTGTGTGTGTGTGTGTGTGTGTGTGTGTGTGTGTGTGTGTGTGTGTGTGTGTGTGTGTGTGTGTGTGTGTGTGTGTGTGTGTGTGTGTGTGTGTGTGTGTGTGTGTTGAGAGATGTTTACAAGATAACACAAAAAAATGAACCAATACGCACTGCAAATGAAGCAACAGTGCTCTCGCCATCATAATGCTTATCGTCAACTTGGTTTAAAGATTTTTTAGGTTTTTAAGATGTCTGCCTATTACATGGTTATTGTTAGGCTAACGCCGGTCAGGCGCCTTACGTGGTTGATGAAGGGAGCGCGGTGGCAGCAGACGTGACAGCTATGACCTGCCATTGTGTAGGTCGTAGCGAACCTTAACGACTGGAGCCGGACACTTGTGGATACCCCGTCACCCATAATTATGAGTCAACAGCATCAATGCATTACAAAATCGTGATTGTTGTAGTTTTCATACTGTAAATATTACCAGACTTACACCAATGGAGTCGGTAATGGAGCCAGTCTATTAAAAAAATTCATGCAATTGACCTTGATCAAAGCATTGGAAAATTGTAACACATTTGTCTGTTGGTATCGTGCAGATGGGGCTAAACACAAACCAACGGAATCGATATTTGTTGAAACCAATATAAATGGGTTCCATCAACACCCAGAAAAATCGTGACGGATATCAGCTGTCACCCTGCAAATGATACCAAACTTAAAGTAACTGAGCCAGTCACATGTGAAAACCCACACAAATAAGTCTCATCGACACGTCCGTGGATACGCCTCTCGTCAGAGATTAACATGCAGTGTTCAATGCCATAGTGCTCGCGTGCTGGCTCACTAAGCTTGACCATTGGCTGTCTAGACTCTTCCCAGGCCTGCAATGTCAGCCCGCGGAAAGAGAGAGCTTGTAATGATCAGTGATTCGTGGTGACCTTGCTCAAGGTGTTTTGAAGGGCACGAATGTTTGAAATAGAAACTGATCACACTCAGGGGTAGCACAGCAGGGCGGCAGAGGGGGCAGTTCTCCCCTTGCCGGCAAGCAGAGGGGGGGGGGGGGGTATTAGAGTATGGCTTGCCCGCTCAAAATTTTGCGGGACCCTTTTCCAAACTACAGGTATTGTAGCTATCCGTAGATGATCCAAATTCAGATCAAGGATGCCCACATAACTGACTTTTACTTTTTTGTTTACAAGACAATCAGGAAGCCCCACTCTGGATATTACTTGGATATGATGCATGTATAAATTTGATATAAGGGTGCATACCTTTGGTGCCCCTCCTCTTTGAATACGACACTGCTCAGGAGACCCCCCCCCCTCCCCTCCCCACGCCCTGTGAGGAGGTCCCATTTTGTCTGGGAGGCTCCTTCGAAAATCTGGCCCCCTCTCCAAATTCGTGGCGCCGCCCCTGGTAGCGGTGCCTGGCTAGCACACTTGTGCGGCTTGCATGGCCAAGTCTCTGTCGCTTGAGGTCGCAGTGTGCTGTACCCGTAGCCGCTTTCAAAAGAGTTGCCAAGGGCGACTTTCAGATCGCCCGCTGACGTAATCACGGGCCAGATGGTGTTGGGCTCCTTTAGTCATTTGTAGGTGGTACACTCACCTGCATGGTACAGTTGGTTTTACGTTACGTCAGATAGCATCCGTCCTGGTTACTGAGGCCTGACATTGATTCTTAAAAACGCTTCAAAACTAGGGATCTATTGTTTGGGCCCGAGCGGATGCGACTGGCCGCACACATCGGCTCATACTTTTGCTAATGCTTTGCACTTTTTCCTTACAAAATGTGTTGGTGCCTTTGTCATGAAGCTGTGCTGCTTTTGGGAAACTATCAGGTCGTTTGTTAACCGTGTTTATCAAGTTGGAAAGTCATTTTTTGTTGGCATTTTCATGTCACGGGAAAATCACACCTCATCTAACATTGAAAACGCAAAGCCTCACACGCTCAACGGCGCAAGCTTTGCGGAACTGCTTTTCTTGTTGCTAAGGTTGACACGTCTGGCATGGGTGGCTGCAAAGATATCATCTTACATATCTTTGCATTTAAGGTTATCTTCTACAACCCTCCACCTATGCGGAACTGATTTTCATCTGCGTCGCGCTGGGCCGCTCGGATGTGTTGAAAGTTTTCCCACTGTTTAGGCAAGGCTCCGTCCGCCTGCTGTCTCGCTTGTCGAAACAACACTTGGCTGTGGCGTTGGTTGATCCTACGTATATCTCGCAACTTAAGAGCATTCGCAATCAAAGGTGCCGCTGACGCCTGCGCGCTCTCAAAAATACCCATGCAAAGCCCAAAAACATGTCAACTGTAGGGGCGGATCCAGGATTTTGCTAAGGAGGGACCGCTTTCCTTCCGGGGTGCTCAAATGGGATCGGATCCGCACTCAAACTTTGTTTATGTTATTGGTCATAACACCGCACCTATATAACACGGTGCTTTTCTCGCGTGTTCATGCGCATGCGTCACGCTCAATCTTACGGGGACTTGCAATGTTTCTGGGCCTCAGACTAATTTTGCGGGCCTGCAACTTTTCTCATCTCATGGAGCCCCACGTATATGCCATGGGGAGCATGACTCCTATTCATTCATTGGATCTGCCCTCGTCCTCTTTCCTTGCCCGATTGATATTGAAAAGAGAAATCTCCTCGACAGAGGAAAGGTACTTCATGGATCAGGACATAAGTCACAATTTTCAGTTTATCTACGGTTCGAACGGACACCCGGTAGACTCAGCTCCTTAAAATGCCTCCGCCTTTTACCAAAGTAAAAAAGTAAGCTCGTTCCGGTTTTCTGTAACAACATTTTTTTGCACTTTGCTTTGGTATTGCCATTTTAATGTTTTTGTATAAGCACCCGACAGCGTTTACTGTTAGCCTGGTAGGGCCAGTTATACCACACCCGATCACGCCAGGCAGTAGCGCAGGCAGTGATGGGGGCACAGGGGGAATGGCCCCCCCCCTCCCCCCATTAGGTTCGAGAGGATCGAAGGACCCCTTGGAACCTGTGATCCAAGGCCCGCTTTGAGGGCCCAAAGAACCCAAAAGGCCAGCCTGAGGTCTCATTTAGGGGCCCCGGCCCGCAGGTCCGTGCACTCCAATGCCAGCCAGAGAGTCCTGCGCGCTGATTAGGGGCCCACTGAGTCAATACGGGTCTATATTTTGGCCAAACTCCACCAGTAACGCACAGTCGGTTCAGTGGCGGCATGGGCCTGAGGGCCCAGTTATCGATCAGCTAAAAAGCCGGGACCAGCGATTTACACTGGTCGGGGCCTCTGTGTCTGTTAGGGGCCCGCAGTGTCCAACAGAAGGTTCTGTGCTCCCAAGGGGCTCGCACCGACCAAGGGCAGTGTTTGATGAGATCTGGAGAGGGGCCCGGACGGCCCACCGGAACCGACGATCAAAGGCCCGGTTGGAGGGCATAACGACCCGAAGGACTGGCTGTAAGTCACATAAAGAATCGCGGCCCTTAGGGTAGTGACCGGAAATATCAGTCAGGGGTCCTATTGCAACGTTTCAGGAGCCCCTGAGACAATGTGGGTGTATAAGTCGGTCAGAGACCACAAACACCGAACCGTCGACTCCATTTCCGTGTACGCCCCTGAGACCCATCACCCAAGCAGAAACGAGGCCGGGGTCAGCGATTTGAAATGTTCGGGGTCCTGTGTCGGTTAGGAGGGGCTCACGATGAGGGCTCCTGTGTCGGTTAGGTGCCACAGTGCCGAACAGGGGTCCTGTGGCGGCAAGTGGCCCCAGGTCAGAGCGGTGTTTGAGGCGACCCGAAGAGGGGCCGAAGGGTCTCTCGAGACCAAAGATCGAGGGCCCGATGGGATGGCTGAGAGGTCACAAGGGCTGGTTGTAGGTTACATTAAGGACCCCCGCCCACAGGGCCGTAATCTCAAATGTCAGCAAGATGATCTCTTGCACCGATAGGGACCCCTGAGACGGAGCGTTCCTCTATTTCGACCAGAGATCACGAACAACGAACAGTCGTTTCCGTGTTTGTTTGAACTCTGGGGGCCCATTTCCCAAGCAGGGACAATGCCAGGCCCACGATTTTCATTGGTCGGGCTCCTGTATAGTTTAGTGGCTTCCAGTGCCTAGCAGGGCATTCTGAGGCCTTCAACGAGAGGTCTCGATTCGTTCATGGGAAGATTTGCTGATCAGGAATGGGGACGGGAGCCTGAATGGCAGACGGTCTAGTGCGTTGGTCGGGGCCCTCTGGCAATCAAAGGAGACATAATGATTTATAATAAGTGCTCACACTGAGGTACTAGAGGAGTCCTTCGCCAGTCACGGCCCCCAGGACAGAACGGTGGACGCTCCATCCCTATCCCAGTATGGGCCCGTTAAGCCGAACTGGAGTCTATGTGTTATATATTTGACCACCTGCGGCGAGCAGGGATGTTGTTGCGTTAATGGCGGTTCATGCGTCGATCTGGGGTCAACTGCGGGGGTCCGTAGGCCTCCCGCGTCAGGGAGCGGACCAAAAATATATGATGTATCCCTCTTATGGCCTCCGGATCGGCCAGGGGCACCGCGCTGTGTCGCCAGAATGACGGCCGAAAAACACACCGCGGTTGGACAGAATGGCCCTGCAACCCTTAACCGGGAACAACAATGTGCCTCGTGGTGCTGTTCTTCGGAGGAACCCTTTATCGGAAAAGTAGGGGGTCTCATTAATGTTGAATTGAGTGGGACGAAAAGAGTGCAGGACACACAAGGCCATCCCATGCTTCCCTGAAAACATTCATTATTTTGCAGAATCCACTAGTAAAACATACCATCAAGAGTTTGAGCCTGCGCGCCGGGTGCCGCTAGTGTAGTGGTGTACGTGCCTGCGTTAACCGCTGCACGTCTGGGAAACCACAGGTCCGGAATTCGATTCCCCACGTTGCCCGCCCTTCCCACCAGGATGAGGGGCTGGCGGCGCCATATAGCAGCTGATTGCATCATAAAGCCCCAATGACATGCCCGTAATCTGGGGTAACAAGGATAGCGTGGCTTGGGTTGCATTTTTCGCGAAACCGAACGGCGTTGGCCACTACAAGTAACGCCAGGGGTGGGCACTGAACAACAATGTTCATTGTAGCATGATGTTTCTTAATGTCTCAAAGTAATTCGTAGTTCAACAATTACACCGGGTGGAACTTGTTTGCAGCTTTGAGGATGTCCTCTGGACAGATTAATAGTTACAGCAATACGGAAATTAGAGATTTTGCCTCACTCTTTCAGATCCACGACCAGATTCCAGCACCACTTCGCGGTGCTGTAAATACCAATACGTTTTGTCATCAATCCAATAACCGCTCAGGTGAAATATACGCCCGGAATGCCTCTAAATATGCGATTTGGTGTCCAAAAGTACTCAAAGGTACTTCTTTCAGATGTGGTACCATTTTCGTGCACTGTTGGCCACAGCTTAGTATATATCGCGAGGCGGACCCTGTGCGGTCTAGGGAGACTGCAACGCCTGGCGTCGAGATTTTTACAAGATGTGCGAGTGCGCTCAAAACTACGCTACATAACTTGTACCACTAATCGCTTCTGACTGAATGTTGAATATATCCAAACAAACGTGGCTTGGCAATTTTAATACACATTGTTGACCCATTTTGGTCTTGATTGTGCTTTCGCGAAATCCTTGCTTGCTCTATATAGGCCAGATAAAAAATTCTGACAAAATTTCTGAGCTCCATCCGCTTAAAAGAGTTCACTCAGCCATTCTGAGACGAAAAACGCCGACGATTTATTTCATGCAGCTATCTAACGCATGATTATGTCAGTATATATATACTGCGAACTGCGAAAGGCAGAATTTATCTCACGGTAGCGTCCGGCCCTTATTCCAGTTAGAGGGTAGAAATATGCTATATATATATATATATATATATATATATATATATATATATATATATATATATATATATATAAGAAAAACATGTCCTCAACAACAATAGGACCATATCCACCGATCTGTTTGCGGTGGGGCGTTTTACTGTCAGAGGGCCTGTAGTGTTCAGGCGTTTTGAAAGTTTATTTCAGTAGTGATGTTAAACAGTAGTGCCTTTAGTAGTGGTTCGGCCGCCTAGCGGAAATTGCAAGAACCTGTGTTTGGTCATGTCACCGCTGCGGAGTCTGCGGGTGGGGCGACGGCTTTTGGTGCGAATTGTTGCATGTGTGGTGCGGCGCGGCTGACTGTGTGGCTGTTGTGGGCTGTATGCCAAGCTTTTTGGGTTGATGTTTTCGCAAGTAATTGCTTGATTTAAGTATAAAATAATAAACCTGTGTTGGCGAACGGAACATTGCAGGGTCTTTTGTCAACCCCTTACCCCCCCCCCCCCCCCCAGTTGGCAAAGCTCTGGCTGCGCGCCTGATATCAGGTCACCAAAAAGGTCACGGCTACCGCACACATGCCGAGCCAATAAAGTCTGTGCCTCCCACTCAGCAGCAGTAAGTCGTTGCAACCAACATATCATCAAATCAAGAACTTCCATTTGCCATGCAGAGCGCAAATGCAGAAAAAAACGGTTTACAAGACATTCACCGCGCTGCTTATGGTTCGGACTGCGATGGCAGCTTACCACCGATGAACTGAGCCCAGGCGACCCCGCAGAGCAGCAGGATACAGGCGGCTCTCATGGTGACTCGAGGGTGCTCGTCACGGCAGCTGAAGAGAACGGACGTGCGGCAACCAGCTAGCGCCTTATATACTGACCCACGGCGCCATGGCTCCGGTCTTATCAGCGCAGGACGGGTGCAGACGTGAGCCCGCGCCAGCTGGACGCCGGACGGTGTGCCCAAAGAGTGGGTGGGAGCGGCAGGATGCTGGCCGCCGCCCACCTGCTGACTCCCAGAGAAATCCCACACCCGTCAGGGCAGCGCTTGGCTGACTCCCCTGTGCCCGGACAATAGCGGTCGAGCGTTATCCGCGACCACTGGTGCAATCACGTCCGTTAACGGGGGGAGGAGGAGCCCTCAGCCATCAGCTAACACGCCAGAGGCGTATTGCGTGCCCCCATGTGCTAGCCCCCAACCCCAGCACCACCACACTATACTGACTTTAGCCACCAATGCCACTCTGAGCCCCCCCCCCCCCTGCCAATGCTACTCTGAGTCCCCCCCCTGCCCATGCTACTCTGAGCCCCCCCCCCCCCCTGCCGACATGGACAAGAAACGAACCCTGGGTCCTGGAAAATCAGCAAGTTTTCCTGAAATACGGGTACACTAGATACCTGAAAACATTACTTTTAGGTTCATTTCCATTTCGTACCATACAGTGTTCTGAAAGGTATCTTACGTGTTGTCATTCCAACTCCTTTATATGCCAGGCCAGTCTGCAAACAATGGTAAGTTTGTCACAAGACAACACCTTACCATGTGTCCCTTGTTTCCAAGGTGTTCATACAACTGGTCACGAACACTACATCTCGTGCCTTCATGCAATATGCCTGCGCAGGGTTTGCAAGCGACCTCACATGCTACGTTCTTCCGAATCATTTTGCTTTCATCCGACCGGCACATTTGTGGTGAACCCTAACCCCAGCTGGACGCGCTGGGGTCTCGAGGACTGATCGAGCTGGCACAGACTTTAAACTAACACTACCAGTCCACGCCACCCTAAGGTCGCGCACAACGTTTGATGGTACGATGGTACGATGGGACGATGGTACGATGACATTCGCCTGTCCGCGCGGCCTGTGAGCTACAAACGGGAGTTGCACGAAACGGCAATTCGTTTATTTGTTTCACCTTTCTATCACGTCATTGTGAACCTGGTGTATTGTGCAAACACGAGCATGTGTAGAATTTTACAATTGGGTGGGGGAGGAGAGCACAACTCGAAAACGAAACAGGGCGAAGTCTGCTGCCTTCGCGAGGATTTCCTGCGTGTCGCAAAACAGCATCGCATGTGCTCGAACTTTTTGATTTTACGCGTCCAGCTGAGATCTTTGATTCAACATTCCGCTGCGTTCATGTTCATACATGAGCAAATTTGGTAATGAGGATTAGGATGGGGAGGGGCGCCTCCTCCCCCCCCCCCCCTGCCCCCGCTGCCATGTGCGTACGCCTCTGTTTTAAATCAAGAACGTGGTGTACAACCGACGGGCCTCGCCCGATGTCTTGGCCCTCCGCTGCCACGAGAAAGAAGAGAAACCGACACGCTTACACGACTAAGGATCAGAAGATGCACACACCCCTCTCCACATTTATGTTGTAAGGACTGCCTTCTTAGCCATCACCAGCCTCTACCTACTCTGGTCTGTCAGTTATGACCTGTCCAGTGATCAGTATCTACCTACTCTGGTCTGTCAGTTATGACCTGTCCAGTAATCAGTATCTACCTACTCTGGTCTGTCAGTTATGACCCGCCCAGTAATCATCCTTTACCTACTCTGGTCTGCTAGTTATGACCCGTCCAGTAATCAGTATCTACCTACTCTGGTCTGTCAGTTATGACCCGCCCAGTAATCATACTCTACCTACTCTGGTCTGCCAGTTATGACCCGTCCAGTAATCATCTTCTACCTACTCTGGTCTGTTAGTTATGATCCGTTCCGTCATCATCCTCTACCTACTCTGGTCACCTCATAGGACAGAACAAGTAGGACTAACTCTTCGGGCGTCGGCCATAGGGGTCTGAGTCGCTGCAAGTTTGTGATTCGGTGGTCAATCATTGGTGTATTTACTACCCACGCATATTTATGCCGGTTCCCGCAGTCATGCCGGAGTGTTTCTGCTTTCCCACCCTAGCACGTGACAGGCACCTGGGAATGGGTTCCTCAGGCGGCTGGTTGTTTAACCTGCCACATGCCAGTTTGCGGGAGGTAAAAGAGTCTCCACGATTACACGGCATGACCGTGTCAGTGCATTGGATGACGCGTAATAGGTCCCCCGGACTGTTAAAGGTATTTTTTCTGACGAATTGCGCTTAATTGTAACCTCAAATCGTTATCTCTGCACCGTTTGGACTAAACCAAAAATGAGAAGACTAATGCATTATTAAGAAAATACTTATTACTTGCTTACTAAACACTTATTACTATTTCCACACTTATTTGTATTTCGTGGCTCCAAGCAATCAACACCCAACACTGGAAGGTCACATTCTTGGTTTTTTTAAACTTAACAAGTGAGGGAATCACCAGCTTTGCTGTTTGTCACAATCGACGTATTGACCCAGGGCACCAATTTTTGACATCCAGACAAACGCCTCGCACGCACTGTCGTGACACTTATAGTGCACGGTGCCGCACTATTTTGCTCCTGCCCGACGAGCGCACCTGGTGTCCCTGAACCCAGAACTGTTCAGAGCTTCCTCCCGCAAACTCATGGCTTTCTGAATGCCGTTGTAAGAAGCAATGGTTGCTGCCACATGCTCGAATGTACCGGCACTCTTCCTCAGGACTTCTAAATAGACCGTAAATTTCAAACGGTTGAGTACAGCATGGCTGACACATTAGGAGTTCATACATTCAGCTATATTCCATGATACGGAAACACTGCGAACAATACTGACCCGGTTACCGACTACGTCAATACTAAATATATGCCCGATTTTATCAGGCTGTTTCTGAACCGCCCGACTTTCCTCTAACGTTTCATAAAATGCCTAGACATGGTACATCGGTCAGGCACACAACAAAGCGATCTTGCTTGTGGAAAACGCCGGCGAATTAGTGGGATTTAACACTATTTCTTATTGATAGCGCAGTACCAGTGATTTTAAGTCACTTACATACACCATCGGCAGCATACAAAGCCTTTGTTTTTGCATGACATGCACAGACTACGCCGACCGCTTATGACATCCGTCTTGAACTCCATGATCCTGCGCTGAAGGATTGCAAACAGGCATGCAGAAAAAGCAAGGCAATATCAAAAGACAGAGCGGAGCCATTGGTGCAAGTCGATTCAGAGGACCTTGGAAAGAAAAATCATATGTTGGTCTTCTCCGTGGCGCAGAAACCCATCTGACCCGGGCAAATGGTCCCAGATCAACGCCAGAGCCCTCACTTACACTAGGCGACAGCTATCGCCGCAGGTGATCCTATAATTAGCACATAAACTTCAGTTAGGTTTAACGGACCTCAGCTGAAATGGGGTGAAGGGCTCCCGTTCGCTGCTGAGGCCCTGACTGCCACAGGGTCCCTCGATTGTCCCATCGGGACCTCTCGTTATATATCTCCTTCCATTGTCGGAGAGCCCGACCAACGCAACAGGCCATCCGGCATTGCAGATACCGTCCCTCTCCCTGTGGTTCGACACAGGGCTCCCTGAGGGCCACTGTGGGTCCCTGACCGTTAAAGGGGCTTCTTATTGTTCCAGAGGCCCGACCAAAGCACATTGCGGACCCCAGTCCCGTCCCTGCGTAGGAAATGTTCCCCGCAGCTCAGACCGAATTGGACCGGCTGTTCGGTGTTCGTGGTCTCCAGCCAAAATAGGGGCCGCGTTCTAACTGGGGTCCTCAATCGGTGAAAAAGACACTTATCAGAACATCATGTGCTCTGGATCGACCTACGTTTAAGCGTCTATCTTGATTTACTTGTGGCAATTCACGCGTATGTTGATACATGCAAGCAATTTGGTAAAGGGAAGGTCGCGTGCCTCAAGAGCCGCGCTGTAGATACGCCCCCACACATAACGTGCATCATGGTGAACTTTCGCACCTCGCAATCTTGGTGTCCCCAGCTTCTATAGTTTCGTAGACAGGTGTGTGTAGTTTTGCAAAAATTAGTTAGGGTCTGAGCACTACGCAAAAATGGCTTTACAAACCGTCTAAATTCATTAAAAGCGTTTTTTTCACCGGTTTGAACCACTTTCCCCTCAAAGTTAGGGAGGAGATCGGGCATTTTCCTCTTTCCAACCGAACAGGTAACTACATCCCTGCTCCGAGGTCGTTAGAAGTGAATGAATTATGCCTCTTGCCAGAGCGGCAGTTATACAAAATCCCAACCCAAAGGCAATGATTTTCGGAATCGGCGTGTCCAGAAGGTCCTGCGGACCAAATTTTGCATGCGATCGTGACTCCCCGGAATATCCAACTGGCAGTTGAAAATCGAAATGCTGATAGACCTATCCACATCCGTCAATCCAGCAGCAGGTTGATATCCAACTGTTTTTTGGATGTTCCGGGGTGTCACGATTGTCTCCAAATTTGGTTTGCAGGGTCTTCTCAACCTGCTGATTCCGAAAATCACTGTCTTTGGGGCGGTATTTTGCGTAACTTCCCAGTTACACGACGCGTAACACGCCTGTTTGATATTGCAGGGCGTCTCGATTGCCTCCAAATTTGGCGTTCGGATTCAGCGTGCTGAGCGTGACCTTGCACACCGAATTGAAAGCAAATCGAGACGCCCTACCATATTCAACTAGCATGTCATGCGTCTTGTAGCTCGAAAGATACGCAAAATACCACCCCTCAACCTACACTTTTCGAAATCAGCGTCTTGACAAGCCCCTGCACACCAAACATGGGGGCAATCGAGACGACTCGTGATATGAAACTGGGATGTTTAATTTCTGGTAACTAGGTAGTTGCGCAAAATCCCTCCCCACAACCTATGCTTTTCAAAATTAGCCTGTAGAGTAGAACCTTCACACCAAAGGTGATGATGATCGCGATGCCTCGCAACATCAAACTGCCATATTACGCATTTTGTGAATTTGGAAGTTACGGAAAATCGCACCCAAATCCACGGGATTTTCGAAACCAGCGTGTTGAAAAGGCCCTGCACACCAAATTTGAAGGCCATCGAGACGCCGCGCAACGTCGATCTGGCGTCGTTACGCGCGCTGTGTTTCGGAAGTTACGCAAAATCCCACCCAAAAATTAATGATTTTCGGAATTCGCGTGTTGAGAAGGTCCTGCACACCAAATTTGGAGGGGAACGAGACACTCCGCAGTGTCAAACTGGCCTGTTACGCGTCTTGTAACTCGGACGTTACGCTAAATTCCGCCCCACAACCTATGATTTTCGGAATCGGCGTGTTCAGAGGACTCTGCACGCCAAATTTGGAGGCAATCGAGGCGCCTCGCAATATGAAACAGGCAGTTGGATATCCATCTGCCCTCTGGTTGGGACAGAACTACTGGTCAGCTATTCTTCAAACCGGCACCAATCGAAAGCTAGTATGCGGTTTCACTAGCCGCTCTAAAACTGGTGACCACAGCTCACCTTCTTTACCTTCAAAAGCAGTATAGGACTACTTCAAGGCATTGCAGTCCAAGTCCAAACACGGAAACCCTCAACCGATCTGCTTGGAACCCTTGGAACCTGCTTGGAACCTTATACCTGAAGATAAAGCGCATGCGATTTCATCAGCCGTTCTAAAACTGGTGACCTCAGGTCACCATCTTTATCTTCAAAAACCGCATAAACCGCTTTAGGGCATTGCAGCCAAGTTAAACTGAAAAACCGCTCAACCGATCTGCTTGAAACCTTTACTAGAAGATACAGAGGATGCAATTTTATTAGCCGTTCTAAAACTAATGAAATCAGGTCACCATCTTTACATTCAAAAACCGCATGAACCACTTTAGGGCATTGTAGCTAAGTCCAAACTTGAAAAGCGCTCAACCGATCTGCTTGAAACCTTTGCCAGAAGATAGAATGCACGAGATTTCATCAGCCGTACTGAAATTGGTGGCCTCAGGGCGCCATCTTTACCTTTAAAAAGCGCATAAGCCACTTTAGGGCATTGCGGCCAAATCCAAACTCGGAAACCGTTCAACTGATCTGACTGGAACTTTCACCAGAAAATAGAGCACATACGATTTCATCAGGGGTACTGAAATTGGTGGTCTCAGATGTTCATCTTCCTCTCCAATACTCGCGGTTAAGGCAGACGCATTTGAATTGAATCAGCGTCAAAATGCGTCGTGTATACATAAGTCGTGTATGCACCACACACGTTGACAACATACACGCGCGTGCAGGCGTAAAGACACCAAAACATACACACACACAGTCAAACTTCGACTCCCAATGTTTCCAGGATGTGTTATTTATGCACGCTTGTTAGTACAGGAAGCGCATCTGCGTCAACTCGTATAAAATCGCGTTTGCTTATAAGATTGAGAAACCGTGACGTAACACTTGCCTTCGTAATGTGATAAAACATCCTAGTCATCTTTTTAACAGTTGCAACTTCTTACTACCACATCTCCAACAGCTCTTAGAAACCCCCTCGCTCCTTAAAACTGGACGATGTCGTGAGGCTTACGTAACGCCCCTCCAGTCAATTTTTATTCCAAGATTTACATTTCTTTGTTTTGAGAGAGGTTGCAACTTTGAGGAATGGTTCTTTATTATGGCAAACTGGGATCTTAGATCTGAGGGGTCGCTAATGTGGCTTCCTCCCTACCGAAGGTGGGATTGTCAGTGACTCACTAATGTTGGTGCATAACGGCTTCGGTGCTTGGTTGAAGAACTGATCGCGTCTGATCTTGCGTTAATATAAGCTGATTTCGTCACCGGTCGCTGTAAGCAGATGTTCATAGGATTTATGGACTGTGTACGATCATTGGCAGTCATAAGCTTTGCCCACTCCGGCCTCCTGGTACATAACCACATCACGTAACGTCTCAACGATGTGATAGATGCCAAGACGCTGCCGACTGGATGCTGCGGAAATGACATCATTTATGCTCTCAGTGCGGTTGGCAGAAAACTTATCACCCATAATTCCTCTGATAAAGCTGTCGAGTGTGTATTTCTTGAACCATTTCGAAAGCTTTACTCCCTTTTGACCCAGGACACTCATCCACTTGGCCATGCATGCCTCGAGGTGTTGTGAGAGTAAACCGGCATCGGTCGTATGAACCAAACCAGCATTTTGGTCAAAAATATATGTTAAAACGACACTCTGCTCAGGTACCCCGATGAGCATATCACTAAGCTTACACTTGATATGACGCCTGAGATTAATGTGGCAGAGGTATGGTTCAGCGTGCGGAGAGCATGCTTTAAATGCACTGTGGAGAGCCTCGTCGTCGTCGCTTCCAAATGAAGCCAATAACTTTTCATGATCTACCAACTGGCGCATTTCGCAAACAAAGGCAAAATGCGTGCCCCTATCTTTATTCACATGGACCATGATTGGACCTAGCGATGTTAGATGCTTCTGTGTAGCATTTGAGGTGACGCTGAGGTTTTCGTAAGTTAACGAGGCTGACGTAAAAGTCACCCAAGTTGCACATCGTGTCTACGCTGCAAATGGAATAATTGTGTGGGCCACAACAGAACTTACCAACGTTAACTTTCTGATGTTCGGTGTAAATAAATGTGATAGGCTTATGTGCGAAAGATATTTCGCGTAGAAAACGCGTTCCACGAAAATCTTTTTTGCCCTCAGCAGTAAAACGTTGCAAAATTTCTAGTTAATGGTCACCATAAGAAAAGCCGAAGTTGACAGAGGAGGAGGCTTGGTTTGCTTTCAGAACAGCTGATGAAATCGCATCCTCGCTATCTTCTGGTAAAGGTTTCTAGCACATCGGTTGAGCGGTTTCCAGGTTTGGACTTGGCTGCAATGCCCTTAAAAGGTTTATGCGGGTTTTGAAGGTAAAGATGGTGACCTGGAGTCGCCAGTTTCAGAACGGCTGATGAAATTGCATATGCTTTATCTTCCGGTAAAAGTTCCAAGCAGGTCGGCTGGGCGGTTTCCCAGATTTGGACCCAGCTGCAATGCCTTTAAGTGGTTTATGCGGTTTCATAAGGTTAAGATGGTGATCTGGGGTCACCAGTTAACCAACGGCTAATAAAGCCGCATACTAGCTTTCGATTGGTACTGGTTTGAAGAAAAGCCGGCGTGTAGTTCCGTAGTTTGAAATTGGCTACATGGATGGCGGTAAAGTAGTGCTGTCCCCTGACGGACATGATCTATTTCCTTAACGCTTACTACAAATATGGCGAGGGCGTATTTCACTGAACGCCGCAATCTCAAAACCTGATCGGTAAATGATTCTGCTGCTGTTGTAAGCGGTAAATGACACTAAAGCTTCTGGCATTGTATCCAGAACGCTTGTTCATTGGCGAATGATCTAGAAATCGCCGCTTACTTTTTGCTTGGGTTATTTGGGCAACAGAGTTGGACGGAACTGCCGGCACCGATAGCAACGCGTCGCAAGTGTGTTCCGACGTCTGCCAGTCTCTGCCGGAAGGTGCCTAGCCGGTTTCCTGCCGGTTTTGTGGCATACATCGTAGATAATTTAATATAGCTTTCATATGACAGTCCGAGGTATTTAGCATCTCCTATAGCAGGTTAGCAATGGACCACGGAAAGTGACCGGGCGATGTTGCCGTGGGAGTGCACTATGCATTGCTAATTATTCGTAAGCATTTTGTGATGTCACGTTGTGTTTATTATCCATCATTGTTCAACTATGCGTGGTTTTTTTAAGCTGTTGATGTGTTCTTAACATATTAATCCTTGCCTTGAGTCACTGTTTTGTTATGACAGAATGGTAAGGGGTTCCCGTGTCCACACAATTGCTTGTTGCCCAGCAAAGGGAGATATATTTTGGTGGAATATCACTGATTGATTGTTATCAATAAAATGTTGTGATTGATGATGTGTTCAATTTTTCTAGGTACATAATTTACAGCTTAATGCCAAGTCAAAGGTCAATTTTTTAATATGTCAAAATTTTAGCTTTACATGCTCATATGCATGAGAACATGCTTTGAGTGACATAGTACCTAAACATGTGGATTCCATGTTCAGTTCTGAGTACTGCAATATCTAGTTTTAGGGACACGAAGCATGCACCTTTATGTGCATGGGCCACCTGTACAGTGTTAGGACATTAATAATACATGCCCCTTGGGCTGCTGAAAATTTGGGTGTGGTTGAACATTATGTAAGAGAAGCATCCTCAGGAATCCTTGTGGGTTGCATAAACCCTTCTATCTCGGGATGACAACTAGAAATATGAAACTGAGTGCATCTATTATAATGAATAGCTGAATACTTACAAAGGAAATATAAATAAACATGTGCCAAAAGTGACACAAAATGTTGACTGTTCAATGTCTACTATCCTGGTCTGTGTCATGTGTTAGGGTCACATGTCAACAGTCTGCAAAAAATAAATTTGCTGGGTGGGATGCCTATGCAGCATCTGTCACTGAACCTAGCAATGCTTGTGCTGAGCTTGGCTAGGTTAAAGTGAGCTGAATTTTCAGTTTTTGATTAAAATTTTATTCAGTGTATTTTTGCTTAGAATTACCTTTGCAATATCACAAGCTATTCACATAATGGTTTCTGTACTGAAATCATTCCTGGCCATGAGGCAAACTTCCCAAATTTGTAAAGTATGTGCACTGAAATTTTATCCTAGTTTTGCTTTCACCTCAGCCATGTTTTCTATAACATGTCTACTTTTTGAAAGTTTGACCACCATTGTGCACAGTAGGCATCTATTCATGATATGTTTATCCCATTGACTTGTAATTCATGTGTGTCAGGCCACATGTCAATGTAGTCAGATTAAAATTATGAGGGGAAGTTGGGTTGTTATGATATGAGAGGCCATCATCAGACAAACAAATCAAACACTGCAGTTTGTACTCCATTGTCAAGTGGGGGAAATTATTTGTCATGCAGCTTGAAATAATAAATTGTCATCAATAACTGCATGTTTGCTGACATGAATTAACCTAAAGTTCTTGTGCATGCTTATTTCCCAAAGGGGACTTTGAGGCAAGTGTATGTTATATTCATTTTTGACAAAGTTGGAGCCATTTTGTATCCATTCCCCAATTAGCATTTCACATACAGCATACTGTAGTCTTCAATGTGCCAGTTGGCTTGTCTGCAAAAAATCCATGCACTACACTAGATATCAGTGTGCTGTGATCAGTGTGATATCAGTGTGCTGAACCTGGATCATGTGTGCACCAAATGCAGGTCACCTCAAGTCCATATTGTGTCCAATTTTGTATGCATGCTTTGTGTGAGAATTTTTGTGCTTTCTGCTTAAATTACCTAGGGACATAATTCCAGCAAATATACTCTATGCACAGAAATTTGTAGTGACTATGAGCCAAACTTGGGATGATCATATTTGCTGTATGTACACAATGAAATTGTTGCTTAAATGTTACTCTTACTACAGATGTACTTCAATGCAGCATGTATTGTTTAGTTTGGCCAGGATGCAATTGTTAAAAAACACTGTTAGGCAAGCAGTTGTTATATCAAGAAAGCTATGACCATGAGTGCAGTGGTTACTGTGACCTTGAGCACAATGTGAATCACCCACTTTTGTCAATGTAGCTGTTGTTTGCACATCATTTGACCAATACTGCTGTCTTGGTATATTGGAGGCTGGTTGTTGGCAGCAGGCACCTTATCAGCAGGTTAACCAAGGGCACTCATGCTCAAGGTCTACAGGAAGTGATTCAAAATGATGGTCCACTTGAAGAGGTGCACTGAAGTGAGCAAAAATACACTTAAATACTGGTCTCCATCAGTGTATTGATGTGAAATACATAGCTACCTGATGAAGGCTAATAGCCAAAAATATTTTGCATCTCTGTAACATGAGTCATTCCTGACTCAGATGACTTACTTAGCCATAGCATCAATAACACTTGAATACAATGGAGTGCATACTGATTGCTGATACTGAGTGTTTGCATATTGTTGGTCATGATTAGGATTAATGTGTCCACAGTTTATCTGGGGCTCTGTATATATATATATATATATATATATATATATATATATATATATATATATATATATTGGGTATGGTATCAGATTTGGGCTTGCGCCGATGGTTACTGATAATAATGTTCCCTTTTATATAACACTTATAATACTTATCAAATCTAGAAGTCTAGACTTTTGGCTGATCTGGAGTGCTCAGGTTTGGAGCTCTGCCTTGACTTATTAGCCCTGAGTTGCTAATATGATCACCATGGCTACCAACATTTCATGGAGGATGCATGATCACATGCATCATGTTCCCTGTAAATAGGAATGAAGCTTTACCATAGATAATGCTGACAGCACAGCCAGGTGCTGCACAATCCCTGTAGGGTTAAAGAGAGGTGGGGGAGGTGCAAAAACATTATTATCATGGCACATTACAACAGTGACATTGTGTTTTGTCAGTGCCCTTGGTAGCTACCTCTTGTTGTATCTGCCACTTTGTCCTGGTGCCCTGCAAGAGATGTTTCATTGCCTTAATAAGTCATTGTGGCAATGACTCTGTCAAGTTCCTGTTCCAATATATATATATATATATATATTCATGGTAAAAATCAGGTGAATAATTATGACCTTTTTTCATCAACAGTGCAGGGCATCAGTGGGACAGCTGCCTCATAAGGTTGTCAATATTGGTTAGTGAAGTGTTTGAAAAAACGAGGTAGATAAGTACTTAAAATGGCATTAGGTCCTAAGCATTCTAGGGACACACATGTAATAGCAAATATTCACAATCTGGGCATTTGTTATTTGAACAATAACAAGCTAGTTTTTCATTGCTATTTATGTTCATATCTTCATATGACCCATGCTGGTATTTTACCTGCATTCTGTTTGAGCCTGGGTCTGAAGGAAAACGTTTTTGCTGTTTGGGTGGTTTGGTTTCAACTCTCACAAAAAGAAGAACTAGTCCCAGCCACTTATTACATATTTTTGTGATTTACACCCCTTTAGTGGTAGCCCAGTTGGTTGCTCCTTAATGCAAGGGATATTTTGCAGACATGTATTGTGTTGATTGGTTGTATTTTTCACCTACATGCATTACTAATACATTTGTATTAAGATAGATGCATACATCCTTCTGTGATGTAACATTGAATGGCATATGCTTCTACTTGTGGTCGCCGTGAGGTGGCTTGCAATGCTTTCGCAAAAATCTGTCATGCTGCTGCACTGCAGAAATGGTATTGAGCACTATAAAATGTTCTGCCCTCACTGTTGCCAGCTGCGAGGCATTTTGTCTGTCAACCCTACCCTGACGCATGATCCTGAAACATTGCAGACTGACACCAGCCAGCCAGCAGCCATGGACAGCCAGGGCCGCAAGGTGATCGTGTGCGACAACGGCACTGGCTTCGTCAAGTGCGGCTACGCGGGCGCCAACTTCCCGGCGCACATCTTCCCGTCGATCGTCGGCCGGCCAATCATCCGCGCCGAGAACAAGATCGAGGGCATCGAGGTCAAGGACCTGATGGTGGGCGACGAGGCCAGCCAGCTGCGCTCCATGCTGCAGGTCAGCTACCCCATGGAGAACGGCATCGTCCGCAACTGGGACGACATGTTGCACGTCTGGGACTACACGTTCGGCGCCGAGAAGATGAATATCCAGCCGCGCGAGTGCAAAGTGATGCTGACCGAGCCGCCGATGAACCCCGTGAGCAACCGCGAGCGCATGGTGGAGGTGATGTTCGAGAAGTACGGCTTCGCCGGCGCCTACGTGGCCATCCAGGCGGTGCTGACGCTGTACGCGCAGGGCCTGCTGACGGGCGTGGTGGTGGACTCGGGCGACGGCGTGACGCACGTGTGCCCCGTGTACGAGGGCTTCGCGCTGCCGCATCTGACGCGCCGACTTGACATCGCCGGTCGCGACATCACTCGCTACATGATCAAGCTGCTGCTGCTGCGCGGCTACGCCTTCAACCATTCGGCCGACTTCGAGACGGTACGCATGATGAAGGAGAAGCTCTGCTACGTCGGTTACAACGTGGAGCAGGAGCAGCGGCTGGCGCTGGAGACGACCGTGCTGGTCGAGTCGTACACGCTGCCCGACGGGCGTGTCATCAAGGTCGGCGGCGAGCGCTTCGAGGCACCCGAGGCGCTCTTCCAGCCGCACCTCATTAACGTCGAGGGCAACGGTGAGTGGGTGGCCGGCGGGTGGGGCCGTGAGCCGGTGTGGTGCGATGCTCTGGACTGCAGGGCGTTGTGATGCGCGAGGTTCGGCGCTTGCTGCTAGTGGCCAGCGTCCACCGTGGGCTGCATTTGGCTGTGATCAGTTTGCATAGCTTGCGGGAACTGTTTCAGTATTTTATCATTCAGTTGGCTCGTATTTTCAGTAGGTAACGCAGTCTGGTCTGGATGTTAAGAGCGTCCTTTGCCGTACTGACTGGACGTCCAGCCCAGTATGCTGCGCTACTCTGGGCCACCCCCAGCCAGGATCGCTCTGCAGCGAGCGACTGCATGCCGTATGGATCTAACGCCGCGGACGTATGAGCCGCCAGGCCCTGCGACCCGGCCTGACCGCGATCTCGCCGTCCTACAGGGATCGCCGAGCTGGTGTTCGGCACCATCCAGACGGCCGACATCGACATCCGGCCCGAGATGTACAAGCACATCGTGCTGTCGGGCGGCTCCACCATGTACCCGGGCCTGCCGTCGCGGCTGGAGCGCGAGATCAAGCAGCTCTACCTGGAGCGCGTGCTGCGCGGCGATGCCGAGAAGCTGGCCAAGTTCAAGATCCGCATCGAGGACCCGCCGCGCCGCAAGGACATGGTCTTCATCGGCGGCTCGGTGCTCGCCGACGTAATGAAGGACAAGGAGAACTTCTGGATCACGCGCGAGGAGTACGCTGAGAAGGGGCTGCGCGTGCTCGACAAGCTGGGCATGCGCGTCAGCTAAGGCTCAGGTGCGGGGGGCCGACCGGCACTGGCCAATTACGCCGCGGTTCTGAACAAATAGGTGCCGAAGGGAGGTCGGAGGTCGGATGCGGCGGTTAAACGCTCATAGGCCGTAAAACGGAAAAGAGAGCCGAGCTTGAACGCTTTGAGTACCTTGGATGATTTTTAGATGAACTGAAATTTGGCATGGCTGATATTGGCGCGTTGAAATTGAATTAACTAGCTTTTCCCTGCGCATTTTCACGTCCGTTTTTGCTGGTGCCTTCGCACAGGCATTCAAATATGTCCGAGAAGATCGCGCCTTGCACAAATGAAGCAACCCATTGTTATCCAGACCAAGTTACGCTACGCTACGTTAAGCTATTTAAGTGGAAGGGCAGGAACAGCTCGAAGCCTTGTGGGACCGAAGCACAGTAATTCTCGCCCAGATCATAGGCTCCAGTGATACAGTTCCATGGAGGGACGATTTGGGCGGCAATGCACCGCGAAAGCTGCCCGGTAAAAGGTTGCAGACTATGTACGGATCAGTCGTTGTAAAGCATGCTAGTTGAATGCGGTAATCGCCAAGGTTATTGTGATTTTGATATCTGCGCGCCAGCCAATTGAACGGCTGATCGCCGCGTTTACGCGAACAGCCACCTACCGCCGCCACGGCTTCGTATTCTGAACCGTGCGTGTGTGTTTGTGCGCGCGATGATTCGGCTTGCGCTTCTATCGGAGCGGTGCGAGTGATGTGGGCGGACTGGGACAGCACGGCGCCACTCCATTCCAGTTCCCGGACGCGCCGAACGCCCGCCTTCCCACAGCTGCCGCCTCCGGGCAGCGCTGCCCCTCAGATCTTATAATAAACACGTTGTTTCTGAACCTGCGTGTGGCGGCGGCCGGCTGGCGCCGCGCGATGACGCCAGCAGCTGACAGTAGTGGGGCCGCACCCGGCCAGAAGCCCCGCTGGCCCTGACTGGGCCGCGCCGCCCGCCGCCGGTGCAGCGGGTCGCCGTGAGAATCACCGTGGCGGCCGCAGATGCGTCCCCCCCCCCCCCCGCCCCCGCCGCCTGACGGTAGCGAGTGTTCCCGGCCGGGGTCGTCGTCGGGCTAGGCGGTGCCGGCGCCGGCGCCGCCCCGCTAACCGCATGCGGTCTCCGCTGGGAGCAGCCGGGTGGCAGATTGCAAGATATGTGTACGGAGCACGGTCTTCACAGACGGAGGGGGGGGGGGGAATAATGGGTTCAGCTGGTGACGGTGGCGTTACCGACATGAGGTGGCGCCGCAGACACATGGACAGTGACAAGGCACGGGTGCGCTGCGTGCGCAGGCGTCCAACGTCCGAGCTGCTGCTCGTTCGCTTCATGTGGATTATCGTCAACACCCTCACTGCTCCGCTCACACATTCCATATCGCCAAGCCTGTTGTCAGCCAACAACTTTTCTGCGCGTGACACGCGTGCATGGATGGTCGAGTATACGCTTGCCGCACTTCCCTCAGTGGGTTTGTCGCGCGCGCGTTTGGAATATTGCAAGAACTAACCGTATAACGTCTGTCACGAGCATGGACTTCTGTTCGAGCCCGAATTCGTATTCTCCATGTCACTGGCGCAAGTGTCCTTTCTAAGCCATGTGCATTGCTCGGGCTAGTTATCTAGTTCATGTCTGGGGTGTGGTATGTTTCCTACTCAGGTGGTGGCGGGGTCCAGTCTCCCCCCCCCACCCCCACCAACTTGGGCTCCACCCCCTGTAATTTTAAAGCGTGAGCCACATGGAGGGAAAACACGCTGGCGTGATATTGGGGGCGAAGGTTCCGCCATTTTTCGCTATTCAGTCGCCCCTCCCCAACTCATTGTGCGAGACTTCAGCTCTGTTGAGATCTGAGTCGCTGCAATGCACTGGAAACTTACGGAGCTCGGACAAATCACACCAACACTGGGCCAAGCTGATACCAGAACCGAACCCAACATGCGTGGAAGATTGGCAAAAGATGCTAGTAAATAATATCCTGAGCATGTCGCACGTGACGTGGCGGCGGAACGGCCTCCGTGCAAATAGATCTAGAGGTTACAATGATTGGATGCATAAATAAAGTCATTACATGCATCAACCCATTGCCTTCGTGAATGACTGACGTTTATTTCAAGTGTACGCGAGGATGAGCAGCAAAGCCGCTGGCGCGCAACGGGCTGAAACTTCCGTTCTTGCGCACACAGAAGCGTACCCCCGAGTACGCCGGTGCTGCGAGTGCGGAAAAAAAACTGAACATATCTATACTCATTTTACCTTAGCCTCAGGAGACGCCTCGTCACACTGCTTCACCGTCGTAAAACTGGGAGCGGCTACGTAACGGGCCGCATCCGACCTCGTCAATCGGAGTTCACTCATCACCGCTGACAATCCCAGTCTCCGCCCGGCACTGAGCCGTCAACAGCAGCAGTGACACGCATGATGAGCTGCACCATCGCCCCCGGCACCCAACAGCGACACGTCTGATGAGCTGCACCGTCGCTCCTGGTACCCAACAGCGACACGCATAAGCTGCACCATCGCTCCGGCACCCAACAGGGACACGCATGAGCTGCACCATCGCTCCCGGTACCAAACAGCGACACGCCTGAGCCGCACCATCGCTCCCGGCACCCAACAGCGACACGCCTGATGAGCCGTACCATCGCTCCCGGCACCCAACGAGGCAGGCCGACCGTCAGACCACACCGCCAGGCCAGGCCGGCGCTCCGACCCAGGCATCACGGCGCGCCGACTCGGGCGGTCCACAGCGCTTACCCACCACATACCTCCCGCCTGGCGAACTAAAACGGGCAGAGGCTTGCACTCTCGTGCCGCATAACCAGCCGGCCTCTGTCGGCGCAAGTGCTCACGGTGTAGCCGACACCGCCTCCACCGTCCAGCAGCCTCACATCCTCCTTTGCTCAGCGCCCCGCATCGGCACCACCAGGCATGCGTGGCACCACACGTGACGTCGCGAATCCCTCGGCCTCGGCCAGCAATTTCTGACTCCACTTACCGTGATGCATCATCCAGCGCCGGCCGAACCGCCCGCGGGCCCACGCCAGGCAAACGCGCCACTTCACAAAATCCCTTTATTGTTCCTCCTGCGTGATGTAAAAGAGCCAAACCAACCAAACACCTTATTAGCACAGAAGCAGTATGGATGTTCTCTGGCAGCGCGTCGCGCCGGGCCCGCTGCCTCGAGGAGGGACGCTGCCGGACACTGTTGTACTGTGGCCGGGAGGCCGGCGACACGGCGGGCCGCTGACAGGAGGGCGGACAGAGACAGAGTGTCGGCACCACGCCCAGCCGCTACTCCTTGGCCACCGGTACCGCCTCGGGCACGGTCGGCTTCTTCTTCTTCTTGTTGGCGCTCTTTTTGTCCATGGGCGTTGCTAGCAGCGACTGGAGGGAAGCACACGCGTCACACACAGAGGGCAGCAGCAAATTAGATTATTCGCGGCAGGATGAGCGGCCATTGTCAGCGTCACGATAATCCCTCAGATCCCTTAGAATCCCTCAGAAGTCACTCAAAAGCAACACAAATCGACGGACCGCATTCGTAAAGCACTCGTAAATGTCTGCCCAGCATCGGCTGAACGTGTCGACACCTACCACGGCAGGACCGTGTCAGACCCGGTAGCGGCTGTTCTGTCACCGGAATAAGCTGATTGGTTACCCCTCGTCATTGTGAGTCACCTCAGCACAGTGAGTCAGTCGCTCACTAACTTTTGCGGTCAACTGCCGAGCCACCTAAAAAACCCACGGATATCGCAACAGATATTTGAAGCCTGCCCCCAGTCGGCCAGCCGCCAGCACCGCAGCGCCTCTGGCAGCGCTGGCAGCGCTGGTCGGCCGCCCGCTTCAGCCTGCCCGCCCGGCGCGCACGGCGCCGCCGGCCGCTCCGCACCTTGACGTCGGCGTCCTCTATGGAGTGCTCTGCCCGGCAGGTGGTCGGATCGAACGGCACGCCCGTGATCTTCCTGGTGGCGTTTGGCATCAGCAGAATGGTCGACTTGAACTGGGCCACCAGCTGGTCTGAGGCAGGGCCGCGCGCGGCGCGTCACGCAACGCGCATCGTCTACCACGTGACGATGCCGATGACGGCGGCGTTTTGGGGGGGGGGGGGGGGACAGCGATACAGCGGGGACAGCGATAGTCAGTCACGGAAACGGAGCACAGGTCTGCACAACGTAACCCAGATCGCGCAGGCACTGCCCCAGGCCAATGGAATGGAGCCAGGTGGCGAGCGCGCTCCCTCGTCAGCGATAGCCAGTCATGGAAACGGAGCACAGGTCGGCACAACGTAACTCAGATCGCACCGGTACTGCTCCAGGCCAATGCGTCCCTTCGGCGTTGATCTTGCGTGGAATCACGCCATCCTGTACTCAGCTGTACGTCCCGGCACGCCGGCGGCTGCAGCAGCGTCGGCGCGCGGCCGCGACCGGTGCGAGCCCGCCGGTGCTCACCTGGTTTCTCGTACAGGACCTGGAACGGCTCTATTAGCCTGTGGTTGACGCACTCCACCACGCCCAGCTTGGCCTTCTTCTCGTCGTCCATCCCTCTGCGGAGAGAGCCGGTGATGTCACAATAACGTCAGCCGCGGCGCACCGCAACGTCCGGCGCGATACCGAATCAGTCGCGACGAGGAACGCCGAGAGCGCGGCCACGCAGAGGCGTGCCGCGGCGGCCACGTCACGCGTGGGAATGTGGATGCCGGTGCCCGGGTCGTAACCTCCCGCAGTGCGAGTGGCATCACGGTGTCACGCATTACGGCGGCATTCACTGCGGCGATGGCGGCTGCTCAGCAAAGTCGCAGTCGCCATGAGCGGGGGGGGGGGGGGGGGGATCCATCAGCGGTCTCCGAGTCTTAAGGCGGTACACAGGCATGCAATACAGGCATTGGCCATGCACGGTGGATATACAGACAATACGGCAACGGCGGAGCACGGGAGGGCGGGGCTCAGCCCCGCCGCGATGATCCTATTCACAGGCGGTCCAGCAACACCCGCTGGGCCAAGGGGGGCACACGCACACGCACACGCACACCACATGCACGAGGCGCTTTCGGGCTTGATGCCGAGAACGGCGCACCAGTATGCCTAGTATCCTCATCAAAAATATCATTAAATGCTGGAGTAAACAATACATAAACACGGCACACGACAATCACACATTTCACGATCATCCCTGTTTCAGAAATCGAAATGCCCAGAACAACCACCACTGGCAGAAGGTGGCCGCACCTAAGATTGAATGGCATGGTGCCACACTTCTTGTTGACCTGCGACAAAAACTCTCGGGACGTCTTCATCTTGAGACTGTACACCTCGTCCGTCTTCTTGTAGACCGTGGTGCGCGCGTCCAGCTCCCTCGCCTAGCGGCAAAAGGTATGACGTCAGCAACACCAACACCCCGTCAAGCTCGGTATGGACTGTGTGGGTTCGACAGCAGCGGGCCCCCCTGGTTGACCGTCCGACACAGCCCGCCAATGGACCATGCAGGACAACGGGCCGAGACGGACTGTAACAGGCCGGACAGACCGCCGAACACGCCGGAGGACCATGTAACCAGAACACAAGAACGGCAAAACTAGGATCTCCCTTACAAATATTCTATGCATAACGACCTCTCTCAACCACTTTCTCGTTTTTTGATGTCCATGTGGATCCCATGCTCACTGTTCGCATGCAGTCTGGGACGTACAAGAGCAGGCCGGACACCCCACACCGCCCCGTCACACCAGCCCCGCCGACTCCGTGCCGGAGCGCTCCTGCCGCGCGATGTCCCCGGGCTCTACCCCGTCCCCCCAGCCGACGTACCGTGCCGTCACCGGTCGAGATGAGCACGTCCAGGCCGTACACCTCATGCTTCTCGAAGTCGCACTTGTCGTGCTCCTTGCGCTGGCCCTCGGTCGGGTTCTGGATGATGGTCTTGTCGCCGTTGATGACGTTCTGCTTCAACTGGTGCGAGAGCATGCCCTCGATCGGCTTGGTTTTGTACTCGGCCGCGATCTTGGTCACCATGTCAGTCACCGTGTAGTTCTGCCGGCCCGGCCATGGTCACTGGGAAGCTTGGGCAGACGGTCAGGCAGCGCAAGCTCACACGAACTCAGCCCACACCAGGTGATAAGGCGAGCCGGATTAAAGGTGATGCAAGTTTCGTTATCCCCCGTGTGCGGGACTTGCAGGAATTTTAGTGACGCCAAGATAAACTCATGAAATGGAAAGAAACAAAAAAAAAACTTTTTTAATCTGGAACAATATATACACTACCAATAAGGAACCTCAGCACAAACACAGGGTGTTCGGAAAGATGCAGGACTCGGGAAACAAAAAAGAGAGCGGGGACTACAAAAACTGCGCGAATAAATCCGACCCCGTCGAATGTGGCGATGCCAGACATCTGTCGCAAAATCGCTCAGTCGACATATGAACTATCTGGATGCTTCTTCAAATCCACTGAGCCACTGACATAGCCACTAACGATAAGGCCCACACGCAAAAAGAAGCCGACCACCAAACCTACAAACCACCCTGTCAAAAGCATCCAGTAACGCTCCTGACCCACGGGAAGTCCGTCCGCAACGAGCCGGATGCGGCACAGACCCGCCACCCGCTGTCCGCAGCGGAGTGCGGCCACTGCCGACGGGGCGGGGCAGGGGCGGCTCACGCGCGCGCACGCACGCACGCACGCACCCACACCCACACCCACACCCACACACCTCCTGCGCCGGCTTGACCAGCCGCAGCGCCGCCTCGAAGGCGTAGTGGGCGGCCAGCAGCACGTCCGCCTTTCGGCCGGTCACGGGGTTTTCCTTGTCGGCGCCCACCACCAGGCTGTGCGCCACCACCGCCGGGAAGCCGTCCACGTGGCTGCCCAGGTCACTGGGCGACGGGGTCACGCGGTCACTCAGCCACCAATGGCGAAGAATGTGCCGGCATACAGCCACCATTGGGGCGGCAGAAATACAGTCACATGGTGGCTAGAATGCTGAAAGATCCTGACACGCGGAGGCCACCAGGGTGGCAGATAGCTGTATAGCCGTCTGCATGAAGGGACAGATGCTGGCGCATGACAGTTACTGGGGAGCCAGACACATCGACACATCAGACGACACACTTGGGCGTCTGACTGGCGCACAGCGGTTACTGGGGAGTCAGAAACATCGACACATCACACGACACGCTCGGGCGTCTGACTGGCGCACAGCGGTTACTGGGGAGTCAGAAACATCGACACATCAGACGACACGCTCGGGCGTCTGACTGGCGCACAGCGGTTACTGGGGAGCCGGACACATCGACACATCAGACGACACACTTGGGCGTCTGACTGGCGCACAGCGGTTACTGGGGAGCCGGACACATCGACACATCAGACGACACACTCGGGCGTCTGACTGGCGCACGAGTGGCAGAGGAAGGCGGACGAGGCCACGCCACCGGCGGCGGCGACAACCGGCCGGCGAGCGAGGCTCACATTTTCACCAGGTCGCCGTCGGCCAGCGTCACGTCCGGGTCTGAGTCGAGTGGCGAGAAGTGCCCGATGCAGTGGTTCACCGCCACGCACGTCGGGAACGCGATCCCTGTCGGCCGGGGCACGCGTCATCGCCCGGCGCCGTGCCGGGAAGCCGGACTGGTCGGCGGGAGCGGGGACGGTCACCGCAGGAAGGTAGGAGTGGTCGGTGGCAACTGAAGGAGCTGGAATGCAGTGACACTAAGACAGAGGTTACCATCCTTATAATGTATGACTGCGAGCGCGAAACTGGTGCATACATTGCCAGAGCTATAGATTTCTGCTGGCAAAGCCCATGAATGCCCCTTAATGCCCAACTTATAGCCAGGCTCACAACATAAGAACCAGAAGCAAGCAACACAGCTCAGGCCCAGCTGCTGCCCACACAACTGCACAGCATTCCAGGCCTGTCACAGACTACAGTACTACCTGTCACCCAATGAGAAGCTTGGCTGGCATCTCTACAAGCAGTGTACTGGTGAGTACTAGGGGTCCCACTGCAGCCCAGCCCAGAGGAGAGCAAGCACTGTCCACAGCTGGCACCCCAGGACAGTGCTCATGCGATGAGTGAGGAATGGGGGATGCACTGTAGTTGGCATCACCAGCCCACCACCTGTGGTGCCCAGGGTCCTGTCATTTTCCCGAAAGCTCCCACTTCCAAGTAACACAACTGCTATACATGGTGGAAACAACTATGGCACAATTAAAGGGAGCATGACACCTGATGCCATGCATGCAGGTTGTTATGAAAGTTTGCTCAGTATCTAGCCACTAGAGATACATGCATGTCCTAAATTGATGTCATCAATCAACTATATACAAGACATGTCACAACAGGCAGCTCATCCCTACCTTTCTTCAAATTCTTGTCTTTTCTGTAGACTTTTGCAAGTTCCTCCTCTAGAACCCTATCTCCAGTCTTGCAGAGGTCTCTTACTGATGCACCAGCCACACACTTGGCCATAACTGCCTTGAGTGCCTCTGTAAATAAAAAGGAAATAATCATCACAAAAACTGGATGCCATATTCACAGTTCCACCACACAAAAACATGAACACTAGGAAGAGAAAGATCATGTCACTGAAAAGGAGATCATAAAATATCACTGTTGTTTTGAAAATTGCTTCCAAAAATGAGAAGTTGTGCCCAAACCAACCATGCATTTTTGTCTACAAATACCATCACAGTGCAGCCAGTTTGGTCATATGGTGGTGCTTTTCAGTCATGTACAATAGCCTGACCAAATTTGCTGAATTTACCAGTATACCTAAATAGCTTTGTCATTGGCAGATATGATGTTTATGCTCCTTTGGGAGGAGACAGATCTATCTCCCACATACACATAAATATGCATGTACAAAAAACTGCTACAGCAATGAATTTCAGTACCTCAATGCCTCCTTATGCATAGCAATTTTATAACAGCCACTGACATCCATTTAGCCATGCCAGTTCACTAGACCTGAGAAGTATCCAAGCAACCTGATCTATCTAACAAACCTCATGGTTATTTTGGCTAATCTAATGGACTGGGTGATCAAGACAGACATCTGCCCCTTCCCCTCCAGCAGACATGATGCCTCATATAACCTGAGTTAAGCCTCAGAAGTTACTGATTATGTGTGCAGTCTTCATTGCCTATTTTTCTGAAGCTCACTGTTTCAGCTAAACTTTAGGTGGATGTCATTAATATATTGCTGGGATGGGGAGGGGGTAGTTAATCCTCAATGGAAAACATGCATGTGTACATCCATCATCCACTAATTATTGATGAGCATATACCCCTAAAGAAGAACCAGCAGTAGGACCAGAGATTGGATAATGACCTCTATGCATGCAGTACATCCAAATACAAATGTTCCTCTGACATGTTCTTTTTTAAGCATCTTAACCTGTATACATTTCTCACAGAATTACAAAGTTTTGGAAGAAAATAAATTAAGTTAAATTGAGCCTGTATATTCTAGTGACAGGCAATCTCCCTGCACAAATGCTGATGGTTGAAAAACAAATCTGTGTTATATGTTCTTGATGTCACTTTTCTAGCATCTCTCCATTCACATGTCCTACAAACAGCAGGAGCCTCTGACATATAAGTTCCATAACACTGTGGGAGGCCAAGCTCATAGGAGGGGGAGGGCAGAAGATGAAAAGCCCAAAGGAGGCAGAGGAAAACCAGCAAGGGGGCTGAGCAAAAACCACAAGGGACAAAAGAAATCCTTTGAGGGGAGCAGGCAAAAAGCTATAAAAAGGACTTAATAATTCAGGGCAAGGACTTACCATATCCAAGAAGAACAGGGAGCTAGAAATTGCTACTGCAAGCTAATATATTAGTAGCACCAGTATTATTCAGCCAGTACAGACCAATGGACCTGGTGATCAGCAGCTTAATTCATGAATATTGATAAACATCAGTTAGGGGTTGTATCACTTTATTCAGTTAGCTTTGCACATACATCACAAATAGCACCTACGGTTGACCTGTCATTCATACCTTATTACTACCAATGCAGTCCTTTGAATGTTTTCATGTATGCACACCCATGCTATTTTCCCATAGGCCAATATAACCATGTCTTAATATGACACTGAGCTACCCAGTTACAAGTACAGGAATTCTCTGATTGTATCAGACCTTTGACAATCAGACACCACAGTAATACTGCGATAAGTCAAAAAGCATTGGGAGAGGGAGGGCAAGCCCTAAATTTGGAAGGCAGAGAAATCCCAAGATTTCTCCCACTTCCCCCAAGGCCTTTAATAATGGAATGGGTGAACTGTCCTGTGAGGGGCTGCATCAACCTTGAGTGGACCATAACATCCTAAGAAACACAAAAATCTTCACCCACACGCAAGTCAAACATCTGAAAACCCCCCCACCTGGTGCCCACTGGGCTCAGGCACGATGGCAGGTGGGCATCTACCATATGTCCTGCAACTGCCAAGCACAAAAATGACTTACACAGCAAACTTCAGATAAAATGAATGATTTTGCATCATGGTTATGATTTCTTTATAATATGCAACACGTCCAATACAGAAAATTGGTACAATTCATGTCATTCATGCCAGGCAGCGTGTTACGACAAAACTGGCGCCCACGATGCTTTCTAGATCTACGGCACTTACTATTCGCAACCTCGGCTGCTGTCTGGTATTTTGTCACCACAATATCTTCGGCAATGGTCTTCTCCTGCTCATCATCTTCTTTAGACGCCATGGGTCCGGAATTACCACAAAAATTAAAACTAGACGCTTCCCGACCCCAATCGCAGAAATGCCGCCAACGCAAGATTGCGCGACCTCTAGTTATTGTCAGAATTGATTCATAGCTACTGGTAGCGCTCGGCGTGGATTAATACTGAACTATGAAAATAAATATGTATTGAAAAGGAATTACACAAAAATTCTTGCCATATTTGGAGTTATTTTTTAATTTTCACTACACATTATCTATTGTTACACTACAACAAGAATACGCCAACACGCCTCGCATCGTGAGGTGGTGAAAGTTTTCGTCGAGACCGAGTTCGAAAGAGAGCCAGTTGCATGCGAGGCCTTAGGAGCTGCATGTTACTGTGGGGATGTTTTGCATGAACAGTTATACCATTTTCCTTTTCTGGATCCCTTGAAATGTACACAATTTGTTTATTTTCCCTTACTTACTAAAATGGCTCGACTGCCTTATCGCCCTGCACTGCATGCGGTTGCAAGGAGCCGTAGGCCATATGAGCTCCACTCAGATTTACGTTGAAATGGATTCAAGGGGACTCCTGCGCAATAGAGCGTCGCCAACCTGTCCAGGCAACGTAAATTAGCATGATCGACCCTTAATTGCATTTAGGGTGGATCCAGGCGAAAGTTTCGACATTTTCTTTCCCTGGCATCAAAAATTGCGCCGTGCACCGCGCGGAGAATGACGATTGAAAATCCGTATCGATGAACCAGTGAACGCTGAAGGCTGCTGGTACGGCTCATCGAGAAACTGCGTACGCATGTACATAAAAATTGAAAAGCTGGGTGTTTCGTAAATCGTGTTCATTTCGTCGTCAACGAGCAGGCTGCAGTTTCGCTGTTAAGAGGGCTAGGGCGCTGCTTTTAACGATTGTACCCTGTTTTTCGTAGGATTGTAACGCTTAGCTACTAGTTCGAGCGATGAACAGCCTTGCTGGCGTAAATGCCGAATACCATTAATTTTTTGCATTCTTACCATTGCATGCCTTCGTAAAGGTAATGCATTTATTCCTTTCATCCCTGGATACTGCGTTTTGTTTGAGATCGTGCTTGTTTTTGGTGAATTTGGCAAGATATGTGATTTTTGGTAGTTATTCAGGACCTCCTTCATGTTACATGTTCGCGTTTGTTCGTGTTGGCTTGTCTGCTGTAGGTGTACCGATCGGGACCGTGACCTTTCGGGACTGTGCACGTATTGTTATCCATGTAGGTAACCTCATGCAGCAAGATTTCCCAGCTCAGTGAATGAGAAGGCAACCTGTGCCATAAGGTGATAGAAGGTACAGTGGACTTATGGGGAGGAGCGGCGTGTGAGACGTAGCACCCTTTTCTGGTCATACTCCCATTTCTACTTTTGCAAGCTTTGCGTAGGAAACGTTAGGTAACCAGGTTTTGTGGGTAAGTCCTCCAGTTCTGGTGAGAATGAGATGGTCTCGTGCTATCATGGGTGGCAAAACAACTGGATGAAGTGGGAGGTGAAAATATCCTGGGGATGCCTGTCCATACATGCTTGTGTTGCTAATAGTGGATGAGCAATGCTTTTAGCCCACTTGTCACTTGTTTCCAGCTGTATGTGATGAAGGAAGGACACCTTGCTCATTGTTCAGCCCTAAATTGAGTTAGATTGTTTACAAAGGTTATAACACGATGATAACTACCTTGATTGCCCACTGATAAACCTAGTGAGTGAAGGAAATATATTAAATCACTCACTCATTAATTATTCTACTAAGGAACTAATTAAGAAACAAATGATAGTTGGATGATGACACAATGCCTACAGAATGCAGTTAGTTGGCTGAACCCATTGGTCTGAAATATCTGGTTGTATCATATTTGTTATATAAATGTTGTCTGGAATGTCATAATCAGTGATATTCCAGACCAGGCAGTTCTAATTGTTTGCAGACAAGGAATTGGAAATGGCTGCTCTCAGAGCAAAATAGACATACACCTATGACAACATATGAGTAAGTGTTCTATGTGAGATAGAAGTCTAGGCCTGGTCTAAGTTTGCACAAGACTTAGGTCACTTGGGCCAGCCACAGACTTTGATAAACCCTGGCAAGCCATAATCCTCATGTGTTTTTTTATGTCCTGTGCACTTAACATTATCATAGGCTGTGTTAGAAGTTCCACACATGTTATGCTGGCTAGTCCCATGCTATGGCAATTTGTTTTATAGCACACACCAGCCATTTAGATTTTGGAAGCATTTTTTGGAGGCAAAATAACATTGAGCCCTCAGAGTTCAGTTGTTGGTAGAAGACATTAATAAGCTGGTTACCTTCAGGCTTTCATTGTGTTAGGCCGTGTTGACTCTTCAATGTCAAGGTCATGCTTGTTTTGTTGAGTTATAAATGTCTTCTTAAGAAGATGCTGGCATGCCCTTTTGTATGCCAATGTTGAACCCAAGCGTGGTAAACTCAAAAGTTTTGCTTCACCTTGAGGTGACCACAGGTTAATGTTATATGTTTTAAAATGATTAAATGGGGTATGGTAGTATTGGTAAGCACAGTGGGATACCACCCCATTTGTTCACGTAACCCATTTTATCAGTTATAAGCTTGGAATGGATGGCTGCCCCTCTTCCCACAAGACTGGAAAATATATCAAAACCGCAAGCTGGTGTGGTTTTATGGCATGATTCACATGTCAGATGGGGCAAAAAGCATGGGGAACTTTCATGGAAGTTGAGTAAATGCATCTCAAATGAGAGTGAGAACATCATTTTTGCCAAGAGTTTGCAGTTGGCTGAGTGCATGGCCAGGGTGTTGCCATGGAACAGCAGACAAGAGTGACAGGATGAAAAAGATGAAGCATGGCCCCAGTTTTAGCTTCAGTTTCAGGTTCATACCATGTGATATGGTTGGCATTGGCTGGGCTTTGAATTTTTAATAGCTGGCTTCAGCTTGGTCTTTGGCTTTGAACAAGTATTGAGTTATGACTCCCACTGTGGCTCCATGCAAACTTGAACTTCTGCCTTCCACTTTATAATTTTGTTTTTTCCCTGCATTTACAGTTTCTTTACAATAGTCTGTTGCCTCACCCCAAACACACCACCCAAGTTTTCAAGGCTGACATAAGCATGGTTGAAAGTTAAAGCCAGCCAATCATTCTCAGGATCAACTAACACTTGACGGCCAAAGAACTAACAGTTTGAAATGTTTTTTACATACTTACATGCAGTGAGCGAAAATGGTATTCTAGCGCGACGGACTATCTAGATGATACTCTGTTCTATTCATCAACGAGCTAGACGCATATGATATTCCGAAATAAATCCTCGGTCCGCAAATCTACATATTGTTGCAGTTATTCCCGAAAACGCTGTGATATGACAGTTACCATGGTGTTCAGTGGACTTCATCATGGCTTTGGTTCTGCGAAATAAGGTCACTCACGAGACTGGCTTCAACCCCGTGAATTTTAACCAGTGGGTTTGGCTTTGGCTTGTCGTTGCCGTATATGAAAGCCACTGGCTTGGGCTCGGGGCTCACCCGTGCAAAAGTCGTAGCCACGGCCTTCTGACCCGGGATCGCATGTTACAAATATACGAAGCCACTGACTTTGGCATTTGCCTCGCGGTTCCAGACTTCGAAACCAACGGCTTCTCCTTCCGACTTCAACTTCATGTCATTGTCTTGGCTTTGGATTCGGCTTGGACGCCAAGAGACTGGATTCGTCCCAACACCTGATTCCCATGTGTTTTATTTACCGTAGCTATCAAGGCGAAAAGCCTCCTTGTGGATCTGATGAAAAGTGCATATCATTATCATCGTCTAACAGCATGGCAAAGCAAACACTTGCCAAAATCCCATTTGTGCGTGACGTACGAACAATGTCAGAGCTTTCTGCCCTGACACCTTGCGAAGGTAAACCTGCCAGGGCAGGTGTAAAATATTCAAAGATCAGGTGGCCGGAGCATCGTCACTAGCTCATGGCCCACCGAGCAGCTTAGGAGATGCTTTCGCGAAAATGGAGGGCCTACAAACCTATCTCCAGACAGTGGCGAGGTCAAGACAGAGGTCACGATATTGACAGGTCGCTGTAAGGGGAAGATCCGTTCCGTATTGTGATCTGCTGATAGGACCGGCGCGGTTCGGTAATCTGGAAACCTGCCCGCAACCACGCTACTGCCTGCGGAAGTGTATTACGGTGCCAGTTTTACCATGACAGCTGTTCTGGCTTCTCATAGGGACGATGTAGGACCAGTCCTACGCAGAGATATTGCAGTATAAACAACAAATAGCTAGCAGAGTTCGAAATCGCCTACGGAGCTGTGGGCCATGCCATAACTTCGTATTCACGTAACTAAGGTTTTTACCAGAAATTAATTTCCGTAGCGTATTATCGCGCACCTTGTATACCACATACCACATGATCTGACCATGCATAAACACTGCCCAAACGTTCAGAAGACTCTGTTCTTCTGTCAGGACTGTCAGGGAAATATCTGTATCGCCCATTTGTAAAGACATCTGTTTAAGAGTGGTTTTTAGCGTGTCCCATGATGCCTTGAGCCCATGTAATCTCATGTGCAGCCCGTTGTACTCTGACCCGGACACAGACACATCGACCTTGGGAGGAAAGTCCCCGTCCTCCCCGCCTGGGACCGGGGGAGTCGACGAAGTTGAAAATTGCTTCCCAGGGATTCGATGGTGTGACTAGATATTTACTCCGCGGATTAAGGTGAGCTTCAAGTCGAACTGCTGCGCCGCATCCCGGTGCCTGACCGTAATCACGATAATGTGGTGTTCCACTGCCCGTGTGTGCAGCTCGTAAGCTGGCTCGCATGACTCATGTTCGGCGTGCCGGTGACCGGGCGGGCCTCCGTTGCTGCAGGTGCTGCACCGCTTCCGCCCGCCGGCAGACGTCTTGCGCCGCCGGTGAGTCACCTGTGACGTCACGCGGCGGTCGCGAGGGCCGGCCGGTGCCCGCCTGCAGGCCAGTGTCCGCCGACGGGCGCTGACAGTCGGCAGCTGCGCGCCGCCGACGCCCGTCTGCCGCCCGTGCTCTGTGCCGTGCCGGCGCCGCACCCCGCCATGCCGCAGACCGGCGCCGCCGCCAAGGGCTTCCAGGACTCGGCCGTACAGAGCGCCTGCGGCCAGGAGGAGCCGGCGGCCGAGGTCGGCAAGGCCGCCGAGCCGGCCGAGCTGACCGCCGGAGACGAGCCCGACCGCGTCTCCATTGTGGAGCTGGAGACGGATCTGGCTGTGCTGGACGTGGCCGAGGGTGGTGACAAGGCGGCCGCGCCACCCGCCAGTCCCTACCCGGAGTTTCCGGAGACGAACCCGTTCCGGCTGCCGGAGACCGGCGCGCGCCGGCGCGACACGCGCCGGGCGTCGGCCGAGTCGCTGGCGCGTCGCCGCGGCTCGGCCTCAGAGCTGACGGTGGTCATCCCGCCGCCGGCCGCCGTCGGGTATGTGGGGCCACCGGAGCTCCTGGGCAGGTGCTGGGACCTGCTGGTGGCAGTGTGTGCGGTGGCATGCTCGTTCTGCTTACCTGTGGTTCCAGGCGACGTTTAAACGGAAAAATGGAAGTCAGGGGCATAAAGAGTCACACCTCATTTAACTTATTCCTTACGCACAACGCACCCCTACAGCGTTAAGATTAAAATTGGTGACAAATAAGCAAGGCGTACACCTCCGCAGTCCCTTGTCCTACATGTTGCGCGATGCAATTTTGATTGTGATACACTGATTTGCAATCGATTGTATGTGTTTTGCCAATATTGTCGGAACTGAAAATTGGTCGCTGTTTTTTGCGTCTCACAAAGAGGTACGCCAGGGCGTGTGCGGCGCTGACCGGGATGCCGCCGTGTCGCCAGGAGCGGCTCTGCGTTGGTGGCCCAGCGGGCGGTGGGCGTCGAGTCGGACCCGTCCGGCGGCGGCCGGCTGGCCAGCCTGGAGCGGCGCGACAGTATCTGGGATCGGCTGCCGCCGCCCGACCTGGAGCAGCGCCGCCTCTCGGACCAGGAAGGCGGAGCCAGCGCCGCCACCCGCCTGCTCAGGTGCGGCCACCGGCTGCTCGCGGCAGCGTTCGCTTGGGTGGCGGGGGCGCCGATGTTTGGTCATGGTATCGCGCCCCCGGCTCGGGGTACGCTGCCTGGTGCGCTTCCCTCGCTCAAGACTGGCAGATCGTCTTCGCTCGCCTCGAGCTTGGCAAATGGTTGGTCAGGCCAGATGTCAGGGTTTGGGATCGAAGGGCGACGGATTAGCAGAGGACGAATGGTGCGTGCGCAGGCTGCCGGAGACCCGTAGTCTGGTAGCATGAATAGATATCCGTCTGCTGCACACTACTGGATGATTTGTGGGAGGCTGGCCCAGGGCGGTGGCCAGAGGTGGCAGCGGCTGGCCGTCTGGGCCGGTTACACGGGGTCATGGCCGGGCGGCCAGGAACCGGAAGAGTGCATTGTAGACGCGTCCGTGGTAGCTCATTGTAAAATACGAGGCTCATTCGCCCAGTGCTAGAGGCTCGAAAAGAGAAACGAAAGGGTCTGATGCACACAAAGAAATAATCACAAGCAATGTCTGATAGAAAGGCAGAACAACCCTCCCAGTGTGATCATCCGCCTCCCATCACTCACCTGTGTCCAGTTGTTGTTGTTTCGGCTCCGCGCCAAACAGTTGTTTGGCGCGGAGCCGAAAGACCGCCGGTCTTTCGGCAGGTCTGCTACGCACGGCGTCGAGGCTCTAGCGGCTCGTGCTACTAAATGACTGCAGAGTCCCCTGCCGGATCTGTAGTGGGCAGATGTTGTCAGCTAGAGAGGTGCCATTTTGGGCTTGTGTTACCTCGGCCGCGGCCCCGCGAGCTAAGTGTGGCGCCTCTAGTCCGCAGCAGCCGGCGACCGCAGAATCCGCAGCTGTTCTGTAGTCATCGCGTAAGGTGTAAACGGGCCTTAAAGGCCTATGGCCGTTCGTGGTACGCAGCGGAGTACACAGTTACTTATACTGGCCGCTTGGTCGGTCCGGCTGCTTGTTGCCGTTACCTACATTGCCTTAATCACTTCACCGAGTAGTCCTCCCTGCCCCGTCGCCGTCAACTGACAGAACCGAAACATCCTCCCGGGATGGCATCTGTTATGGTATTTGGGTCTTGACCTCCGGTGCCTCCTGCTCGGACCTGACGCTGCGCGTCACTATGCACGTGTGTCCGGCGCGATGAAGGCCCGCTCCTCTTCATGTCCGCCGCCGCCTTAGAGCTCTGCTGAACAACTGGCTTATTATGTGTTAGACGTACTGTGTTCAGGGAACAGCGATGCAGCCTGGTCGCAAGCGCACTTCTGTGTGCACCCGGATGTTACGTTTGGATGTTTCCTCTGACGAAGAGAGCCCTTTTGCGCGCTGTCAGCTGACTGGCCGACGCTATCCGCATTATCGGCGTTACATCTTTGATGGTTCATGAAGCTCTTTATTGTCATCAGAGAGGCAAGCGTATGTCATTCGGACTGGTTCATGCGGATGCTACCAGCTGCGCATGCGACGACGGGACTGTGACTCCAAAGCGTGGTGCCACTCGGTGTTTTCCCTCGCACAGTGGGCCTTTTCACTTCGGGCCGGCGAGTGACCATTCGTTGTGCTACCTTTGGTTTGTGATGCTCACATAGGTAGCAGAGACTAATGGGGACACTCAAGTTTTATCGGTCGGGCTATAATTAAGTCGGCTTTACGAGTATCATGGACACAAGGGCTCTGGCCTGTCAACACGACACTGATAAGCGGCGTTTTCATGTCATCGCAGGTCTCCGTTCACCCTGGGCCAGGCGACGCCGACGCCGGACCAGACCAACGACGAGGGCCGCGACCTCTTCCTGGAGTTCGTCCGCGACAGGATCGAGGAGGACATCCAGGTTGACGAGCTGGCGCTGCAGGCGCAGAACGACGACTACTTCAACAGGTGGGCACGGATGCGAAGCGGGACGCGACCCGCCGGCCGGGCCACGCAACGAGCCCGTCACCGGGCCATCGTGGTCCGGTCGCGCCACGCTCTTACCGGCCATCGCGGTCCAGCCGCGCCACGCTCTGACCGGTCGGTGGGTCCGGCCGCGCCACGCTCTTACCGGCCATCGCGGTCCAGCCGCGCCACGCTCTGACCGGTCGGTGGGTCCGGCCGCGCCACGCTCTGACCGGTCGGTGGGTCCAGCCGCGCCATGCTCTGACCGGTCGGTGGGTCCAGCCGCGCCACGCTCTGACCGGTCGGTGGGTCCAGCCGCGCCACGCTCTGACCGGTCGGTGGGTCCGGCCGCGCCACGCTCTGACCGGTCGGTGGGTCCGGCCGCACCACGCTCTGACCGGTCGGTGGGTCCAGCCGCGCCACGCTCTGACCGGTCGGTGGGTCCAGCCGCGCCACGCTCTGACCGGTCGGTGGGTCCAGCCGCGCCACGCTCTGACCGGTCGGTGGGTCCAGCCGCGCCACGCTCTGACCGGTCGGTGGGTCCGGCCGCGCCACGCTCTGACCGGCTGGTGGGTCAAGCCGCGCCACGCTCTGACCGGTCCGAGCGCGGCAGGTCCGAGCCGCGCCCGGTACCAGGCTGGAAGTCGTGCCTGATAGTTCTGTAGTGCTGGCGAGGGTGCGTGGGCCGGCCATGGCAGCTGGGGCCGTCGGTCGAAAGCGGTCCCGTTTCTCTGCTGAGTCGCAACGCGCGATTCCGATTCGTTTTGACATGCTGGGCGGGCTGTAATCATCCTAAGAGTTCGGCTCGTCTCTTATCCGAGCAAGGTCAATTGCAGAGGTCGAGGCGCCCCACGTCATCCGCTATCAGGGGACCCAGTCGACGCGCCTCGTGACGTCACGTTGGCCGTTACTGGCAGGATCATGGCGCTGCCTGGCCTCAGCAACCCAGTATGGGCGCAGACAGGCACAGAGCTGCGTGCGCTGGCCGACGCCTTCGCGACCTCCCACCAGCGTCAGGAGCTGCGCTGCAAGGCCTTGCAGACCGACCTGACCGGCATCTCATGGGACCGGTTCCGCCAGCTGCTCGAAGAGCTCTTCTCGGTGCGTTCGCGGTCGGTGGAGACCGTGCTGGGTAGGATGGGCTCGGGCGAGGAAAGGGTGGACGGCCGACACCACGGGCAGATCGTGGGGGGGGGGGGGGGGGGGTAGGGGCCTGGCAGGGCGGTGTGACGGGCCCCATGGCTCCCAAGACTGCGAAGGCTGTGTCCTTTTCAGGCCTGTCTTTTCAGTAAGTGGTGTGGTTCTTGGTCCTCCCCCCCCCCCCCCACCCCAAGGACTCGATGCTGGTCCGGCCGGCGTCGCTGACGTGACCCCGGTGCGGCGGCAGGGCGAGGCGGGTGTGACCCAGGAGCGCATCCTGGTGCTGTTTTTCTTCCTGTCCGACTGCGTGGTGGCCACCATTCGACGGCACGCCTGGACCCACCTGCGGCGCCTTATCGAGTGGAGCCTGCGCTACATCGTGGAGCGCGTCTGCGCCCTGGTGCAGCAGGCTGGCGGATGGGTGAGTCGGGCTGCATCAGGTGGGATGTGTTGGTATGTGTCGGCCAGCGGTCAGTTAGAGTAGGCCTCGACACAAAATATCTTGCCGGTTCTTACGTGGAAACCTGTGGTGTCCTCTCGGCTCTAAATGTGTCTTTCCTTTTGTGAGCATTCCATCTTTATGAAACAGCATCTTAATGAATTTTTATCGTCCTAATGGGCCCTATGAGAGGCCAGAGAACCATGGCAACGGCGCACAAATGGGCCTTTGACCGTTGATCGTCTGATTTTGGAGGATATGGCATCCGTTCTGGGAACAAGACAATTAGAAAGCGCTTTTGTTACATCCAATTATGTTAAAACAGGCTTCGTATGGGGCTTCGGGAAATCGACAGATCCAATGCGTCAATAGGGAATGCTGAGTGGAGTTAAGCGCAAATATTGGCAACGGCGGGGTGTCGTCAGACTCACGTCAGTAAACCAGGTACAGTGTGCAACTTAGTCGGCATTCAAGCCCGGTGGAGTCTTGTGAAGTGTACAACATCGGCACGTATAGCTGACATAACACGCACGAGACCCAGGGTGCCCTGATTGGCCGGTGCGTTGACGCACGTCGCCACTCTGCAGGGCGTGGTGCTTCGCACATCGGCCGAGTACGTGTACATGGCGCTCAAGATGGCCACCTGCGGCCTGGTCTGTGTCGCCGCCATCATGTACATCAGGAAGTCGCTCAACTAGTGGCGGCGGCGCTGCGGTCCGCCCGGCGCCTGCCGTGGTCAGGGACGGCGCCCGGGGCTGGACGGTCGGCCGGCAGCGGCGCTGGGGCCCGCCCGGCGCCGGCCGAGGTCAGGGACGGCGTCCGCGGCCGGCGGCGGCGCTGCGGTCCCCCCTGCGCCGGCCGTGGTCAGGGACGGCGCCCGGGGCTGGACGGTCGGCCGGCAGCGGCGCTGGGGCCCGCCCGGCGCCGGCCGAGGTCAGGGACGGTGTCCGCGGCCGGCGGCGGCGCTGCGGTCCGCCCGGCGCCGGCCGTGGTCAGGGACGGCGCCCGCGGCCAGACCGGTCATGGCCAGCGGCGGCGCGCCGCGTTCGTCGGATTACGTACGTTTGACCGATGTTAGCGTCCGCGGAGGCTCTCTCGGCGAGCTGTTTGAATGATAGAATACTCACGGCTCGGACATGGGTGTATTGGTCGCGCCGGCTGCAGCCTTGGTCACACAGCGTATCGGTCAAATCTGCTCTCTCTTTCATTTAGCTATACGGTCTAACTCGACCGTAGCCGGAGTCAGGTCGTTTCCTTTTGGCGAGACGCAGGCTGCCGATTGCCAATTGCCGCGGCCCTTGTATGTATTATGTTCCTGCGCTTTGAAGCCCTTGTTATTCGGCCGCTGTCCGTCTGCGTGATGCCGCGACCGCCTGGAGCGCAGGGTCCACCGAGGAGACGGCTGGTCTGTGTGGTCTGTGTCTGTGGTTTGGCTGGTCTGTGGGGCCTCTGGCGAATGCTCCCGGCTCGCCGACAGCCGGTGGCACGCTGGCGTGCCGTGGGAGGCGGCTGGAGGGGTTTTGAGTGTTTCAGTTGTGATATGAATATCTTTCAGACGTCGCCCTCGGAGCGAGAGGGTGGCCTCGTTCGTAGCATGCTGTAGCCCGTGCACACAAATGATTCCTCACCTCAACCGGCTCCATAGACCAACTACTGCCCAAAGTACAACTCAGAATATTAGGATCAATCCGTGCCGTCCAGTGCCGGTTTCCGCCTGTCTTTGCCGTCGCCCCATCGCGTTATCAGCGCCGTGTCATCTTTGCCCGGTGCTCCGCTGACATTCAGCCCACTGGCAGTCAGAACTGCTCCACCGAACCTCACACCGGTCCGCCACCGGTGCCAGGCGCACGCGGCCGCCACCGGCTCGCTCCGCTCATGAACGGACACGTCCGGCGGCGGACCGGCCGTGCCGTGCACCGCGGCGGTGGCCCCCTCCCCTCCCCGTCCCTCGCCGAGTGTGGTGAGACACGCCGTGGGGGCACGCCCGCCCCGCCGCGTCACCTGCCATGGGAGCTGGTGGCCGCCCGAGCTGCGTGATGTCGCGTGGCCCACTGGGGACGTCACCTGCCATGGGAGCCGGCGGCCGCTCGAGCTGCGTGATGTCGCGTGGCCCGCTGGGGACGTTACCTGCCATGGGAGCCGGCGGCCGCTCGAGCTGCGTGATGTCGCGTGGCCCACTGGGGACGTCACGTGCCATGGGAGCCGGCGGCCGCTCGAGCTGCGTGATGTCGCGTGGCCCACTGGGGACGTCACGTGCCGGAGAGCCGCTCTCATCATCGGCGGTGACCCCGGATGTCGGTGAGGGGCTCCGACGGCTGCCATTGGTCGCAGCGTGCGCGACCGTGCGTCTCGGTGTCGCCCGTGTATCACGGGAGGCCCGCGCGCGGCTGTAGGCGGGCGGGCGAGTGTCGCTGGGTTAGGGTCGGAGCGGGGGTGACTGACAGGAGCGTCCGCCGACCGCCGCTAGTGTGTCCGCCGGGGTCCGAGGGACGCCTGTGGGCCGGAATGACGTCATCATCGCGCACAGCGTCTTGGTATGTTTTGTTGGAGAGCGTCTTGTACTGAAATGGGCTTTTCCGCCTCGTTCCTGAGTAGAGTGGTTACACTAGTGACTCGCTCTGTCGTATTGGAAAGTTGCTCCTAGTCGTTTGAGTAAATAAAACGGCAATTTTATACGTGTTTTCGCCTGGTGACTATACGTGAACTACCGAACGAAGTGAGGATGAAGCTATCATGACGGGGCGTTGTGATAGGCATGACTGTTGTGATGTGCACGTAAGGTGGCATCTCGAGTAGAACCCGGTGATGTCAGGGTGACTTTGCAAAATCAATCTTCTGGGATGTAGCTCTGTTTCTGTTTTTGTTTTGTTTTGTTTTTGTTTGGTACGATGCCAACACAGCTGCTGAGTACTGAAGCGGGTATTTTGTTTCTAACCGAGTAGCGGAACTGAACAGGTGCTGGTAGCTCACATGTAAACAATCGTCATCCCTTGCGATCGATATCGGCTGCAATTATGCGTTGGGGCGAGGTTCACTGTGACGGAAGCGTTTGCATGCTAGTACCGTTACCAAGGCAACGAGTGTCTCCGCAGCTTTATCAATGAGGGGTTCAGAATCCGGCACGAACCGAACCGCAGGCGGGACGAATCTGAGTGGTCGGCAGTGGGGTGGGTGCGTGATGACGCCAAAAGGCGATGCAAGCCCGATGCATGTGCAGTGGACTAGCATGGCTTCCTTGCGAGCTAGTGACGCATCGATTGTTTAGCCGACACTGAAGTAACGACGCAAGAACGAACGGCTTCTGCGAAACGACCACAGCCGACTGAAGCACGTTTGTGTTCGCACGACTGACCACGAATTATTCGATAACGAGGTAAGCCCACGCTTGGTGTGGAAACAAGCATTGCTGCACCGTGCTTTAGTCCAATTCATTTACTGGCTTGCTCGAAGTGAAAATGCCGCTCTTCGACGGATGATTGATGGTATCTACCAACAAAGAACAGTTCGGCCGTGGGCGGCTGTCCATTGTCGCGTAATGAGTTAGGTCATTGCGAATGCCCACGTTTCGGCCACATAGCTGGCCAGAACTACTCAACAGAATAACCCGACGGCGTTCGACCCCTTTTCCTGATTCGGACGGATTTGCCGGTTCATCTACCATTTGCCAGGCCGCCGTTAACGCTCCACGCCAGCGCAGATGGCCCACCGCGGCAGGAAGATGGAGGAAGAGGCGCTGAAGAGCAGCATCGCCGCCGACCTCGAGTCTAATGTCGCCGCCGTCCGCATCAACGCACGGCGCATGCGCATTCAGCGCTTCAAGGAGAACGTGCGCCGGCAGGAGCAGCTCGCGCAGTACGTCACCGGTGGTGGGCGGTGCATGACCCAAGGCAGCTGCATGGGAATCATCGTTTGTCGTATATTACAAGTTCGATTGAATACATCGGGCGAACAAAGCACATCTGAGCGACAGTCTGTGACAGTCACTGCCACTGTTCTGCAATGACCCCGCTCCCCGTGTGCAGGCTGGGTCTGGAATCGGCGCCGGTGGAGGTGGCCATGGTGACGAAACAGCTGGCCGAGAGCCGCCAGAAGCTGGAGAAGGTCGAGGACGACGGCCTGGAGATGGTGACCAACGTTCACGTTGCCTTTCTGAGCCGGGAGGCGGGCTACCGGAAAAACGCCGAGCTCAGCCAGCAGCAGCGTCAGCAGCGGCTGCGGGAGGACGCCGAGCTGGCGCAAGAGCGGTTCGACAGGATCTCCGAGCTCTGGGACAGGTGGGACCACGACCGGCTCGGGGGTCGACATTCAGGTAGAAAGTGATGGGTGGACACCGCTTTCAGTGCGTTTCGTGACGCTGTTACGCCGCTGCGAGTGACTGCACTTTTTGTCGGTTTTCTCGTGGCGCATTGTCCGCTTGTCCTCCCAAAATCGATCGCATCAGAACACCAATCGGCCTGAACCTTTTTGCCACGGATTTTTGCCCCTGCGTGACACGAGGCTTAAATAGAGGCTAAGCGTGCGCCCGTCGGGCGTTGGCACTGTATCGCTTTGTGTTCATCAAAGGGTTAGTCACGGTGGTGATGGCGCATGAGAGCTGTCGGTTCTCATTTCGCCAGCTGACGGGTGCTCTGCTGCCGCGCAGTGCTATAGCACGTGCTCCGGGCAGTCTACATGTGCACCTGACGAGCCAGCGGGCGCTCTGCGACGAGCTGATGGCGCAGAAGGAGGCGGTCGTCAAGAGCCTGGAGGCGGAGCTGCGCTGTATGGATGACGAGTACAATGTTGAGGTGGCCACCCACGGGCAGGTGAGGTGGCTCCCGCTGCGCGAGCGTCATGACCAACCCTCCGCCGTCGGTCAGGAGCGCTCTGTGGCTGTGTTATCAGGAGCAGTGTTTGTGTTGTCTTACGAGCATTGTTTGTCCTGTCAGGAGCGTTTATCTCCGGAAAATGGTGATGTCACATGGTATCTTGACGCGCTCTCGCCAGTGACTATTCACGAGCGACCTTTCACTATTCGCCAGTTCTGCTCTCTGGCACTGTAGGACACCACGGTGCTGATTCAGAGGATGAAGGACCAGCTTGTCATCCTGCGGAACGCCTACGTTCGCGAACTGATGCAGATCTACGATGCGATGAGGGAAGACCTAGATGAGACGCGAGAAAGACATCAGCATGACTGGCAGGAAAAGCTGGATGAAATCGTTGCCGTAAGCGATGGGAATTGCGTGTTGTTTCAGTGCCGAAAAACGCTGTTTTAGATATACGTCAGCTAAGAAACGTGTTCACGTTATTTTCTGCATACTCAGCACGTTGAAGAATTTGCAAAGGAATTCCCAGTTTAGCGTCTTGGTGGTGCGGTACGGTGGTGCGATACCTCGGTGGCTGATGTGGCCGAGCACTGATGTTGACACCAGCTCAGGCCTGCCGAAGTGCTGGGGGCCCGTCAATATTTCTGCTCATGACAGGTTTGCTGCCAAGCTCATAAACCTGCGTAAGTTTACTGTTCAAAGCAGAACCGTTGCGAAGACAGTTGCGCGCGATTGCTGGGACCCTCGCCTGGTGACCGCCGCGAGAGTCGCGTGTACCGAACGAGAGAATGGCCCAGATGTGTGCCGCGTGGGTGACGCCCGTCTCGCGCGCGCCGTCTGACGGCAGATGGAGGAGAAGCGTCTAGCCGGCTACATCCAGATGACGGACGAGCACGACCAGGAGATGGACAGCGTGCACCGCGAGGATGCCGATGAGTACCGCCAGGTGAGGCGACCGCCACAGCCGCTCTATCCATGCCGTGGACAGCCGACGAGTACCGCCAGGTGAGGCGGCCGTCCCAGCTGCTCTGGCCATGCCGTGGACAGGCCGACGAGTACCGCCAGGTGAGGGCGGAACCGTCCACAAAAGCTGGCTCTGGCCATGCCGTGGACAGGGCCGACCCGAGTACCCGCCAGGTGAGGCGGCCGCCACAGCCGGCTTCTGGCCATGCCGTGGACAGGCCGACGAGTAGCGCCAGGTGAGGCCGGCCCACAGCCGCCTGGCCCGTGGACAGGCCGACGAGTACCGCCAGGTGAGGCGGCCGCCACAGCCGCTCTGGCCATGCCGTGGACAGGCCGACGAGTACCGCCAGGTGAGGCGGCCGCCACAGCCGCTCTGGCCATGCCGTGGACAGGCCGACGAGTGCCGACAGGTGGGGCGACCGCCACAACCGCTCTGGCCATGCTGTGGACAGGCCGACGAGTACCGCCAGGTGAGGCGACCGCCACAGCCGCTCTATCCATGCCGTGGACAGGCCGACGAGTACCGCCAGGTGAGGCGACCGCCACAGCCGCTCTGGCCATGCCGTGGACAGGCCGACGAGTACCGCCAGGTGAGGCGGCCGCCACAGCTGCTCTGGCCATGCCGTGGACAGGCCGACGAATACCGACAGGTGAGGCGGCCGCCACAGCTGCTCTGGTCATGCCGTGGACAGGCCGACGAGTACCGCCAGGTGGGGCGACCGCCACGACCGCTCTGTCCATGCCGTGGACAGGCTCTGCGGGGGCGATCCGGGTACCGGCGGGCGGACTCACCAGTGGTGTGGTGACGGTCTGTTTGCCTGCTCGATGGCTGGAGCGGGGTCAAGAGCCCGTGTGTGCATCGTATGCGCTGGCGTAAGCCGCTGGCTTCGTTGCGGTCAGTACGGAGTGTCTTTTCGGCTTCTGGGGAAGCGGAGGGGGGGGGGGGGGCTTTGTCAACTTCTGGCTCCATTGATGTAATGCACTTGCGAGATCCCTTGCCGGTGGCGCGATCTCGACCTGACTCTGCGCTTAACCGGGGATCTGAGTTAATGAGAAGTGCGACTGCAGGTTCGAAGCACGCTGGAGAAAGACGTGGAGCTGTTACAACAGCAACTGGAGCAGCTTAAGGCTGCCTGTTTGCTCAACACAGAAAAGCTGGACTACAATTACCAGGTATTGTGACATTGTCCGTGCCTCGCGTAAATGTACGCACATTTGACTGGTAGTGATTTGTTGGACACCGATGGCTAACTGAGCGTATCCTGATTCCCGGTGTTCAGGTCAGTGTGGCATATTGGCATCTCCCTGGTGGTGACCTGATCCTGGCATAACGGGCCGCCCATGTTAGCTGCATGAGAAGCTCATCGCCACCGTCAAAGCGAGCGCTACCTTCGATGATGGCGCCGTCTAGCTCCAGGCTGTGGCCATCTGATCCAAGACCTCCAGCCAAACCATATGTTATTCTCCTCGAGTCATCGAGAAGATCGAGAGATATCATCGAGTCGCCTGATACTAAAAGAGCACATGACAACTTTGCGCGATGCTTTTTGATGCAACACCGTCTCCGCAAACAACAGCGTGCCCATATGGATACAGTATAGGTATCTCGCTAATGGTCTTTTTTGTGCGTAGCTATCGCCAGCTTTTTGTCCGTGGCTGATGCGCAGGCGGTCTGCCCGCCTCCGTTCCTGGATGCGCCACTGAATTTGGCGTCTGCCACCACCGACAGGTACTGCGGCGCCGGGACGAGGAGTCCACCATCACCAAGTCCCAGCAGAAACGCAAGCTTAACAAGCTACAGGACATCTTCAACGGCCTGAAGCAGCGGCTGGCCGAGCAGGAGCGCAGTCAGAAGGCTGAGCTGCAGCAGCTGACGTCTGATATCAGGCACGGGCGGGCGGCGGTCCGGACGAACACAGGCGCAGCGGACCCCAGACGCGGGACCCAGCTGGGGTCCGAGCGGTCCCAGGCACGAGTCTTGAAATGGAAGAGAGAGGGACTGTAACCCAGCGAAATTGAGCGGACGTGTTAGACGTGGTGTGTGCCTGGGAGTCCGAAGACACCAGCAGCCGCGCCGTGTTCGTCTCCTGGCGTAGTCATCATCCGCCAGCGCTGCCGCGATGAGCAACCGTGGTGTAGCCAGTGATCCTCGCACCGACTTATTGAATTACGAAACTTTCCCGCTTGCCTAATTGGTATATTGACAGGGAAAGTTCCCGTAGAACTCCAGCTTGCCTGCTGCACATATGTGTTCATTGACAGTGCCCGGCTCGGCCGCTCCGCCAGCTGACAGTACCCAGCTCGGTCGCTTCGCCAGCTGACAGTACCCAGCTCGGCCGCTCCGCCAGCTGACGGTACCCAGCACGGTCGCTCCGCCAGTTGACAGTACCCAGCTCGGTCGCTCCGCCAGCTGACAGTACTCAGCTTGGTCGCTCCGCCAGCTGACGGTACCCAGCACGGTCGCTCCGCCAGTTGACCGCGCCGGCTCGCTCGCTGCACCAGTTGACCATGTCTGGCTCGGTCGCTGCACCAGTTGACCATGTCTGGCTCGGTCGCTCCACCAGTTGACCATGTCTGGCTCGGTCGCTCCGCCAGCTGACCGGCGCCGGCTCGGTCGCTCCACCAGTTGACCACGTCTGGCTCGGTCGCCCCGCCAGCTGACCGGCGCGGGCCGTGTGGCGCAGGCGCCTGACGGACATGCTGGTGGACCTGGGCGAACGGAACCAGCACTTCGTGTCGGTGCACAATCGGCAGCTGCACCAGATCTTCGAGATGACATACGAGAGCTGCCGCCGCCAGCTGGACAAGGTGGTGCGCGCCGACAAGGTCATCCACGAGCAGCAGCTGGGCCTCCCCTTCACATCGCCCGACCTCGAGTTTCTGGCGCCGCCCGAGGTGAGAACCAGGTGGCACGCGCGGCCGCTGGCTCGCGGGTTGAGCTCGCCTGCCGCCGACTACAGCTCACTGAGAGGCCATTTAAATGGGTTTTCATATTTGTGTGGGGTTTTGAACTGAAATAGCCATCTTGAGATCATTCGGTGCCGTTCAAAGCGCTGCCCTTCTCCATACTCAAATCCCTCTAGTTTCTGAGCTACGCGCCCGCGAAGGTGCGAACTTTGGTGGAGACTTTTTCAAGGTCACTCAGGCATCCAAGACGCCGTCATAACTTCATTCAAATCATGCTATTCCACTGTCCATGCTGCGATCAAGGTCAAACAAAAATATAATTGTCTCGTTCATATCTGACGTTTGTGAACACGATCTCCAGGTATAATGGCCGTTAAATGGCGTTCAAGTAATGTTTTGCAAGGTGCGATGACGTAATCAAACAATGACGTATGCAGGAGCATATGCACCGAACAGAGAAGTTGTTATGTGTAGAGGAGTCTTTCCCACTTAAAATAAGCCAATATTTGTAAGTGAGCTCATTTCATCATGGCTGATGCTTGCTTCAGTATCTTCAAATATGGAACATTCCCTTTAAGGTGGGGATGTGGCATTTGGTGGCTAAGAGTGTGTATTGTCAGTTTGTTCGACGTGCCGTCTTGCTCTGGTGTCTTGAGCTTTCCGCACCAGTACAGATCAGTCATCTGTAGACGTCGTAGCGGACCTTCCCGTTCCAGTCGATCACACGTGTGTAGCCTCAGTCGGCGGTGTGCTCCAACATGTGCTCGCTCGCCTCTTGAATACGTCACACCTCTCCCTTTCCCGCCAGATCAAGACGGACTCGGCGATGGAGGTGGTCCGCGAGACGCTGAGCGGTGAGGCGGAGGTGCCGGCAGCCGGCAGCGGCCCTGCCCTCTCGGCCGTCACCGGGCCGGCGCCGCCTCTGCTGCGCCGCCTCCTGCTGCTGCTGAGCGACGAGGCCGGCTTCCTGGTGGAGGACAAGCTACACCGGCTGCTGGCCGAGGTGGGCGGCGAGGAGGCGGTGCTGCTGCGGCTGGACGCCGTCATGACAGCGCTCGGCGTCCGCTCGCCGGCTGATCTGGAGCAGCTCTGTCAGTACTTCGTCCGGTGAGGAAGGAGGCACTCTCGACTGCCGGGTGTCACGGTGCTCGGTCAGGGCAGCGTAGAGATGGGCAGGGATGCAGTGTTTCAAGTCAGGACAGGGATGAACTGCGGCGGAGTTTCGGTACTCGGTCGATTCGGACCAGCACTGGGCCTGATGAGCGGAGTGTGATGGTATTTTATCCTGCGGGATCAAGTTGGAGACGGCCGTGCGACGAGTGTGCCGCTGTTTTTGCACTAACTACTGCGTGCTACGGTGATTTCATGGCTCACTGCATCCAGGCCTCAATCCAGTTATGCCATGAAACGTAAATGAATAAGCTACCTTTAACCATACATCGATGTTGGAACAGCTTACGTGCCACTTGGCTTCGTTCACTGACAACTGGGCGTATGTCGGCCTGAATGGCGGACTATCTGACGAGACATGGCTTATCCGCTGACAATAGCCGCCACGTCTCCATCACGGGCATCAGTGCCACGCGACAGCCGGCGTCACCTGAGACCCGAGCGACACGCCCCCCCCCCCCCCCCCCCGCCCACAACCCGCTCCTCCGACCAGGTACGCGTCGCCGGCACCGAGCGAGGAGGAGCTGCCGCCGCGGCCGTCGCGGCCGCCGCCGCCGGCCGTCGTGCGCTCGTCGCCGGCTCTGGGCAGCGCCGGCAGCCGACCGTCCGATGCGGCCGTCTCGCCCTTGGCTCGCAGCGTGCAGCGCGATCCAAGCCGCTCCGAGACGTCGTCCTCGGCCTCCGAGGAGAGCGGCAGCGGCAGTGGCGGCGGCAGCGGCGGCGGCGAGCCGGCGGACCAGCCACCAGAGCGGCTGCTGGTCTCGCCGGACGGTGTGCTCCGTGGCCTGGCCGACTTCCTGGACGAGCAGCGGCAGCACGCCGGCGCCAGTGTGGCCAACGACGGCGCGCCCAGCGCCGCCAGTCGCTGGGCGCGTCGGCCACCGCCGCCGATCGGCGCCAACTTCTGGCACCGTTTCCTGCACGTACAGCCCGACTCGCAACGGCGGCTGTGGCGCGCGCTGGCTACCGGCCTGCAGCGCTACAATACGGTGCTGCAGGAGCGCCAGCAGCTGCGCCTGCAGGTGCAGCACCTGGCGCAGCAGAACGGCGAGCTGCGCCAGCTACTGCACTCACACCTTAGCCGTCAGCTGGGCGGTAACGGCTGACGGCGGTGACGCGCGCCGGCCAGCAGCGACCCCCGCGACCGTCAGCGTCACCTCCGCCTGCGCCGTCACCGTCACCGTCACCGGACCGGCCTGAAAAATCGCACTGTCGCGGCCGACAACGTCATCGTTTTTAAAGCGTCGTGAACGGCGAGTGAAACAAAATTGTTCGAGCGTATGTCAGGCTTTTGGCTGGCGAAAGACATAAATATGGTAGTCGCCGCCGATGTTGAAGTACTTATGTTTTGAGGAGGACGACATGTTTTTCCCCGCTGTCTTGTCCGTTACGCTCACTCGTGACGTGCTGCCGACAGCGTGCTCGTTTGATCCCTCTACCCTGTAGTGAGGCTGTTAAGAAATTGTCGACTAATCATCTGCATTGTTTTACATTGTTTGGCACTTGGCGCGGGCTCTGGCTGCCGGACGAACCTATTTCTGTGCAGGCTGCCATCCGGGAGGCTGTCGCTGGGACTGAACGTCGTGTGACTGAATGAGTGAACATCGCTGACGACTTCTGGACCTGATCAAGTGCATAGGAGTGTCGGCGCAGGTGCAGATGTGCTGGTACTCGTTCCGCATTTTCCGCACGACTCCTAGTGGACCAGTAACGGCGACCGGCCGCTGCGACGTGTGCAAGCATGGTCTGCCCCGTCCTTTGATGCGTACGGATGCAGCGACCAACGGCGTGATGCTGAGTACGGTGACTGCCTTGCCACGACCAGACCATTGTAGTTGCTTCTGGAACGTCCGCGTCGCCATAGCCATTGAACCACATCTGTCACGCCTAAATACGAGTGTGGACGGAGGCCGTTGATTTAAGCAGCAAATCTGCATGTTCCGCCCTGCGTTTGTGGCGCCGAGATACAAGCAAAACAGCTGACCAGGCCAGGTACTTACACCACATGCCGTGATGAACCCGGCAAGAAACTCTTCGATCATCTATGGTCTCGAGGTTTTAGTATGCGTATTGCATACCGTCCGGCGAGTCCGACATTTGCGACTGCAGCTAGGCAGCCCCAGAATCAGCACAGTTCTGAGTACACTCGTGCCGTGTCCCAACGGTGCAGTCGCGCGTCCTTCCTTCTGCCACGTCCAACTCCACTCAATCTCTTGGCACTCGCATTCAAACCGCCTCGCTGTTCACACGCGTCCGACGCGCGCCGCCCGACACCACCTCCGCGGTGACCCGACTCTTCCACGCGAGTGTCCCACGCGTCCCGCCATCTGTGACCTTGACCGAGGCTCACGGTGCGGCGGGGACGAACCAGTGCTCGTTGCAGCGGGGTGATGAAATCTACCACGACAGTCGGTTCTGGATCCCATCAGAACACGTGTCGGCATGGTCGGCACCAAGGGATCCGTTTGAAATCCAGACATAGGCGTAGTGAGGGTGGATCGGTGGGTGCCATGACGCCTCCACTCTCCGAGTACGCTCAGTATTAGCCACGTGACAACATTTGGCGAGATTTGACTTCAAAATCGGTCTCGACACCCCGACTTTCTCATAGGTTCCTTCACCCGTGGATCCAGGGTCCAGGCACATGCATAATCTGATGGGACAGTCCCTGCCCAGCTATGGGCTGTGGCGGCCGCAAAACATTAACTGTAGGACAAGACTGACGGCGGTGGCGTTGCAACACGCGACTGCGCGTTCCGACAACACGCCGTCGGTATTGCGCTGGCACGCTCGGGCCCGCTGCTTTCGGTCGGAAACTTTGAACGCCGAGCACTCAGCCGATTACGGTTACGGCGCCCGAAAGTCCCTTCCTAATCGGCGGCACTCGTTGCCTTGTGATGAAGAAGCCCGCCTTTCACCGGCTTCTCCTGCCGAACCCACCTTCGCTCGGGGCTTGCGCTTTCCACCCCGCGCATGCGCAGAAGGTATTGAGGCCTCCCGTTGTGTGCTGCCATCATGCGGACAAAGACATGAAGTGCTGCTCCGCTCCGTCGGATGCCGGCTCGGTACCTCTGGCGATGTGGCTGGCGTCCGTCATTTTGCACGGAGGCGGCGGGCGGCGTCCTGATCTGTACGATACTATGTGAACGATATGGTGCTACCACAGCTACCGTGATTGGCCGTTGCATAGTTTGAAGAGAGCTCATTTTAGGCGCTCAAGGTGAGCAGTTATTTCAACGCGTATGTTCGTACGGAGCGTTGACATTGGGACCGTGTTGCATGCATTTGTTCGTATGAAGGTCTTAGAAGCTGCCATAAGTCATGTCTTGTCATCAATTCCTTGGAATATGGATTTACTCTGACTTCATCAAATATGTTATGCCTTTGATTCTTGTATTTTTAAATTATTCCTTAAGTGTGAGGGTTGCTTGAGTTTTTAGCATGTGTAGTGAGGCTCCAGCCCATTATGGTACAATTGGATATATGATGCAATTAACCCACATGTTGGAGGTTTATTATTTGCAAATGCTTTGCTTTCTATAAGCCAGATGGCCTTGAAGCAATTTTTACCTTGACTAAGTTCCAAAATTCAGAAAGACTTGATGCCCTTATACTTATTGTGCCAATTTTCCTTGTACCTTTGGTATTACAGGCACACTAACCATGTTCCAATGGTACTCTGGTCACTGTGTGCAGACACTGTGATCGGGCTGCATGGATCATTGCATTATGGGATGGCTAGCCATCAGGATGCGAGTTACCTGCCTGCAGTACTTCAGTTGGTGAACTGTGTCTGTATCCTCCTCTGAAAGTAGTTGTGCAATTACCTGTGTAGTTACTGCATAGTTGTTATGACCTGATAGTCCTTGTGTGAAGATGAAAATAAGCAATATCAAATATGTATTATTATGGCATAAAAAGTACTGTCTCAAATAGCATCTTTGATGTTAAGTTGATGTGTCTATTTAAGACAAACTGTGAGTGTAATTGCTTTCAGTTATAAAAAGCCTCTTTATACAATTGTCTGTTCCAGTTTTTTAAACATCAAAAACTATGTCTGGTGAAGAGACAGAAACACCAATTGTGAATGAGCAGCTGTCACAAGATGTTAAGGAGCAGCCCCTGAGAACAGAACAAGAGGCTGATGCAAAAGTGGCACTCTCAGAATTAGTCAATTCTAAGCCAGAGGTCATGGATACTACAGATAGCTTGGATGAAAGTGAAGGTGAGGTGAAACCTGTACAAAAAACACCACCTCCCTTGGATGGTGGTGCCCCTGATGTGCCTAAAGCTCAGGAGAACCAGGCTGAAAAAGACAGCAAACCTCCAGTTGTCCCCAAGGTCAGTCCAATGAAGGCAGAGGGCACTGCAGCATGTGCGGCAGACACTGCCGACTCGGACAAGGCCGTCGCCGAGTCGGATCCGTCTGCGGCGGACACCTCGCGCGGCTCGTCGACGCCGGCGGACTTCACCCGCGCCGGCAGCGCCTCGTCAGACGGCGCGTCGGCCGACGGTGCCTCCGCCGACGGCACGCCGCGGTCGCGCGTCACGCGCTCGCGCAACCCCGACTTCGCCGCCAAGCAGAAGAGCTTCATGAAGGAGTACCAGCGCAGCGTGAGCGGCGCGCCGGGCACGCCCGAGGCGGCGCCCGATGGCGCACGGTCGGAGAAGCGGGCCGCCAGCGAGGGGGCGCCGTCACCGGCCAAGCGACGCCGGCCAAGCCGCGCGGAGGACGGCCGCGCCGGCACCACTCCGGCGCCCACTGTGAGTGCGTTCGCGGTGCTGTCGCCGAGCACGGTCAGCTGCTGCCCGGAGTGTCACTAAATACCATGATTATCTTAGGTCTTGCTATGCGGCGGTGATGCTAGGTGGTGTTGCACGGAAAGCCGTATTGAAGCATGTCGTCCGAACAACCACGTGTACGAATTGAGGGGCGGCATGAACTGACTGGGGCGGATCTCAGTGACTCGGATCAGTGGGGACGTTGATAGCGTTGTTCCTCTGGGTCCGGCTGCCACGGCCCCCTCGCTAGCACCGCCAGCGGCCGCCCCGCCACTGCCGCGCCCGTGATCGCGAGAGAGCGCCGCTAGTGGCTCCAGCCTGCCGCCGCCCCTGCGCGGCCGCCGCTGCCGCTGCGCCAGCTGCCGCTGACCTTGGGAGGCGGCGGTGCCCGGCTGTGGGCACGGGGCCGGCCGGCCGCGGTGGCAGCTCAGCGGTCGGCTGGCAGACGGGCGAGTGGCGTGGGCAAAAGTCCGCTTCACAGACGCACGCACACCGGGGGGGGGGGGGGGGGGGGGCGGGGTGATTCAGGTGGCAGGCTCGCCTGGGCTGCTCTGTGTAGACCAGGCATTGACCACGGGTATGACTTTGCTGCTGTGCTATGCTCTTTGGACTAAACAGACCTGCTGTTTTCGGCGTCGGCCAAGATGCGTGCCTCATTTTTCCGGTTTCGTGGTCTTCAGTGTCACGTCCTAGCATTGTTGGCCTTGGCTGTGCTGTACGGCGTGAGGTCGACGAGAGCTCTGTTTGTTAACCGTCTCTCGGTGCGCGTGCGCCACGTACGCTTTGCAAACGGCTCGCGCATCAACACATGAAGCCAGACTCCGTTTCTCCCCAACCGGCCGGTAGCTGACGTGTGCTGACAGTGTGTGCGGACAGTGCTGACACTGCGTCCGACCGGCCGGCCGGACCCGCCCTTGGGTCACCCGCACCCCGTGACCCGACCTCGTCCGCAGGGCGCGCCCAATGACAACTTCTGCTGGTCGTGCCACCGCGAGGGCGAGGTGGTCTGCTGCGAGGCCTGCCCCCGCGTCTTCCACCTCAAGTGCGCCGGCCTGGCCGCCGACCCGCCCGGCGACTGGGTGTGCGGCGAGTGTCGGCGCGTCGTGCAGGCGGAGGCGGCCGGGCCGGCGTCGCCGGCGGCGCGCGACCTCACGCCCGAGCGCTTCACCCAGCTGCTGCAGTACGCCATGGGTCGGCTCAAGAACCTGCCGGGGGTGAGTGCCACGGAGGGGCTGCCGGCGCTGGGGCACGAGCGAGCGGCTGTGACTCCTCGATGGCGTAGTGTTTGTGTCACTGAGGCAGCATCGTCAGATAGCGCGCCAAGGGATCTGAGCTTCACAGCAGTGGCAGGAAACAGTGTGGCGGCCGCGCTTTTGGACGGGATTTCTACTACTTCGTAGTATAACGTTGAACAAGTTCCTTGACCGCATTTCTGCAGAGCGTGAAGTTGACCGATGACGAAGAAGGTGGTTAGTACGGCCATGCGGGGACGAGCTGCCGCGAAATGAACGAGCTATGATGTCGCTGTTTCAGTCCAACCCGCGTCGCTCAGACCGCGACAAAACTCTTGCTGAGCACGACATTGATCGTTGCGGGGGAATATATCCAGAGACGTCCAATTAACCAGCGGGGAAAATGTGCGCGTTTTCCGGTCGTATTCCGGGTTGTGTATTCCGAAAGTCCAAGCGTGTCCACGAGCTTACCGCTGCGGTGAGTTGTGCGCACCACAGCCGGCCGTCTGTTAGACAACTGCTTACTGGACGGGTTGGGAACGAGGTCCCTTTCCGGCTGCGAAAATACACCCCTGATTGGAGAAGCGAAATGTGCTGCCAGTCGGTTCGCCCAACCCACTTCATCAGTGCTGGCGCAGGAACCAGTGAAAAGTGAAAGTGTTAACCTCTAGTGGGGACGGATGGAATGAGGGTAAATAAGTGTAGGAATAATAAATATTCGCGGCCTATCGTCGTATAAAGTGTAAGTGTAAGAATAACAAGTATTCGCGGTATCTTGTTCCCGTCTGGTGTGTACGTGTCTACACTAACTTATGCAGGTAAAAGTACTAACGCTCCAGAAGGCGGTCGGTAGTCAGAACAATTATCCCAATCGCAGTGATAACGCTCTTCAAGCGCACCTTAAAAATGTGGTCGCAATTGTATCTGAAATGTTCTCAAGAAAAACCAAGCACACAGTCTTTCTCACTCGCACAAGTGTGAAGACGCCAGACTGCGCTGGGGTCAGCACGTTGTTGTCGTAGTAATGAGCTCAAATGCTAGATGCTTTGGTGCTGTTCTCTGGGCTTATTGACGGAAAATGTCTGGGTTCCAGCCGGTATTCTTGTTTGTGTGCGTGGTCTTTGTGGGCATTGTCGGCGTATCGTCGTTGCATTTGCACGGGCTCCCACCCATCCGAGGTGCGATGGAAAATGCAAAGTGAGTTATGTGGAGTCGCCGATCGTTCCTCACGTCTGTCCCACGACCATCCCTCTGACCCACGCCCTTGAAGCCCGTTGTCGGCTGACTGTGACACTGCCGCGTACATCCACGCACGCCGAGCGCCGCGCGCGGCGACCGCCCGCCTGCGCGCACCCTTTGGCCGTCGACGGCTAGCTCTGGACCGGCCGGGCAAGACTGACTGGACTGAAGCGGTCGCCTGGCCGGCAGCTCGCCAGCCATCGTCGGGTGTGGCGGGACTGTCGCGGGCTCGGCCCGGCCCGTCAGACGCTGTCCGAAGTCGCCGGCACGGTTCGGCTGCGGTGCGCGGTGCGCAGGATGGATAATGGATGCGACGGGCACACATCTCGCTCCCGTGCGGGGAAGGCCTGTTTTTGCGGTCGAAGGGCCGACCGTCCCATAATTGGCCGGTTCTGACGGCTCCACGTGGGCGTTATGACGAGTGACGGGCGCAGGACGAATTTCGGATATTTTAAGACTTGTGTGATTATCTGTGATGACGGTTTTAACGTGTTGTTGCGAGAGTTTTCTTCCACTCCAACTATCTGGACAGTCCTCAGAAGGGTTTCGTCCTGTCCTCCGGTCCGCTAAAGACCGCTGACGTATGCCGCCACTCCTTCAGCGATGGTTGAGCTGCCAGGTCCGGCCGGATTAACAGTCTATCCACAAAGGTGATGAAGGCATCTTCCACCCTGGGGCTCGCGGGCCCGGCGGCCGGACCCCACGGGCGGCGGCTGGCGCGGCCGGCCGGCCGCTGCCCACCCGCATCGGGTGCGGCCATCGGCCCGCGCGGCACCGCCCGGCTGCCGACGCATGCGCAGTGCCGCGCCAGCCGGCGGGCGTGGGCTGCGCTGATTGGCCGGGCGCCGCCTGCTGTCGATCGGGCGCCGGCTGGCCGGCGGCCGGCCAGCCGGGCGCGGCGCCGCGGCCGCGACGGCCCGGTCACGAGGCGCCCGCCTGCCGACACGCCCCGGTGGGACGCCGCCGCCATCGCGCGGCCGCGGCACTCTTCAAACGATGTTCGGGACGCGAGAGCGCACCGCCGCGCGGACATGTTTGGGCTGTTGCGTTTGCCGTTGTAAAGCAGCACGTCCCGGGGAGTGGGTCATCGAGGTCACGAATGCCCGCAGTAGGCGATGCCCGCACGTCCGTCTCGGTGTTTCAGGCGGAGCCGTTCATCCACCCGGTAGACGAGAGGAAGTTCCCCACGTACCGCGAGTGCGTCGGCTGCCCCATGGACCTGTCCACCATGGAGGACAACGTGACGAAGGGCCTGTACAGCTCCACCGAGGCGTTCATTGCTGATTGCAAGTGGATTCTGCACAACTGCATCCTCTTCAATGGCAGTGAGTCACCAGGGCAGCTGTAGTCGGTTTGTGATGGGGACAGCCTCCACACGTCCGTCCAAATGGCCGATAATGGAGGCATTGGGGTTTTGTTTTCGCAATGTGACGCTTACAGAGAACGTGCATGAAACATTGCCCGTTTGAAACACCGGCCAACGTACCACTACCGTGCTGTTCGTGCTGTTGGTCGACCGGCGTCGTGATCATGGCAGCGAATGTAAAACTGAGGGCTGTGAGTGCCGTCTTGGCTCGACCGGCAACGTCGAGTTTGGCTGGCCTATTGCATAGACACCCTCAGGGTGTGGTGCGGGTCTGAAAACGGACCCATGGACGCTTCTGGACCTGCGAAACTGCCGTCTGCTCTCGCGCTAAAATATAGTGTCCGGATGGTCCTGCTCTTGTTCACAGTTTCTCGTTCGCTTGTAAAAACATTGGATTAACGGACTTTGATGATGATTAAGAGTCCAGAATATGCCGTTTAAATGCTTCGATCAGACGCTGCAGGTAACCTCCTCGAGGACGTAAACCCTTGGTCCTTTTTGTTTAAATGCGATTCACGCAATTCTAGTCATCGCCGTTCAATAATAGCGCTATTTGTTTTAAGATGTTGGTGTATTAAACTTGCATAAAGCACACGAAATGATTTAAAATGCGGGTTACAGGGGACGCTGAACACGTATGTGTGGCTGAAACCCGATGCCTGCGACGCCGTTAATTGTTGCTAATCATCCCTGGGGTTTCCGGTTGTTTCGTAAGGGAATCGTGGCTCAGCCTCCTCATCGATTTTGACCATTGAAAGGGGCGTCTGTATAGTTTTTGTTTGTGTGTCCTTGCATTTCGATGTGTGTGAATACCAGATGTGTCACTGTCACGCCCTATACGGCATGGGGGTCGTTTCCCAGCTTTGTCAGTCACACCCCTCAGAGCGTACTAAATATGTTATCCTCTCCCTTTTCAAAGACACGCGTATTGTGTACAAAATTCTCGGAAACGCTGTCAGTATTTGCATAACCTCGTGACGGAGCGATGAATCGATATCACGTGGGGATACCCGCGAACCCGCACAAGAAACCGGCCCCATGATTGGTTTGGTACGCGCCAGTCACTGGTGCGCCTCACCCTCAACCCAGCGTCGTTTGCCGCCGCACGACCGATGTTTTGGTCTATACTGACTCCACCCGCCCACTGGCAGCGACGAGCAAGCTGACGACGCTGGCGAAGGCACTGCTGCGCATGTGCAAGTGGGAGGCGGAGGAGATCGAGACGTGCCCCGACTGCTACGGCCACGCCTACGCCAGCGACAACTGGTTCACACTGGCCTGCGTAAGTAGTCCGGCCCCCAAACGTGCGGATAATCATGATTGGAGGGTTCAGAGCGCATCAGCATCCTGATGATACCCCCCCCCCCCCCCCGAGGTCGCGGCTCGTGGCTGACAGCGATGTCGCCGCCACCTCTCCAGATCTCCAGATCAAGGAGCTGACTGATCTCTCGGAGATGCCGTTACAGTCGCGCCTCACGGTTCGTCGGAGCGCCGGCGCTGGCAGCCGCTTGTAAATGACGTCAGCGCCGCCGTATTATTCTGTGCGTCGACGTGGACGAGAGAGAGGGAGCACGCCGCTTGCTCAGTTGCTGGCAGATACCAGGGGGGCTGAGTGTGATGATCATCTGTTGTACGTGCCGGCGTCTGGGAAAGAAAACCCGTCGGCTTCCCTTTCGCCCTGCCATAAAGTCGTCAATGGCAAAATTTGAGGTGACCTTGACATTCTCGCTATCCTTGATGGCACTGGGGAGAGCCCTTGTCAGGCGTCCCCATTCGGGGGCGCGCCTAATGCGCAGTCCTGAATGCCTTGCTGCATCTAGTTCCGTTACTGCAGGTTGAAGCGGGGGTATGACATGGTGTATGCCATTTGATGTTGGCGCTGGCGGAGAGGTGCCGTTATCCAGCTCCTCAGGAACACTACGTCGTGTCGACTGGTCTCTGGTCGTGGAGAGCGTCTGGAGAGCCGCCGGCGTCCCCAGCTGTTGGAGCAGGCGGTCCGTGGTCTCTGGGGCCCAGTGTCTTGCCAGCCGTCGTGGCTCATGATTGACCAGCGCGGTCGGCGGGGACGACCGCGAACGGCGCTTTGCGTGTGCGCGTGTACACCCCAGCGTGCTCTTCCGTGATGTTTTTTGGATGTTGCTCTCTGGCCCGACGTGCATCGTGTTGAGACCCGCACACTGTCACATTAATTGTTTCCAGGCCTCGCCACACGTTTCCTAAACAGTTCCAGCGCCGCCGCGAGACGTCCGGGCCCGCGCGGTCCCTGCGCTGCTGAGCGTGAGCTCGGGTGCTGTCCTCATGGCAGCCACGGGCGCGTCGCCGCCGCCGCCGCCCAGCTCGGCCAGTGCTGCGCGGTCGCCGCGCATCTGGCAACGGGCCAAAACGCCGCTGACGTCACGCGGGGGCGGGGCCTGGCGCCGCCGACCGAAAGCGAAAGCGAGGCCGCGGTCGCCATCTTGGGTCGGCGTTGGCCGCGTGGGTGCGGCTCGGGCGACGCCTGACTTGTCGGACGCCGACAGAGGGCATCGTCCCCGCCGCCTCCGGTGCCCCCGACGCGCCGCCAGTGACCGCGTTCAAGGGAAAGCTGGCGGGGTAATCATCGCCACACCGCGTCTGTCTCAGTCTCGGAGCGCGCGTCATGCGAGAATTCGCCGTGGTCAGGCTCGTGCGTGTCCGTGTGGGACGGCGGCTGGGGAATAACACTGCGTTCGTTTTGAGATGATGACGCGGACTCATTGTGCTGCCGGTCCGTGTGTGGTCTACGTCATGCCTCCGACATCAGCCTCGCTGTTGGCTTTCACTGGGCACGGTTGGGCGTGTCGAGCCGTCGCTGCGACAGAGACACGCTGTTTTGATTGGCGGCCGTTCGAGCCACCGGTAACAGATGGTCCATGCAGATCCGTCCGAGTTCGGCCGTGCATGCGGCGGCACAATAGGCACCTGTAACTCGGAACATTGATTGACGTCCGCGTGGTGAAGTTTGCTCGGTGCTGCAGCTTTGCCTCCCGGCGCTGGCTCGTCGCGGACCTCGCCTGGGCCGGGGTAGCGTTGGTACGCACCGGGACGGCGGTGGCCTGTCGTGGCTGGCCTGGACCGCTGATGCGGCGACCCTGTTTGGAACGCACCGCCCGCCGCCAGCACGAACCACCTCTGAACGCGTGCCGATGACGAGCGTGACTCCCTCCAAGGAGCGGGACACGGGCCGCTCGGTGCGGGTCGATGACCCTGAGCGGGGCATACCATCCCACGGCTCGCTGCATTGGATAACCTGTGCCGTCTGACCCCTGACCCCCGACTGATCCCTGACCTTGAGCTGATCCCTGATGACCTCCAGCTGACCCCTGACGACCTCTAGCTGACCCCTGACTCGCAGCTGACCCCTGACCCCCAGATGACCCCGAACACGCAGCTGACCCCCGCCGATCTCCGACAGCCGCACCCGCACCTGCTCATCTGGGCGCGCCTCAAGGGATTCCCGTTCTGGCCGGCCAAGGCGGTGAAGACGCGGGACGGCAACGTCGATTGTCGCTTCTTCGGCCGCCATGACAGGTGAGACGGCCGGGACGCCGGCAGGGTAGAGATGGGACAGTCGGGACACCGGCAAAATAGAGATGGGTTGGGCAGGTGGCCGATGATATTAATGTGGACGCCGGGGCGCCAGCGGGATAGAGATGGGACGACCGCGACTCAAACTCAATGCAGGGCTTAACCGAGATACTGACCGGGTGGAGACTGGACGGCTGGGACGCCAGGAAAACCGAGGCGGGGTGGCCGAAATCCCGGCGAGATGTGCTGGGACAACCGAGGTGCCGACAAAATAGAGCTGGGTTAGCCGGGACGCTGGAGCCGTCCCACCGAGTGGCGGTGGGACGACTTGCGTACTGGAGGGATAGAGTTGGGATGTCCTAACCAGGGCTGCAGTGAGGTGGAACGTTCGCAAGATCCCTTCAAGGTGAAACATAATTATGAATTTTTATCAAAACTTGTTCCGAACGGCGGGTGCAAAATTGTGGCATGATGATTGGACGGAATTATTAGATCCTGCGTGTTATTGAGCCGATTCTTAGCACAGATCCGTAGCCCCAGAAGATACTTCTGCAAAATTTGGGTTGGGCGCAGGGTTTCAGAACATTATCTAGTTAAAGTTTTGACGCATCGTGAACTCCCTACGCATTATCCGTCTGTGCGTGTGTGGATTGCTCGTCCGTCGCCCCCCTCATCTGGACCGTAACGCCGACCTTATGCGGCCCGGAGCCACATCTTGCCATATCAGTTGACCAGGCTCTGGTAACATGCTGGGCCGCAGCGCTCTGGCGTCGCTGATGAAGCCCACATATGGGCAGCGCAACAAGTGTGCACAATGCGATGTATGTGTAATGGGTCGAAAGCGTCATGCCGTGTTGCATCATGAAGCCACAAACAATGTAGGTCGCGCGTGGTTGCGTTCTGACCTTCTGAGCATTTGGTGTCCTCAGCGAAATGGTCAACCATTTCATCAGAGTGTACCGTTCATTGCGTGGTGTGTTTATGTTGCAGTGCCCGAAGCGTTGTTTTCCGGTTGTACGATTCGCCATGCAGTGAAAAGGCATCGCCAATTCGTCTTTTTCTTTGGGGACACAACCTCACTTTCCAGACAGTGCCATCTTTGATCTCAAAGGCCCCAACCCGTCTTAGCGTTATGTCGTAACCTCTGAGTGTTCCCATCAGCTGGACACCGAGACAAAATATGTCAAGCAGTTTGTCACGCGTTGGGACGTGTGCTAGTTATCGTTTGGATGCTAGAGAGATGAAGCCCGTGGGATGGCTGTGTGCGGTTGGTGACTGGGTGCGGTCAGCTGCGATGTAAGGTCGCCACTTCAGCCGGAGCTCCGGACCGGGCCCCCGTTTCGGTGTGAGGCCTCCGCTTCAAACCTAGTTTTGGACCGGGCCTCCGTTTCGATGTGAGGCTGCCGCTTCAGCGGGAGTTCTGGACGGGGTCCCCGTTTCGGTGTGAGGCCGCCACTTCATTCCTAGTTCTGGACCGGGCCTTCGTTTCGGTGTGAGGCCGCCGCTTCAGCCAGAGTTCTGGACCGGGCCCCCGTTTCGGTGTGTGGCCGCCGCTTCAGCCAGAGTTCTGGGCCGGGCCCCCATCTCGGAACTCCTGTCATCGCCAGCGCTGCTCTGGGCCTTAGCTTGCTGGACGCTACACTTATTGCCGTCCGGCCCGGAGCCCAGTCACAAAGCGTAAACACCAAGTGCAGAGTATCGATGAAAATGCGTTATCGGGTATTGCTGGAGGTTTTGCCACATTCTGTGTGGTGAGGACCATCTGTCACCCTTCGTCCTCCGTGAATTGCTCTGAAACGGACCATTTGAACGGGGCGATTCCAACAACAAAAATACCCCTGGATCGCGCGGGCATGGTGCATGCTAGCTATGCGCTTGCAGGTCTTAAGGAACGTCACATGTCAGGTCCAGTGTCGCGGCTCAAAAATCCACCCACTTGCGACGTCATTCAAATTGAACGAATTTTTGCGGCTTAAGGGTTTGCGTTCCCCTCATTTTGTTTGTACTGGGACGTAGCGTAGAACAGTGCAAAGATGCGCAGTCCCTTGCTATGTATGAGATGAGCCATATATATATATATATATATATATATATATATATATATATATATATATATATAATCGGTGCTCAGACTTATGATTTTATCGTAATCTGACTAAGGATGGCGCGAATGTGTTTGACGGAAGGTGCGTGCAATACCTGTTTAAAGGCCATGAAAATCTCAGATGGCTTGCGTAATTCGCTCCGAAGGATAATAAAAGCAATAAAACAAAGGGTGTGAACGCCGAACATCCCAGAATTCCATGGATAATGAGGCTACTTGCTTCAGTCGCCTTCTCCTCAGAGGGATGGCCGAAGTGGTCAATTTCCATCAATTACAAAAACCAGTCACGCAGTATTGCCTCTTGAAACGAAGCAACCTTTAAACCATACGGTCCCGTTAAAAACAAGGCTATTTTGATATTGGATATACGCTCTTGTCGAGACGGCCTGATACGGACTCAGAGTGGAGCGATTTGGTTGGATCTTTACGCTGGAACGTCAATATAACACCAGAGGTAACGGGCTCGTATCTTCACACCATGTGAAGTTATTCAGCTCGTCAGCGAATCGTGAAGCGCATGATCTTATCAAGCTTCCATGTCACTTGTGGTCGTACACGGTCAACCATGGTGTTTGCTTTGATGGTCCATGCGCGATTTTTAGGCGTCCAGTTTTCGCTTTTGCTATTACCGCTCTGCTGTGCCAGCGTGGGTGTCATATGAAATCGACCGTGCACCTGTGCGCTGTGTTAATGCCGTGTGTCGATGCTGTTTTTATCATTCTCCGTGTTTTCCTGAGACGGTTCAATTAAGGCCGACCGCAGCGCTGACAGCGCTGACAGCGCCGCGGCGCGTAGCGTACAGCAGACTGATCATGTCGTACCAGAGGCCCAGCTCGCCTCCCGCTCTGCGAGCCTGCGGCGCCCGGCTGTGTGAGGCCCGCTCTGCGAACCTGCGGCACCCGGCTGTGTGAGGTGGACGTCCTCAAGGGCGGCCTCCTCCGGCCTTCACGCACCGCCCGTCGCCTACGTCCGCCCCAGCTAACAGCGCGCCGGCGGCATCTCCGCCCACAGAGCGTGGGTGCCGGTGAAAGAGTGCTACCTATTCTCCCGGGAGCCGCCCGCGCCGCCCAAGGGGCGCAGCAAGAGCCTGGACGCGTGCGTCGAGGTGGGTCGCTGCCGGTCGATACGCTCCCCGCCTGAGGCTGCCATCTGTTGGCGGCGCCGCGCACTGCCAGCGGCCGGCGGGCGCGCGCTGCCGACACGTGGCGGTCTGTTGGAACGTCGGCGGATTCTGCGGTCGCTGTCGAGAGCCGTCACGTGCGCAGCATACCTGTCGCTGGCGGACGGGAGCGTGATTCCGCTCCAGCGGGATCGAAATCGGGATCGGTACCGAGCGATTATGGCATTCGGTTGATTCGGACTCTAATGCCGAGCGGCGTATCACAACATATTTTATTCTGTTCCTGACCCAGGAAATGTAATCTGATTCCGAAATCGGTTCTGTTAGAGTCCGTTGGTGACGGTTCGGGGATAGAGATGAGCCGTTACATTGGCTTTCAAATACCTGCGTTTTGTCTTCAGCCGGGGCTGAGCACGCTCTTGGTGATGTGAGGGTCTTGTGCGTGAAGTTATTTAGTTTGGGTACGAATATAGCATTTGCGTTGATATTCATCTGAATTGCTCGTCATAATACCTTCAAATGTACTATATGTTACTGTTGACTTGTGGTGATTAACGAGTTTGCGCATTTTCTTTTTTCAGGAACTTGAGGAACACGTTCGAAATCTGGAACAGAAGTTTGGCGAGTATGTTTATGCCAAGCCACGTACTCAGTACGACCCGAAAAAGATATCTGCTCAACTGAAGATGACGTTGCCTGGTTACGAGTGCGACACTGCGCCGTCCGACCAAGGTGGGGCGTGTGGCTTGGTCTGCATCGTCGGGGTCACTTTACAGCTGCGCTCTTGACTAGAACCACAACATTGGGATATAAGTTGGTCTCGTCGCGCAGTCTGGGTGCTACCTTCCAATATGTATGGCAGGCGCTGTGTGTGGCACGACTGGTTCTGCGGGCGATGGTCATTGCCGGTTTGCTGCATGCGACGATGGTTGCCTGCTGGTATTCCAGGATCGCCTGATTCCTATCGCAACTTAGAGGCTCTTTTGAAACACGCGAAAGGTGAGACCTCGCAGTCGGATTCATAACCCCTGCGGTTCCTCGGGCTGCAGAACGGTCGCGGAAGAAGCGGTCCAACAGTGAGATCCAGCTGGAGATCCTGGAGCGGCTGCGGCAGGGCAAAAAGGCGCGTCTCTCGACTTCCGACCGGCAGACGGCGGCAGACGGCACGCCAGCGTCACCGGGCCTAGCCTCCGCCCCGGCACCAGCTGAGACCGCGGCGCCGGCCGAAGCGCCGGCTGAAGCCCCCGTGCCGGAGCCGGCGCCGGCTGTCATCGAGGCCCCGGCCTCCGACCCGACCCCAGTGAAGACGGAGTCGCCGGCGCCGGCCGCGTTGCCGGCCGAGCCGCCGGCCGAGCCGCCGCCGCCGCCGCCGCCGGAGCGGGCCGAGCCGGCGGCGGTCCGGGCCGACGCGCCGGCCGACGAGCTGCGCCGCAGCGGCGCCGCCCGCCGCAAGACGGCGCGTAAGTCACTGGCGCAGCGGCGGCCGGCCGGCGGCGAGGCGACCAGCTCGCCGACACCGGCCGTGGCTGGCGCCGGCCCGACTGTCAAAACCGGCATCACTCCCGCCGCGAGGGCCTCCACTCCTGGCAGCAGGAGCAGCAGCGGCTCCTCAGGCAAGATCAGCACGGGTTCCTCCGCCAAGGTCAGCAATAAAGCGGGCGGCGGTGCCGTCAGCAAGAGCGGCACCTCCTCGACTGCCACCACCATCACGACCGCGGCTGTCGCCGCCGGCGCCAGCCCCGGCGCCGCCTCCCTCACCTTGACGGTCGGCAAGGCGGCCAAAGTCGGCTCGCCGTCCATCAGTCTGGCGAAGAGCCAGCCGGGGCAGCTTGTGCGCGTGGTGTCCTCCAGCGCTACCGGCGGCGGCAAGGCAGCGGCGGTAACCTCTGCTGCCACGCTGGTGCTGGGCAGGAGCACCACCCAGGCCAAGGTCACTACGCTCAAGCCCAACAACGGCATATCACAGCAGGTGGGAGCATGGGTGCGCCTTTACCGTTAATTAGGGTGCAGTCGCGTCCCCATCATCTCAGACAATTGACGTCAGATTATCGTGTTTCATAGAAGGATGGACCCAAAATAGCTTTTACATCTCAACATGTTTTTAAAAACTTATCTCTGGATGTGTGAGATCAGCGGTCTGGCGAAGAGTCATCGAGGCCCCGAACTTGTTGAGCCCTGAGCACCCATCCTTCATTGTGGGGCAGACCTGGGTTCCTGGGGGTATCATGGTTTTCAGGTGCCCGCATGACGGGACATCGAAGGCAGTATGAACCCTTTAGCTGCCAGCTTTGTGCTTTTTCAGCCAAGTGCAGATCAGACAAGAATTTTTTTCTCGCTCTTCGACATCCCCCATGATGCTCATTGTGGCGAATATGCAGTCCACAGTGGACCGGGCCAGCATCACTCGGCCGCGTCGGCGGTGCCGCCGTCTGCACCCGCCCCACTATAGCGCTCCCGACCGCCGTGCTCAGGTGCTGGCGCAGCCGCTACGTCCCAAGATGCTGCCGGCGTCGCCGCTGCGCGCGCCGGCGCCGGCGCCGACGGTGTCGGCGGCGCCGCAGCAGTCCATCATCGTGAACCGGGCGGGCGCGCGGCTCATGATCCCGCGCGCCTCGCTCAACCAGCTGTACGTGCCGGCCGGGCCGGGGGCCGGCAGGCCGGCCGGCGACGCGCCCTTCACCATCAGCACGCAGGCGCACCTCGGCCCAATGATGGTCATACCGGGCGGCCTAGGCGCGGCCAGCAACGGCGGTGCCACGGTCGTCACGTACCCGGCCGTCAGCTCGGTGGGCGTGGCGGCGGGCGGGCCGACGGCGGCGCTGCCCACGGCCGCCGCACCCTCCGAGGCCGGCCCCGTCTCGGCGCAGGTCAACAAACAGGCGCAGACGGTACGTGGTGGCGAGGCCGAGCCCGGACGGGGTCGAGACAGCGCGGCGTGGCAGGAGACGGACTGGCTCGGACGTCATGTGGCACCAGGAGACGGGGCTCAGACGGTGCGTGTTAACGGAAAACCAACACCGCGCAGGGAACAGGGCACCAGCAAAGGCCGCACACGGTACCGGGATATGACAATGGCTCTGATGGTATCCGATAACACAGGTGGTGATGACACCCGATGACACAGGTGATGCCCGGCAGATAGACTGATGCCTGTAGCGATGCCTGGTAATGGGAGACGAGATGCGACAGCATTTCGATCCACTGTGGGGCAGCAAAAAGTAAGGACGCCGCGTCAACTTGGCAAACTCGATAACTTCGGTACGCTGGGACCCCACCCCGGCCCGGCATGCTTGCCTAGGTCCGCCGGCGGATGCTGGCAACGTGATGGGTCATAAAGCCGGAGCTGCGTCTAACCGAAGCGAGATTTGTCTGACGACGGAGATTGGTCGGTGACGGACCCTGCCAGGTGTCGACTGACTAAGACAGGCTTGTGCGAGCGCACCTGGAACTGCGCTGAAGACGTTTGCTTTCCACCACGCTGGTTGAGCGTGATCGAACTGATGTATTGCAACATGTCACGATGTCCCTCCGAGTGATCGTCCCGTAGCCGTGTGTGAACACCTCTGTTTCGGCCAGTGAAGCTTATGCTTCAGCCGAGCGTCAGGTGGTCTGTGGCATTTGACCTCCGGCTGCGGGGGGTCACACACCGCAATTGAATCTGTCACGGCCGCCGAGGGGAGGCATCAGATCCCGACTGATGTGTGAACTCTAGGTGCTTCTATCTGACCGATTAATTTGTGACCTTTGGGTGCTACTGTCTGATCCTGACTGATGTGTGGCCTCTGGGTGCCGCCATCTGACCCTGACCGACGTGTGACTTTCGGGTGCTGCTATTAGACCCTGATTGATGTGTGACCTCTGGGTGCTGTCATCTGACTGACTGATGTGTGACCCCTGGGTGCTTCCATATGACCTTGACTGATGTGTGACCTCTGGGTGCTGCTGTCTGACCCCAACTGATGTGTGAATTCTGGGTGCTGCCACCAAACCTTGACTGATATGTGACCTCTGGTTGCTGCTATCTGACCTGGACTCATTTGTGACCTCTGAGTGCTGCCATCTGGCCTTGACTGATGTGTGACCTCTGGGTGCTGCCATCTATCCTTGACTGATGTGTGGCCTCTGGGTGCTGCCATCTGACCCTGACTGATGTGTGACCTCTGGGTGCTGCCATCTATCCTTGACTGATGTGTGGCCTCTGGGTGCTGCCATCTGACCCTGACTGATGTGTGACCTTTGGGTGCTGCTATCAGACCCGGATTGATGTGTGACCTCTGGGTGCTGTCATCTGGATTACTGATGTGTAACCTCTTGGTGCTGCCATCTGGTCTTGACTGATGTGTGACCTTTGGGTGCTGCTGTCTGACCCTGACTGGTGTGTGACCTCTGGGTGTTGCCATCTGGCCCTGACTAATGTGACCTCTGAGTGCTTCTGTCTGGCCCTGACTAATGTGACCTCTGAGTGCTTCTGTCTGACCCTGACTGGTGTGTGACCTCTGAGTGCTTCTGTCTGACCCTGACTGGTGTGTGACCTCTGAGTGCTTCTGTCGGACCTTGATTGGTGTGTGACCTCCGGGTGCTGATGTCTACCACAGCTGACGGAGCTGATGCGCGAGGGGGTGGAGAAGCTGCTGGGCGAGCTCTCGGCGGCGGGGAGCACGCAGGCCACCGTGACCAGCCTCCGACTGCAGATCGAGCGGCTCCAGTGGAAACATCAGACCGAACTGGCTGAACAAAAGAAGACACTAGGTGCGTCCCTTCCCCCATCCCGATAGTCTGGCGGCACAGTTAACGACTCGACCGGATTGTCAGTGCGAACCTGGTCTTCCTGACAATTCCATTTTGGTTCCGCACCTTCTCCTTTTTGCAAGAACTCCCTGATTCTTGCCAACCACGCCATGCGGAATTTTTCTAGCAAGCGACAAAGAGCGCCCGTGCTCGCCGACCCCCCCCCCCCCCCCCCGTCTTGCGTGAGCTCGCGGCAAACGTCATCCATGGTACGGCTAGGTTTCCTGTTGGATGAGGTCGGAGACCTGAGGTCAATGCTGTGTTGTGGCCAGCTCCCCACATTTTACCTCTCCTCACTCACGGTTCTGATATGGTGTATTATTGAAAGAGCCGTGACCAAACCAAACGACGATTTCTACTAATCGATTGCTCCTGCTGCCTGGCACCGGGTCGTACTTTAAGCCTCCGAGCCGCAGTTACCCTCCCACTGAAATGTCACTGCGTTGGCAGATGGTCCGGTTGTAGGTTCTCTGAAACAGGCGGTCCCTCTTGTCCCGCTTGCCTTACAGCTACTACTTTCCACCTGACCTGGTTTGCCATCGCCGCTTTCGTCTGGTAGATGACATGTGCTTCCCCTATGTTAGCCCGTGTTTAAGGTCAGGGCAGAACCAACATCAGATCTTGGAAGTGACTTAACTTCGTTTGTAGCGGCCAAATTCCAAATTTGGTACTTCTCGTCTTAGGACCGAACAACGGTAATGCAAGTTTGGTGCTTTGGCCGTCTTGTACGGAGTTATGGTCGGTCCCCTCGCTCTATCCCCCCCATTCGCTCGCCCCCCCCCCGCCCTCCCACAACTTTGGCTGCGGTGTGCGCACGGTTCCCCGGCTTGCCCGCCGCGCGGCTGATGACGCCCCTCTGCTGGCCAGAGTCTCAGCTGGCCGAGCTGCGGACGACCATGGAGCAGGAGCAGCGGAAGGCGGCCTTCAAACTGAGCGCCACGCTGGCGGCCGAGCGGAAGGACTGGGATCGCCAGCTGGAGCAGCGCATCAGCGAGACCAAGAAGAAGCAGTGGTGCGCCAACTGCGGCAAGGAGGCCATCTTCTACTGCTGCTGGAACACTTCCTACTGCGACTTCCCCTGCCAGGTGAGAGGGGTGCGGCGACGGCCGGCGCAGACCGGTGGGATGGCGGTTGGGCTTGTCTCGTGCCTGAGGCTTGGCCCATGCAGCCGTGTGAACTGGCGGGAGGCTGGTGGTCCGGATCGGGATACGAGTAGGCGGAACATTTTCATCAAGTCATTACTGACAACCAGAATTGGCTCTTCATGTGGTACTGGAACAGTAAGTCATTCGGTTGCCGTCTTCGTTTCCAGAATGAGCCAAGTATAAGTCACGTCGGTCATGCTGACTGGTTTACATCCGTTCTCCAGGTCGCTCGTCGTGGGCATGTTAGACCTCAGCCAAACACGTATTAGGCTCCGCTCGGCAGTGGCGTCGCTGGCAAGCTCACGCGGCGCGCGCGCGCCGTACGGCCCGGCATGGCGACACTAACGCCGCCTCCCCGCCGCGCAGGAGGCCCAGTGGCCGAAGCACATGTTGACCTGCGCCAACCAGCAGGGTAACGGCGCGGCGGCGGCGGACGGCTCGGTACCGCGACACTAACGCCGCTTCTCCGCCGCGCAGGAGGCCCAGTGGCCGAAGCACATGTTGACTTGCGCCAACCAGCAGGGTAACGGCGCGGCGGCGGCGGACGGTGGCGTCTCTGGGGACGGCGACCGTCTGCCTGCCGCGTGAACCGCCTCCCGCCGGCTCCAGGCACCGCGGCGGGCTCCCGCCGCCCGGCCCACAAACAGCGCATGCTGGTGGCTGTGCGCGTGCGCGCGCGCGCGCGCGATCAGGTTGCTGCCACTTTCGCTACATTTTCATATTCATCATCGTTGTCACTACCATTTGACATGACGTTCGTTTGCTATGTGCTCGCAGTGGCCGTTTTTATGTCGGAGTTTTGAGCAGAACGTTCGGCTTTCGGGCTTGGACGCCAGATCAGTCTCGATTGAAGCATTTGTCGAGAATATATCGTTTATATGAAGTTCTTGGCCGCGTGTGCGACTCTGTTGACGAGACGCGGCGGCCAGGATACGCCGCGGTCGTCACCAAGCGCAGAATGTTACGTTGCTGTTCATGGCCCTCGACAGTGCGTATGATGCACACCGAGATACCGTCCGCGCGCTTACGACTTTTTAACGCTTCGGTAGTGGCGCCACCACACTCCGCAGCCGTCGGCCAGACTTCAGAAATACGCCGCCAGCGGTAATACTAATGAAATAGGTGCCGTCCGCAGAGTGCCGTGTTACGGCGTCACTTCATATCCCTTCGGCAGTGTCAATAATTGCAAATGGTCCCAGGCTCCACGAGCGATTTTATTTTAATTATTTTTTAGGTCTTTCGTAGTTTCGTACGGCGCAGCCCGGTTACATTCAGTAATGCATTGTCAGGGTTAAAAGCATGGAGGACGTTCCAGGAGCCACATCCTCCGGGCGCGATTACAACTATTGTTACAAACCTGTCATAATTTGGCCAACATGGCCCCACTCCGGTCATCCGCTAGCATCCGGTAACACGCTGTCGGGGTGCAATGACAATGCAATTGGTGTCAATGGCCGAGCGCAATGACACGGTGCCAGTTCACAGCCCGTCGACAGCGCAATCAAAAGAATGGGGTCGCACCCTCTGCACGCGATCATGCATATTTCTTACGTGTTCAAGTGTTCTGTTCCGGCCACGAGACGGTCGATGACTTGCATCAAATTATGCACTATCAGGGGTTAATTAATACCAGCGAACCAAGTACCGCTGGTTGAGAGGGATGCTACAGTGCCAGTTGATTGCAGAGGGATGCCAGTTGATCGCTCACCGTCGCCACAATCAACTGGCCTCTGTCGCGATAAAAAACAAACGTTTTCGTAGCTTTGTCTGGGAGCGCGTGCCCAGCCGCACGGACTCATTACCGCACTATCCGAGACCAAAACAATGAAGTTGTGCCAGTGGTCACACACTCCACGCGCAATTGCTAATATTTGCCACAACGCCGCCATAATGTTGTTCCCAAGGTCCGACCGTTCGTAAACATTCATTGATGGAATGCCAGTGTTACGGAAGCTAGCGCCATCGGCGGAGCATAATGTCATGGCGCTAGTTCCCAGGTCCTCGTCTGTGATATCAAATCCGCATGGTCGCACCCACCGCGCGAGATATAACTATTTTCAAGCCAACCATGACAGGCAGCCAGCATTCAGTCAGCAGAACTGTCAGCGTTGTCAAACCTTTCAAGAGAGCGTACCAATGGAATAGGTAACGTTGACTGAACACGATGCTACCGAGCCAATTCACGCCCGCCCCCCCCCCCCCCCCCCCCCCCCCCGACACTGCTATGCAAGGCTCGCGGCTACACTACACGCGCAACAGCAAACATTGTAAAAGTGATGCTACATTTTCGCAACACTCCCGCCGGCTGTTTGAATTTCGTAATAATTTGTCAGGATCTATACACAAAAAAGACGTGCCGTCGGCCGAGCGCGAGCTAACGGTGCCAACTCATAGCCCTTCAGCATGGCATCAAGGGCTCATAGTCGCATCGTTCTCGCGCTATTCTAAACGTCGTTTGATGCCTTAAGTTCCCCACAATTTCCCGGTCGAAACGAGCATGTCCGACGGTTTAACCAATACCATATTGGCCGCTGGCCGGACAACATGCTACGACGCCCATTAAAAGCCCTCCCAAAGATATGTTAAACGCACATGCTTTCAGTCCACGCACATGGTTGCAAACAGCCTTGGATATCTGCACATAATTTCACCACAACGCCTCAGTTGGCTGCCCGCATTCAGTATTGCGCTCTCAGAGGGTAAAATAAATAAGCTAGGCGCCGTCGGCTGAGAATGATGCCGTGGGAGCAGCTGACCGTCGTCTGACTGTGCTACCAAATGTCATTGTCCGCAACCTCGGCTCGTGACTATAACGTTGTGTAAGCCTCTGCGGTATTTTTATTCGCCGGGGGCCGGCATTCAGTAATGCGCTGTCAATTACACCACTAAAATAAGTGCCACCGACCACGCTCAATGTCGCGGAGCCAGATCTCTGGCAGCGCTAAAAAAATGCACAGGTTTACACCCTCCGCGCGCTAGTAAATTGCCAACATTGCCGTATTTTGGACATAACTCTCCAGCTGGTCACGCGCGTTTAGAAAAAAAGTTGAGGTGTCATACTAGTGACGCAAGTGCCGTTGGCTGAAAACGATGTCACAGCGCTGAACGAGATTTAAAAATAACAGCGTTATAAGACGCAGATGGACCCTCTCTCGGGGCCCAAGTACGAGTATCTTTCAAGCTTTGCTGTATTTTTGCCACCATTCTTGGGCGCGACACCTGCATTCCGAATATGCTCTTACAGGGCCACGCCAATAAATTGGGTTCGTTTGACCGAGCCCCGAAGACGACGCTGCGGCGCTAGCTAGAGGCCCTCCGTCATTGCTACCAAAGCCACGCCGTTGCACACTGTGCGCGCCTGTAAACGCTCGAAGCGCCACCGTGGTTTTGCTCCGCAGGCATTCAGCAGGACGTTGTCACGGGTCAAGCCAATAACAAAGGTGCCTTCAGCCCAGCACGACGGTACGGTGTCCGTTGATGGCTTCCCAGCAGCGCCATCAAATGTATACCGTTGCATCCTCTACACACAACGATAAAAAGTACGACCCGTTCGGCGTGACGAACCATTCCGGCGTGGTGCGCTCGGACCAACACACGGCTCTTGCACCTCCATTTGTAAACACCCCTACTTTGGAGCATGGTACGAGTACAATGACTCCAGAGTCCAGCCCACCCGTATGTGCCGCGTCAACAGATGCGGAACATGCATCTGTTTTCCGAGCTGGCCAGTCACTGACCTGGTGCCGACCCGACCGCCAGAACTCGAAGGAGTCCATTAAGGCTGTCCCACCTCCAGTCCCGCCGGCTAATCGCTTTTGTATCGTTGATTTGAGTAGAGTTGTTGATATGCGAATGCAAATAATCATTTTAAATTTATTTGCGGTGAAATTTTAAAACTTGCTCGTATTTTCGCTACCACGCTCAGGCAGGTAGTCCATAATCAGAAATGTGCATTGAAGTTAACATGCAAATCAAATAGGTAATGCCTGCCGAACACGATGATGCAGTGATACTCATCCGCCCTCCGAGCGAGTTTTCAAATGCACATAGTCCGCCTGCGAAGTTTTAATTAAAAAGATCCTCTCACATATTTACTACCACCCTCCTCTCGGACGCCTGCATTTCGTAATGTTTCGTTGTCGCGATTACCAATAAAAGTACGCCCTCAGCTGATTATGATGTTACATTGCCATAGCCTCCCAACAATGCCATCAACAAGAAATGGTTGATCCCCTTTCCGCTGCGTAATACTTAAAAAAACGACTGTATTTTCGTTAGAACTCGCGTTGGCCGGCCGGCCGTATTCAGAGACGCGCTGCGAAGGGTTCACACACACACACACACACACACACACACACACACACACACACACACACACACACACACACCACGCAGCACGCACGCACGCACGCACGCACGCATGCACGCACGCACGCACGCACGCACACATACACATACACATACACATACACAAATAGCTGCTGTCGGCCGAGCAGGATGTTAGGGTGCCAGCCGATATATCTGCGACAGTGCCATCAAATTCACGCAGTGGCACCCTTTGCGCATGACCATGATTTTAAGTTAACGTTTCCGAATTTCTGGCCACCACGCTCTATCCGGCTGCCTGCATTCAGAATCGCTGTCCTAAGGTCATACCAATTATGCAGAGGCCGTCCGCCCAGCACGATACTTTGCGTCAGACGCCACCGTCCTGCTGGACGTCCGCATTTAGTAGTTACGATGCTAGGCGGCTACACCAACAGAACAGGTGCCCCAGGTCGAACATGATGTCACTTTGTCCGACGAAAGCCCTCCAGCCGCGCCATCAAATGCAAATTCGTACACATTCTGGGCACGATTACTCATATTTCTAAACGCTGTTGTGCTTTCGTCTCGACAACACGCGCCGGCGTGCCAACCACGTGCAGCGATACTAGGGATCAACTTACTTCAGTAGACACTCATCCCTGATAATACTCTACCAAGGCGTCACACCTAAGACATCAAAAACAAAGGTGCCGTCGGTCGAGCAAGATCCACCACATTGCACGTTTGATTTGGATTCAGGTGCAGTAATTCACGCTTGTTATGAAGCGGACGCAGCGTAACCAGCGGAGAGGATGAGCTTCCGCACAGCGCAACCAGTGCGAGCAATGGCCAGAAAGTAATCTATGGGCGGCCCCTTAAGATCCGACTTGGCTGGATCAAATTGACGGAGGAGCGAAGGGGGGCGCGAGGGCAACCCGTGGTCCCCACAGACCACCCCGCGCCGCCCTCGGACACATTCCGCGCGGGCCGCCGCCGGCCACGCGAGCGGCGTCTCCCTGAGCCGGCCTGCCCTGAAGCGGGTCCACCTGACGGCCAGAAACGGGGGTGGCAGACGGGGCGGCTGCAGGTGCAAATCACTGCTGACCGGCGGCCGGCAGCGGCGGACGAGCCGCGGCGCAGAGGATCGTCGGACGGATGCCACCCGGCGACTAAGCTGGAGCAGGCGTGGCGTTGGTGTCCAAAAACGCAATTTACCGGGCGCCGACTGCTACGTGTTCGCGTGACCCGCTGCGGCGTCTTAAACAAAGCGGCGTCGCGAACCCCCGCATGCCACCCCGCCGGGCCGTGCGAGCATCCGCCGGAAGATAACCCCTCCTCGAGCCCTTACAACGCATGGCGCGGGGGGACGCCGGTCGGCGGAGGTCTCGTCAGCCGGCAGCAGTGCTCCTGCACACCATTCTGCAGTGTGGTGCTGCGTGCGCCGGGACTCCCGCGTGCGTTCTGCGTGTGGGTCGTCTTCCGGAAGCCGGCGTCAAGGTCTCGGTCGCGTGGCCGCTGCGGACTGGCCGGTGACAGACGGCTTGTGCGGAGTCCTGCGGGATTGGTGCGACTGTGGCAGTGCCCCCGACGCTGCTGACGATCTTGCCGTGAGCCGTCCAGCGGCCGATAACCATGTTGCAAGAATGGGCGTGTGACCCTCCGGTGACTGCGACCTGCAGGCGGGCCCGGGCCGTCACCGAGTGCCGGCGTCTAGCCCCAGCGACGGCTCTGCTGCGGTTGATGTGCGTCTGGTCATGGTGTACTCGGCTCGTGACTAGATCCACACTCATCCAAAGTTGGCCGTCACCTCTGCAGGGCGCTCCCGGACGGCGACACCCGACGGGGTGCTGTGGGCGCGCCGAGACTGCGGCCCGTGGGGAGTTTGGCTTGGTTCGGAGTGGTTGTTGTGGCCCTGGTCGCCTCTCAAGCATCCTCCAGTGCGTGGTTTACCTGTTACTCGCTTGCTGTGCACTGTCGCAGACATGGCACGGGCCCTTGAAGTTCTATGGAGCTGACGAGAGACGATGGTTTAGTGTAAGGATGTGTGCTCGGACTGGCGTATCGCCAGGCAGGTGTTATTTTGACTGCTGTCTACTCGCCAGATGAAGTCGGTCTGTGTTGGTATTTGCACGCAAGACTGCAGTCCGAGCAGTTTCCATCCGTAAGCGAGCATGAAGACTGGAGGGAGCAGCGTCCTGCGCAGTACGTTCTGATCGAGCGCAAGTTTCGCCGGCGAGCGTGCGCCCTACGGCTAATCAAGCTTCACTGTCTTTCTAGGCAGCGTAAGGATTGCTGCAGATTCTGCACTATGTCTGGCTGGCGCCCATACACTGTGTGAATCCACTAAATTGCTAGGTGGTCACTCGTTCGGACGATATCCGGTGTTCAGCGCTGGGTCCGACGTTCAAAGTCGCGGGATCACGCCGCCGCCCGCCATTACGTTCGTCCGCTCGGGACGGCGCGGGCTCAAACGGCGCAGGAGTCAACCGCGCGCTGAAACAGTGTTTTGAGCAAAGAGCGATGCATCGCTTTGTGGAGCTTGGGGAAGAGCAACGCTCATCTTAAAATGAAATGCCATGGGCGCAAAATTACTATGAACCCTGACACACAAACGAGCGAAATAAAATGGAAGTGCTTTGCTCCAGCTGGACAAGTTTCAACCAACATTCAAGCAACCTGTTTCACAAGGTTCCAATGCACTCAAATTTTAAATGCAATTCTCACCCCAAGGAATGCGAGGTTCCACAACGCGAGTTTCATTTAGCGACTCCGTAAACCACTGGCGACAGCCGGCGGGAGTGTGACGGGCCTGCTTACGCCTGCACTGCCGCCGCGCGGAGGGCGCACAGGGACAGATTGCCCGTCTTCGCGTTGCGGAAGGACGTTGGTGACGTTTCCAGCCACCCAGGCGTGGAGGCGACTCGCTCTAGACAACGGCTTGCCCTTCCCGAATCTGTTTCTCCCAGTTCGGTCTGAAAAACAAGTGCCTCAGCTCGCCCGTCGACCACCCGCGGAACCGGCGCAAACAACCCAGACCGTGACGGCCGGGATACTATCGCTCGCGGGTCTGGAGGGGCGCGTGAGCAGCGCGGTTGTGCGTAGCGGGGACATGGGAGCATGATCAGGCATGGCAGTTACCTGTACACACCAGGTTTGCATACGCAGTTCCTGTTGTGAGGTTCCATGGTGTAGTTAACGCTGGTGAAACTTATCTGACCTCTGGGTGGGGGTAATAAGTCTTTCGTAATAAAAACTGCTCGAACCGCCGACCTTCAGTCGCGCACGGACCCTTCCCGTTCCCCACATATGGTCAGTATCGCTGAGTCAACAATCCCATAGCGCTAGGTAACTGATATGCGAATGGCATATCAGTCCAAGTTAGTGAAATCAGCGCTAGTAGATGGTACCCTACTGCAACGCATCGTCGGGCGCGCCATGGAGTCTGTGTCAAGCGGATGGTTTTCCCACCCTGGGTACTCTCCAGAGAACATCCAGCCGTCGGTCACTACCAGGCGCGTCCTGCGCTAGTGCGGCACTTTGCAGCACCCGCTTCGTGGCCGCCAGGGGAGTGCCTGGCCTACCACCAGGTGGCAGTGGCGGGCCGGGACACCCACTGGACGCCTTGACCGTGTTCCTGCTCGTATGCGACGCTTGAGTGCGTTCGGGTCGGGCGTTCGCAGTCACCAGACGTTAAGTGTACTTAATATACAAGCACACGTTTCTCCACGTGAGCCGGGCTCACTTAGTTCCTAGTTACGAAACCTGTCGCCGAGAAAAAGCGAGAAACCCAGATGTTCAATGTTCTTCGCACCTGCCGTCACGGAATACAGCAAAGGCTCTCGAGAGCTCGCGTGTCGTCACTGGCTTTCTCATAGCACTGCACCAGATGAAATGCCACGCGAGACTGGCCTGTCGCCTGGCCTGTATCCTCGCCTTCTCTTGCGGCCGAACTTGTCTTTTGTCCGGACGCAACGTGGGCTACAGGTCACTAACAATAGGCACCACTGTTCGACCACGCTCGACAAAGGTCAAGCGATCTCGATGGACCAGGCGCTTCGCGTCCGCCGCCCGGGCAGACGCGGTGCCCGGCCGCGACGACAGACAGGTCCATTCGCAGCGCGTCGGGGCAGCTCCGGTTCCCATACGCTCGCCCAGCGCTTTCCAACCATTGGCCGCTGGCGAAAATGCAACGAGGATACAAGAACTAAGTGATATTTATTACGGATGGTTCGGTACAAACTATATTACAGTCGGCACGTTCCGGCGCACTGGGCACGGGACGCAGATCCGCTGGCCAAACCACCTCCGCACGCTGAGCAGAGGTAAGTCAGAGGAACATTAGTATCTATGTATCGTTGTACACGTAAAAGTCCGAGCGGAAGTGATATTGTGACGAGCAGAAACAATACAGTAAAAAACAACGAGCGAGCGACTGCCCGCAGCTCGACGACAAACAAAGACGTTCACATGCAGCTGCCGCCGCCGAAAACACGCTAAACACCTCACGAAAACAATGCAGCCTCTGGGAGGCCTGAGCGAACACTGAAAAAGCTGTCGCCGACACGGGGCGTGGGCGGGCGAAGCCAGTGGGGAGGGCGGGGGCGAGGCGGTGGCGGAACACTATGGCACAGAACGCCGCTCCCCTGGCGCCGCGGCCACCCAGCCGAGCCCGGACAGCTGCCGTCGGCAATGACCAGCTGCCGTCCCGCGTCGGGGCTCGCGTCCTTCCAGCCGGTCTCGGCCGTTAAAGCACGTACAAATAACAGCGGCGCCGGTGCTGCCACCTACAGCTACGGGGAGCGACGCGCGCGGGCGCGACGGGGAACACGGAGGGGCGCGACGGCACACGGCGCAGCTGAAGCCGTCAGCTGCATAGAGAAATCCTCTGCACTTTCTCGTCACATACTGGTCGTTCCGCCGCGGCCGGCCGGCCCGCGGTCACTCGCTGAACGGGGCGAAGGGTGGCGCGCGAGGCAGCCCGTATGTACAGCGCGGGGCGGGTCGGACCGCAGCTGCCCGCCTGGCCCGGCCCGGCACCACGCCAGCAGCACACGCAAACGACACCGTTGTACACTAAGAAACGCGCCTACGCGTAAAACTCCTTGTTGTAATTTTTCGAGTAAGTGTTGCCGGTGAGCGAGCGCTTGGGCTCGTCCAGCGCGTACGAGCCCTCGTCCTTCTTGCGCATCCGGTAGACGATGAGCATGACGAGCAGAATGGCGCAGAGCAGGCCGACCACGGCGCCTCCCACCACGGCTGCAACATCGGCGGAGAGGGGCCGGTCAGAGGCGTCACCAGCACCGGTGGCAACCAACACGGACGGCCAGGCGGCAGCTACGGTCCAGCCTGGCGTGTGACTGACCAGTCTGACCTGTGACCTGATGGACTGAGCACCGCCGAGCTGAACCCGCAGCACCCCAGCAGCAGCTGATCACCAGGCTCCAGGTCATCTCATGCCAGAAGCAGAACAGCGTACGCGGTGCGCGTTTGTCCGCCGTGGAAAACGGCACAGATAGACGACAAACAGATAGCAACAAATAGCAGAGAGCGTAGGACCATCAACCGATGGCCCCGGCACAGAAATCACCGACGAAGCCGGAGAATCCGGGCCGAGCATCAGTGACAACCGGAGAATCCGGGCCGAGCAGCAGTGACAGCCAGAGAATCCGGGCCGAGCAGCAGTGACAGCCAGAGAATCCGGGCCGAGTAACAGTGACAGCCAGAGAATTCGGGCCGAGTAACAGTGACAGCCAGAGAATTCGGGCCGAGCATCAGTGAAAACAAGAGAATCCGGGCCGAGCGTCAGTGACAACCAGGCCGTAACGCATGTGGGACTCAGCTCACAAACTCACGGGCCATCGTCGCATATGGGAATGATTTCCACACAGACACGGAGGATGGCCGTCGCAGATGCGGCCGCCAGCGACGGTCTGCGACGAGCGCACCTTAACGCAGAAAGTCCCCGAACTGACCGGGCCCCGGCGAACGCAGCCTCCAGCCGCCATCGCTCACCTGCCAGTATACCGGGCTGAGCGAAGAACGACGTGTTGCGGTCGAGCGCCTTGGAGCCCATGCCGTCCAGGCCGTGCGGCGTGGGCCTGCCGTCGACGGTGCCGTCCTCGATGGCGTTCCCGGCGCCGTCCAACGTGTCCTCCGGCTGGATCACGATGCCGTTGTTGTGCTCCGTGCCGTCCTCCCAGTCCTCGTGCAGGTCGTCCTCGGCTCGCGGCTGAGGACAATGGATGGTGAGGACGGAAGCGCACGTCTCCACCGCCGCGCAGCACGTTCACGTCAGGCAGGCAGGCAGACCGCGCCTGGTGTAAGTACCGTGCTCTACAACTTGGCTTCAAATTGCTAAATTTTGGCACACGAGAGCTTCAGGGGACATGCGGGCTGAGTTGTCCCCGTGGCAATAACCTTAGCTACTTCCCTCGTATTCGTGCGGGACTATGCACTTCAACCGAATCTCTGTAGGACTTCATCCTTATGGAGTCAGGGCACCCAGGTCTCAGTCCGGTAAAGTCAAGTCAGCTGTGAATGCGCTAGAAGAGGGGTCATTCTTCTCCGTGCGGTCAATACCAGTGGTGTCTCTGCCGGGAGAAGAATCATCTGCTTCGTTGTCGGGTGATACGTCGGCCGTGCCTCAACCGGGTGACAAGGTAGCTGTATTTGCCCGGTGTGAGATAAGCCCTGCCCCAGGCAAGTGAAGCCTGCTCGTTTCGGTGCGAGGCCGGTCCCTCTTTAGAATAAAGCCAGCCCTGTTTCTGTCCCGTGAAAAGCCAGTTCTCTTGCACAGCACGGAGCCCCGACATCGACTCTGTCCGGCGACAAGTCAACCAGTCAGACGAGTCACACCATCTGGAATATTCCACGCCCCCAGCGCTGTCCCCGCCCGGTAAGAAGCCTCCGACACCGAGTCCCGATCAATGACAGCGGCGGCTGCACTGAAATAGCCGGCCGCGCTCGGCCTGCTGTCGGCCAGGGGGCGGCGGCGGCGGCAGCGGCTGCACGCCGCCAACACGTGGGCACGCCCCGGCAGCCGGCCGAGGCGCGACATTCGGCGACGCTAATTTGTCGTCAGGGGGCGGAACGCGCTCATTCAGGCCGGAATTCCCGGCCGTCAGACATCGCATGGCGCTGCGCTATCGTGGCAGCCGTCCCAGCTGACCTGTCGACCCGGAACTCCAGCAGATGCCGCAGGCGGAGCCAGCCGCTGATGGCTGGGGCTGGGGCACGGACGGGGGGCAGCAAATCATTTGGGCAAAGTACCTGACCTCCCCTTAAATTCAAGCATCATTTTCTCCTTAAATTTACGCCACTTCATTTTTCCTTATTATACAATTTGAGTAAAACATTAAGCAAAACTAAGAAAATCTATTGGAAAGTTGACAGATGTTGCCTCTATCTGGGGCTTCGGCTATAGCCGTGTTATTTTCCCACCTTCTTCAGGACACCCTTTCGACAACAGTAAGGTAATCCATCTCAAGCTTAGCCCCTACGATGAAATCAGTCGCCAGGTGGCGGGATGGCAAAATATTCAGGCGAGTGGCGAATAACACACCCCAAGAGCACGATAGTCTCCTGGCCAAGTTATTAAACGTTCAGAAAAAAATAAAAATAAAAATAAAAATACGGAAATAACCAAGCGTGACTGAGGCTAAAATCATGCTCTGCAAGTACGCGCCGAAGGTGCTCATGCTGGTCGGTTCTGCAAGATGCCATGATTTGAGTGCGCTTTAACGTTTTGCCTGCGGCAAATTTTGAACCCAACTTTTGGCCTGTTCTGGTGACCCTACACGAGGCCACTCAGCACCGCAAAACTGACTCGACCTGAACCCCGTCTGTTTCAAACGAACCCCCTATCAGCCGCTTTGCGTGTAGCTTGCATATTTTATAGGGAAATCGTACTTGTAAGCATAGTTCAACCCGCGATGTCGGTATGGCGAGACATCTGACGCTCACAAACGCGGCAGACTAAACACGGCATACGTGACATCGAGCTGGCCACGAGACACCCCGGCAGGTGAGCCCCCGCCGCCTGCCGACCCTCTGACCTCGCGCTCTCACGGCGCGTCCAGTGGAGGGCACCCCCATAAGGCGACCGGAGCCTAGGGCGGCAAGCTTTCAGCGCCCCCCGACAGCTGCCCACCACCACCCCACCCCGCTTCCACATCACACCAGCACTCCCCGACAGCTGCCCACCACCACCCCACCCCGCTTCCACATCACACCAGCGCTCCCCGACAGCTGCCCACCACCACCCCACCCCGCTTCCACATCACACCAGCGCTCCCCGACAGCTGCCCACCACCACACGTCTCCGCTTCCACATCACACCAGCGCTCCCCGACAGCTGCCCACCACCACACGTCTCCGCTTCCACATCACACCAGCGCTCCCCGACAGCTGCCCACCACCACCCCACCCCGCTTCCACATCACACCAGCGCCCCCCGACAGCTGCCCACCACCACCCCACCCCGCTTCCACATCACACCAGCGCTCCCCGACAGCTGCCCACCACCACCCATCTCCGCTTCCACATCACACCAGCGCCCCCCGACAGCTGCCCACCACCACCCCACCCCGCTTCCACATCACACCAGCGCTCCCCGACAGCTGCCCACCACCACCCATCTCCGCTTCCACATCACACCAGCGCTCCCCGACAGCTGCCCACCACCACCCATCTCCGCTTCCACACCACACCAGCGCCCCCCGACAGCTGCCCACCACCACCCCACCCCGCTTCCACATCACACCAGCGCTCCCCGACAGCTGCCCACCACCACCCATCTCCGCTTCCACATCACACCAGCGCTCCCCGACAGCTGCCCACCACCACACGTCTCCGCTTCCACATCACACCAGCGCTCCCCGACAGCTGCCCAGCACCACACCACTCCGCTTCCACACCACACCAGCGCCCCCCGACAGCTGCCCACCACCACCCCACCCCGCTTCCACACCACACCAGCGCTCCCCGACAGCTGCCCACCACCACCCATCTCCGCTTCCACACCACACCAGCGCCCCCCGACAGCTGCCCACCACCACCCATCTCCGCTTCCACACCACACTAGCGCCCCCCGACAGCTGCCCACCACCACCCATCTCCGCTTCCACACCACACCAGCGCCCCCCGACAGCTGCCCACCACCACCCATCTCCGCTTCCACACCACACCAGCGCCCCCCGACAGCTGCCCACCACCACCCCACCCCGCTTCCACATCACACCAGCGCTCCCCGACAGCTGCCCACCACCACCCATCTCCGCTTCCACACCACACCAGCGCCCCCCGACAGCTGCCCACCACCACACCACCCCGCTTCCACATCACACCAGCGCTCCCCGACAGCTGCCCACCACTACACGTCTCCGCTTCCACACCACACCAGCGCCCCCCGACAGCTGCCCACCACCACCCCACCCCGCTTCCACATCACACCAGCGCTCCCCGACAGCTGCCCACCACCACACCACTCCGCTTCCACATCACACCAGCCACGTTATGCCGCTCTCCCGACCAACGGCACGCTCTCGATCCCCCGGCCCGGCCGCTCTCGCTGCAGTGGCCTGACCTGCCACGTGCGCCCCCCCTCCCCCTCTCCAGTGCACACTCAGCGCCACCCCCACCACGACAGCCTGTGTTGACACGGACGGAGTGTTATTGAACAGTGTCAGCGGTGCCGGATGTGCCTGCACCGGAGCTGATTCGTCCACGGCTGTCAGAGCGACCTCACCGCGTCACACGCAGACACAGACACAGACACAAACACAAACACAGACACAAACACACACGCACACACATACAAACACAAACACAAACACAAACACACACGCGCGCGCGCGCACACGCACACGCACACGCACACGCACGCACACGCACGCACGCACCCACAACCACACCACCACATCCACAATTACACGTGTCGTGCAATATATACTATATATATATATATATATATATATATATATATATATATATATATATATATTGACATCGACGACAGTCTGCACGTTCTCCATACAAGCCTGCTGCTGTAGCCGTGCCTCCCACTGACCTGACCATGTAAGGCCGCAGCCGTGCTTTCCCTGCATTGACCTGGCTGCAAGCCCACAACGTGCCTCCTCCGTACCGACCCGGACCTGTAGGCTCGCAACCGCAGCTGCTCTGTACTGACCTGCCTCCATGGTGGCGCCTGCTGCTGCTGTACTCCGCACTGACTTGCCCCCGTGGCGGCGCCTGCTGCTGCTGTACTCCGCACTGACCTGCCCCCGTGGTGGTGCCTGCTGCTGCTGTGCGCAGTACTGACCTGCTCGGAGGGTCGAGTCTCGGTGCCGTACACCAGGCCCTGCTCGGGGCCATGCCGGTCGGGCAGCTCCGTCTGCTCGGGCTGCGGCGGCGCCGCGTGGACCACGCCGATACGCTCCGGCGCCACCGCGTCATGATCCAGCGGGTCTGCGGGCACAGCGGCCGGCCGTCATCACTCGACGCGCGCCGCGCCGCCGGCCAGAGACGGGTAGGGCGGGCGCCAGCACCAGCGGCAGGTGGGCAGGTGCGGAGTACGGCAGACACAGCTGTTGCGTGGTCACAATGTATCTCCGGGGAGTCGGGTGGCCGGCATCTGTCGCGGGCGGCGCACTACTTCCGCTCGCTGCGGCCGCTTTTTGCGACATGGACCGCATCCAGGTGAGATTGATACACGGCTTTGCACACGCCACGTCAGTCTGCCTTCCAAAAGCTGGACCTGGTCCAGGCTGGAGCGCGCTATATCTGCGACCACCTGGCCACTGACGAGATGCAGCGACGCAGCGTCAACACCAGCCGCAGCGGTCCGGCCGGCGGACCCGGCGGCGCCCGGCTACATCGCCGGACGGGCGGCGGCGGCGGCGGCGGCGCGGCCGCCGCTCCGGCCGGAAGCGGCGTGCCACCGAGCACACGACACCCGACACCCGGACCCGCGCTCCAGTCAGCGCCAGCGGCTCGAACTCGTCACGTGGGAGCGGCGAGCGCCATCGGCCCGGTGTTGCATGACAGGCCCGGCGTGGTTGGACGCGGACCACAGGCCGGCCGGCGGCAGACAGGCGCCGCGGCCGTCGGCCCAGCGGCCGCCGCTGGCGCCGGGCCACCTTCATACCGTCACTCCGATGACGCAACGACCCCACGACCGGGTGAGACATCATCGGCAGAATCATCGGCGACCGACGGCAACAAATGAGCTGCGCCCATTACCGCCAAGGTCGGAGGTCAGCGAGGCCAGCCAATGGCCGCGCCCGCGCAGGAGCGACGACGGAACGTCCAGGATCGATCAGAGACGATGATCGATGGCGTAAACTTCTAGCGCGGTTATTAATATATCATCTAGAGCACTCAACAGCACCGAACAGCACTTCAACTTCACCGCGGTGCGGCCCAAAGTGTCTGCTACCTCCCGGGTCCTCTCCACCGAGCCCATCTTTATGACAGCAAATCCATCATCGAAGTAGGCACACGAGTCATGATATGTCCGCCGCAGGGCGACCGCTGCCAGAACGCCCACCGCCCGCGCGCCGCACCTAAGAGCAGCGCTGCATCAAACCCGACCCGTGACGTCATCAGTCAACAGTGCGCGGCCGGGGGCGCCTTTGGTGGGCCGATTCCGGGCAGGTGGGGCCGACCGCGGCGGCCGGCGTTCAGCCGGCAACAGGGCGCCGTGACTCAGGGGTCGGCGCGCAGCCGCCGGCAGCGACGCGAACGCGGGCGCCGGCCGGGTCGGCATCCCAAACACGCCGCACCGGAGCCGGCCGCCGGCCCGGTGACGCCTCGGAGACGCGTAACAGGCTGAGTAGGAGGATGGGTGAGCGAGCCAGCAAGCGACCGCGATGCGATCAAGATGAAGGAATGAGTGGGTGGGAAGTGAGTGCGGGAGTGAGTACGTTGGTGTGAGTGAGTGAGTGAGTGAGTGAGTGAGTGAGTGAGTGAGTGAGTGAGTGAGTGAGTGAGTGAGTGAGTGAGTGAGTGAGTGAGTGAGTGAGTGAGTGAGTGAGTGAGTGAGTGCGCCCGTGTGTGAGTGAGTGCGGCGCGACAGGCCGGGTGCACGGCTAACTTCAGGTCCGCATGCGTGACCGAGAGGCCGCGACATCACGCGCAAACCACCACAGCGTCCGCGGCTCGCGAGGCCCGCAGGCGGGGGGAGCCGACGGCTCGCGCCGAGGCCGCGGGCTGGGAGCGGCACTCGGGGCCGGCCTCACAGCCCCCACTCGACTGACGCTGGAGGGGCTCACCGAGGCCCGGCCGCACAGCAGGAGGAGTGGACGCCGGGTCAGCCGGGCGAGCTCGGCAGCCGCTGCCGCCCGCTTGTTTATCTGCGCTGACCTGAGCCATTAATGGCGGCAGCACCCGTTGACGCGGGCGAGTGGCTGGGGTGACGGCGCCCGGGAGCGAAGCCGAGGACGGACGGCCAGGTGCCGGCTCAGAGGCTGTCGACGCACCGGCCAGAGAGCAGGCGGCGGCGTGGCGGCCCCGCTGAAGGCCACGAGACTGCCAGGGGAGGCACAGGCGCTGGTGGGACGATCCACTGGCGAGGTCGCGGGCCACCGATGGCGGCAGAGCACTAGAGAGAATCCAAACCGAGGCTCTCAGTGGAGAAGACATGGCAATTAGATGTCTTCAAGAGCAATGACGGGCGGCCCAAACTTTATGAGATCTATGAGTGGGCTCTAAGAGATTATTCATAAGCAGCCAGCCACCTGGAGAATACCGACCAGAGATCCCGCCTGTTTCCCCACCAGAAAGGGAGTCCGACACTACGCAGATCGTCGATAGACAGCCCTCCGACATACGAGAGATCTCTGAGAGATATCCTGTTCAGCACCGAGGAGACCACAGATAAATAGTGTAACAGGTGGCAGCCTGCCTATTTAATACCAGCGTGGGGCGCCTCCCCGCATGCCTTCAGTAAACCGCGGCAGCCGGCCGGCGACTGAAGGTAAACGGCGCAGCATACCAGAACAAAGCATCCGCTCTCCCGGCGAGTCCCCGCCGGGCGCAAAAACAGCGAGAGGACGGCCCAGGCGGCGCGGCGTTCCCCCGCCGTCGGCCGCCTGCCCTCAGCGAGAGGACGGCCCAGGCGGCGCAGCGCTCCGCACCGCCGGCCGCCTGCCCTCAGCGAGAGGACGACCCGGGCGGCGCAGCGCTCCCCCGCCACCAGTCGCCTGCCCTCAGCGAGAGGACGGCCCAGGCGGCGCAGCGCTCGGCGCCGCCGGCCGCCTGTCCTCAGCGAGAGGAAGGCCCGGGCGGCGCAGCGCTCGGCGCCGCCGGCCGCCTGCCCTCAGCGAGAGGAAGGCCCGGGCGGCGCAGCGCTCGGCACCGCCGGCCGCCTGCCCCCAGCGAGAGGACGGCCCAGGCGGCGCAGCGCTCCGCACCGCCGGCCGCCTGTCCTCAGCGAGGGGAAGGCCCGGGCGGCGCAGCGTTCCCCCGCCGCCGGCCGCCTGCTCTCAGCGAGAGGAAGGCCCGGGCGGCGCAGCGTTCCCCCGCCGCCGGCCGCCTGCTCTCAGCGAGCCGGATCAAAGACGCGCCCGGCGCCGCCCCGTAAACACAGCACACAAATGCCGACCCCAAGAATGCACGGCCGCGCTGACGAGGCCGGCCCTCGTCAGTGGCGCGACATTCCACCGGCGGATCGCTTCCCGGGAAGTATGCACATGAGCTCACGGTGCAAAGGTCGAGCACGATCATTGTGTGAGTGGGACGGCGGCTCGGATGCGGCGACCGTGTGCCGACGCCGCGGGCAGAGTACGCCGGCGCACGTCCACGGCTGAATGACGAGTTTTGGAACGATGTCGCCATGGGCGACGGCAGTGTACCGTCTTCGGAAGAACGCGAATAGAATGGGGTAATGTAATGCAACGCGAGACATGCACCCTTGCTTGAATGGCTGCATGCATAGCGTTCCTCGCTCGCTGGATAAACATCTTGCCTTTGCATCACTGCCGGGTCCGGTTGGACCGCGTCAGCGTCCCGATGCGGCGCTCTGTTTCCAGACGTCTCCCTTTCAACGCAGGCTTTACAGCGCTTCGTCTGTCGCAGTCACTCTTCGATTCGTGCGGGAGACCAATGCAAAGCAGCTGAAGGCGCGAAATATATTTCGAACCACGCCAGGTGACAACACCTCAAGGAAGAGGCCGGCGCACCACGCGTTGCACACCGCCTGGCATCACCCGGCCGCTGCGGCGGCTGCCGAACGCCGCTCACTTCCGACCGGATCCGGCTTCAGCTCGGCGGGCTGCCGCCGCGGCCGGGAGCGTGCCGCGTCAGGGCATCTGATGGCCTGGGTCGCGCGGCCGACGCCAGCCGCGGACCGGACCGGACGGAGGCGCACCACGCTCCAGCACCCATCTGATGGTCTGAGCCGCGCGGCCGACACCAGCCGCGGACCGGACCGGACGGAGGCGCACCGCCACCCAGCACCCATCTGATGACCTGGGCCGCGCGGCCGACACCAGTCGCGGACCGGACCGGACGGAGGCGCACCGCCACCCAGCACCCATCTGGTGGACTGGGCCGCGCTGCCGACGTCAGTCGTGGACCAGACCGGAGGGAGGCGCACCGCCGTCCAGCACCCATCTGATGACCTGGGCCGCGCGGCCGACGTCAGTCGCGGACCGGACCGGGCGGAGGCGCACCGCTGCCGAGCACCCACCTGACTGGCGAAGACCGCCGGCCGGTGGGGTCCGCGCCGCGGAGACACGGGACCGGCGAGGGACGGCGGCGGCGGCGCCACATCCCCAGTCTCGCCGACCGCGTGTGGGTAGGCATCCGAGGGGACCCTTTGAACGCGGAGGGATGGCGGAAGGCCAGCACCCGCCCACCCAGTGCCAGAGGATTCGCTCACTCGACCGGCCACACCGGGCTGGCTGACGACCGGCCTCCATCCCTCGGCACGCGGGGTGTTCGCCGCTCTTCATATTTACGGGCCTAGCTAACGCGAATACCCACATCGGGCCACGCCATCGCATTCGGTCGCAGAAGGCTGCCCGCCAGCTGCAAGTCGACGGCATCAAACGTTTCGTATGCCACAGAAGTTCAAAGGCTGAAATTGCATGTCCTAATGCAATCTGAGACATCGCCCTGTTCAACTGGCTCTATATTCGTCCGCAGCCTTTGACGTTCCGTCGGTGGCACGACCGCTCAGTTCGCCGGCGCCACCGGCGGCCGGCTCGGGCATCGACTGCTGTCCCACATGTACGACCCGAGCGTCGCCGTTGGTCATGATCACTCGACACGACTTCCCAAGCCACACAGCTCCCGGGGGCGGGCGGCGACGCCTCTGTCCGGATGGCTGGCGGCCATGGCTCGAATCTCTCCTAGAGTAGGGAGCTTTATAGAGAGGGCGTCTGAAAGCGCTGGAGTTTTTAACACATCGTGCACTCCAGAAATGACTGCAAAGCGCTAAAGTTTTGACATATCGTGCACTCCAG